TGGCTCTGGGGTACCGCCTCTGAGCACAACGTTCTCTACAACTACCAGCTCAAGAGCGCCAGCAACGTCTACATGTCTCTGATCCAGACCGAGACTGCCTACATGCAGGGCAACCCCGACGCCACTGTGCCCTTCACGGTCAACGCCAACTTCTACGACCCCGACTTCACTGCCTCGTGCACGGGTGACTCGACAAAGTGCGCACGCACCTGGGGTGTCCGGGCCATCGACTCCAAGGACATCTTCATCTTTGGCGGTGGTCTCTACAGCTTCTTTGACAACTACGACCAGGAGTGCGTTCCTCTCAACAACTGCCAAGACAACATGGTCAGCATCGAGAACTCGCAGGTTCACCTGTACGGCATCAGCACAAAGGCCAGCATCAACATGGTGACTGTCGACGGCAAGTCTGTCATGCTAGATGCCGACAACCGCAATAACTTTTGTGCTGCGATTGCTCTGTTTTCTTCGTCAGCATAAGCGCCTCTCATGCGTCACTACAACATGCCATGACCAAATGATCACCCCGACCAACAACGGTCCAGACGTACAAAAACACAAACATGTACATACACATGCATACCCAAGTCACATGTCTTCTTTTTTCTCTTTTTCCCTTGCTCTTTTCTACTTTCTCAAACTTCTCTGACGTGTCGAATCCGGGCAACTGGAATGATGACACTATTTTGGGCCGGTTTCTGGTTTGATCATTTAGTTCCGTTGGTGGAACAAGGAGTTTTAGGGATAAAGCGGCAAACGCTTCGGATAAGGGAAATGTTGATATAGCCATTGCTTTAGAGGCAAGGTAGTAGAATACGATGAATCGACGTGCTACCAAGTTTTGTGCTTGTGACCCAAGTGATTGTGACTGGAGAATCTCTGTGACATGATACGGCCAGGATGCAATAAAGAAATGACGTGAAATTTATTCCAGAACACTTCGTACAGACAGGGAGCAGACAATCTGTAACTACCTGTGCGGCCAAAAAGAAGAGTAGACCCATGGCTCCGCGAGTCGAACCTTGCACCTTTCATCGGCAAAAAGCGAAGGTCACTGTGTGACAATTTCTTTGCGAAAACCATATCGTAAGTTTGTGTGTTTAGCTACTTCGCTGAAAGAATCGAGTGTTAATCTTGGTCATAAGTCTCTTTTGCCTACTGCACGTGCTCCTGGTGTTGCTGCCTGGATGAATGTTGCCTCATGCTGCGTTCCGCCCGGACCTGATGCCGGAGACTACTAAGAAGGCAAGAGACGTCCGTCATCAGATAGGCACCATGTCACTGAGATAAAAATTCATTTCAAAAAGCAGTTCTTTTTCTTAGTCTATCTTAAATCCTTGTGAGCGAACGATGAAGTGACATTGTCATCCTCGTCACGGGAGCGCAGACGTCAATTCCCAAGGTGCCCCCTCGACTTGACAAACGCCAAGATACTTACAAACGGCCACCAGTGTTTGTGTGCTTATGAACTAGACTGTTTTTGGTATGATGCGACGAAGATGGAAGAAACTTAGTGGTGCCAAAAAGAGGAATAGTGTTTACAGAGAGGGAAGAAAAAAAGAGGCTTCGCGAGTCGAACTCGAGCCTCTGTCATCGGCAAAAAGCGAAGGTCACATCTGTGACGGGTTCTTTCACAACAAGAAGTGTATAATCAGCTTTGCTGATTAGATATGAAGCTACTTCGCTGAGAGAAATTGTGTTAATTTGGCTTATAAGGGTCTCGCCTCTGAAGCACGTGCTGCTGCCTGGAACTCTTGCTTGTGACCTCGTGGATGTTGCTTGGACAAGGTGTTTGAGCACAGTGAATATTTCTGATGGCGTACATGGATATACGATGATGGATTTGCTTTCATGGCGAGTTTAAGGGCCACGTTCAATCACAAGGAGCCAGGTGACAAGATCGCCATTGTGTTGTCGCCCGAGAGCAACGTCAATGCCACAAAGAGTGTCTACTTGTGTTGGCATCAATACGAGCGAAGCCTGAGCCTCTTGCGATATTCAAGGCTCTAATGCATAGCGATGAAAATATTGCTCTTCATAATTCCGAATTCAATGGTGCTGCTCGCAGCCGACAGACGTCAAGACACTTACAATAAGGGCACAAAAAAAGTGGAACATGGAGGATTGAACCGTGTTGTTCAGCAAAAAAAGAACGAAGAAAGCCAGGGAGCGCAACGCGCTACCAACCTGACCAAAGTGAGTTTTCTTTCTTTGATGAGTTTCACTACTTCGCTGAGAGGGAATGTGCTTTCCTAGTTGATAAAGGAAGGTTCACTTTGTTGGGAGGTTGTTGGTTGTGTCGGGCAGTGACTCAGCCGGCCAAGGAGGCACCGGCAGGTGGGGCACGGATGCCGACCGTGCCCGGACGGCGAGGAGACTTGACGGAATGGTCAGGGATGAGCACAGAGGAGGGAGAACTCGTAGGATGTCTTTGAACGGAGCAGATTAAATTTGTATTATGAGTATCAGATATATGGAAGAAGAAGAAAACACAGAAAAAAGACACTTGTCACGCAGAGAACACGCTTCATCCACAGCCAATGTTCGAACGCAAGTCCTCTCGACTTACACGGCCATCGCCTACCGCAAAAAGCGAAGGCTCCTCCGAAGAGGAGCTGGTACTACTGGCAGTCTTCCGGCAGCCGAGGCATACCATCCGACTAAATTGTTCAATGTAGCTACTTCGCTGAGAGAGTCTTTTGTTGGTTTGGTATATAAGGGCAAGGGGCGTGGTTGGGTGAAGTGGAGCCAGCACGGGCGGGTGCTTGGGTGGTTGCCTCAGGGTCACCCACGCGAGGAACCTGAGGAGGAGGACATCTTCCAGGAGTATTGAGGAAGAATCAAAAGCCAAAGACTTGAGAAGACGGCGGTGTTGGAACAATGGAGGGCAAAAAAGAAAAAGAAAGACCAAGGTGAAGCTACTGCACGTGTACATCTTGACGGCCATGGTTCGAACGCGAACTTCTTGTGTCCATGCTTTGGACTCCCAAAAAGCGAAGAACCTCCCGTAAGGAAGGAAGAGATCATAGTTTCAGGCAGCCGAAGCTAGCCACTAAACCAAATTGCTTTCAATGTTTAGCTACTTCGCTGGAAGAGTGAGCTGTTTGTCTGACATATAAGGGGAGGGTGCGTGCGAAGGCGGAGTAAGCAGGGGCGGGACGTCAAGCGGGCGGCCCTCACGGTCACACACACAAGCAGAGACGGACGCGCTCAAAGAGTGGTATTAAAGTTGGATCTTGAATGCAAAATCTTGAGAAGAAAGAGAGAGATGTCAAGTAGAGGGCAAAAAAGTAACGAAAAAAGACATCACAAAGCTATTACACGCATACATCAAGACTACTATAGTTCGAACGCTTGCTTCCGGCATCTTTACTCTTGACTGTCAAAAAGCGAAGAGCTTCCCGTGAGGGAAGAGAAAATCTGAGCTTCAGGCGGCCATAGATGGCCACTGAACTAAGGGCAATGCTGTAGCTACTTCGCTAGGAGAGCAATCTGTTGGTTAGACATTTAAAGGTGCTAGGTCAAGGTCAGCACGAGGTGGGGGCCAAGGCAGCCACTTCAAGCCAACAGGCAGGAGCTCAGAGGGACGGAAACACTCAAATCATCAGATGGAAAGTGATTCAAGGTCTATGGATGTAAAAAATACCATGTGTGCAAGGGGAAAAAAGAGAAATGAGGTCAAAGGGACGAGCGTAACCAGAATGTGAAGCGACAACATAAAAACACTTCTCCTGTCATCGCTCGAACTGACCCACGGCACCCAAAAAGCGAAGAGTCCCTCGTTAGAGGGAGGAAATATCCGAAGATAAGGTGTAATTTAGTACTACTGTACCAAATGCTGTACCAATGGTATTGTTGCTACTTCGCTGATGGATGCTGGGTCTGATTTGGTATAAGAGGGGAGGATTCAAGGATGCAATGGAGCAGGGGTCGTCGAGGCAGCAGGCTGGACGTCACACCCAAACAAGACGCTCTCAATCATGGTGAAATAGCAAACATTATGGCGTCTACTTGACCTTTGGTCGCCGAAATAGCTTCTTTACTTATGGGCGCTGATTTGGTTCAGCAGAGGAAGGACGGTTTCTTTGGTATCAAGGTCTAGGGTGGCGGACGACGCAGTCGCATCTCGGGACTGGTTCAACGAATTCCACGGCGCAGGCCTTTCATCACAGAAATATAATATTAGAACATACGCAATCTAGAGGGAGCATGATTGATAAAAAGATGGAGATGAAACCTAAAAAGACGTTGTAAAAAAAAAAGGACTTGTGTTCGAACGCTCGACCTTCTACCGGAGCATCACGAACCAAAAGCGAAGGACCCCAGAGGGGAATGGTCTGTTTAGGGAACACGTCTAAGACGGATCCCATCGCGCCATGCGTGCCTGGTAGTATGCAGCTACTTCGCTGACGGAGGAGCGTTTTGGACCAGCTTATAAAGGCTTGGCTTGAGCGAGTGATTGTGGTCGGATGGCGGTGGCAGCCTGGCTTTGTGTGATGGCGCTCTGGTTGGTGTCGGTGTGGGGCACTGGCACCCCGCGAGCGATCAAAGGATGAATGTCGGGATGGCAACCCAGTCAGCTCTAGGAACAAAGACTTCTTGGTGCTGACAGAGGGCAGCGCCGACACGGCACGCATTCAATGTAAGAGATCTCGCGATGTGATGGGCCTTTGCGCTCACATTCGTAACCTCCACACCATCTGTCTTTACCTAGACAAAGCCTCGGGGATTTGTTCTTCCGGCCGACATTACTGAGGCCCTGACAAGAGCCACCACGTCGACGTCATCGTGGTGGCCAGCTTTCGCCAACAAAGCCGTTTGGCGCCACTTAAACTCCTCCTCCTTCCGCCTCAGAGGCTCTTTTCTACCCGTTAATTAACATTCTGCGATTCCTGTCGGACTGCGCTCTGCTGTTTTGCTGCTTTTCTAGAATGGTTACTACCCGACGCGCCGCCAGAGCGGCCGACTCTTCAAGCAACATCGCCATGGAACCCACGAGAACTTCGACTTCGACCCCGCGAACGTCGCCCTTCCTCCCGACACCTTTCGAGAGAATCACTCTGGCGTTATTCCCCGCCGTTCTTGTGTTCGGAACCATCTTCTCCATTGTGTCTCCGGACACGCGCGCCGCGCCATACGACCACGTTGCGCAAGCCCACGTCCAAGACATCAAAGTCGCCCCGAGCTACTTTGCGCTCAAGTCCAACATCTTCAACGTCGTCTTTGTCAAGAGAGGCTGGGCATGGATTACAGTCGCCTTTGCGCTCTTCATCTTTACACACCCGAGTACCGCCGACGCGGGACGTCGACTCCGCGCAGTATATCGATGGGCAGCTGTGACGACTGTCTGGATCCTCGTTACGCAGTGGTGCTTTGGCCCCGCTCTGATCGACCGCGGCTTTCGATGGACGGGTGGTCGATGCGAACTCGCTCGGAGGGAGATTGAGATGGGTGATAGCGGCCTTGGGGAGATGGTGACATCTGTGGCCTGCAAAGCAGCCGGTGGCAAGTGGAAGGGCGGCCATGACATATCAGGCCATGTGTTTCTCCTCAGCCTCGGTACTGCATTCCTTTTCCAGGAAGTTGGCTGGGCAGTTGGGCGATGGCTCGGGCAGGACGAGGAGAGATGCGTTGTCATGCCGGATGGAGCTCTCAAGAGCGCCAACGTCGAGGCTGAGACATCCCAGGAGTACGTGGAAGAGCCGACTCTTGGAGTGGGAGGCAAGTTTGCTGTCGGTGTTATGGGTCTGAGCGTGTGGATGCTGCTGATGACGGCCATTTACTTCCACACTTGGTTCGAGAAGGTGAGTTTGCCCCAGCACCTGTCTATCGCATTTTGACTAACTATTTGCAGTTTACGGGACTCTTGACCGCCGCTATAGGCTTCTACATTGTGTACATTGTGCCTCGATTTGTGCCTGCTGTCAGACAGGTCATCGGGCTCCCAGGGATATAGACGGATGTATTTTGACGAGACATGTGGGTATGAGTGGCAATGGCCAGCGTAATTAGATACTAGAGATAAATAATATGTACTGTATTGACCTTGTGAACATTGCTGTTGCGGCTGCTTTCATCATCGTGTGGTTTTTGGTGCTAATGAGAGGCGCGTCGGACGCTGGTGGGTGGAATATGTTATTCTGCCAGCCACACTTCAATACGTCAGCTGATTCAACAATGTTTCTGAAGCGTATCAATGGGGGTAGTTAAAGTACACTGGAGAGAAGGCCTATTCTTATGGAAAAAGAGAACTGGAGTTCTGAGGTTGACACTATGGAAAGTCACCTACTTGGGATCGCAAGGGGCGTTGTAGATAGGAGTGGAGGTAGCCAAAAGGCCGAGATAGTGAAAATCACCCGATTTATAAGAACGGGATTCAAACGCAGATGGGATTTCAGAATCAGGAAAGAAGACCGGCGCCATTTGCATGCACCCAGATGATGAGGCCTGGCAAGGGTTGTGTGAGATGACGGTCACCTACTCATACGCCGATGCTACTGATGTCCCTGAACGAAGATAATCTCTAAAATCCCGGAAGTGGATGTCATCTTGATTGAAAGTAGTGCCTTTCGGATAGTTATGTTTCAATTGCTGAGTTCTCTGCTGGTATTTCGTTCCTGTTATTGGTTCTGAGCTACGCAATCCGTGGAGTCGTGGACATCCAACCCTGAGAGGCTGAAACAACATCAGCAATAGTTAATGGCAGAGCCCCGAGATTCCAGGCCAATAATTTGGCGGATTTAAGCATGGAAAATTGCTCCTAGAGTTTTGGAAGAATGAGGTTGCTATGTCCTATGCAGACTTGTGCGGTGACCCTTCTATAGCACGCTCCGCGCACCGAGAATGCTCGTTAGGTAAATAGAGTTTAATTAATTCCTACAAGTATTTTAATATATATTAGCCCTTAACCCCCTCGTGGGATAGTTTACAGTCAACGTTGAAATCCTTCCTCTCCTAATGAGAGATATGCATAAGGAAGTTTTAGGTTTCGGCAATGCTGCTTATTTGCTTTTACAAATATTAAAATCTTGGCACTTCAACTTGAGAGTCATTGGTCCAGCAGCAAATCTGCCCCGGCAAAGCGTTTCTGGTGTTGGCGGGCGGGCTTATACCTGCACATGAGAACTGGGACCTGTAGGCTGGCGAGAAGACAAGAGTCTTTGTGGGGATGGAGATGTTGGCTAGACATGGTTGAGCTTGTATGAGAGTATTGTGGAAAACATTTTCTTTAGTCTCTTTCGTCTATTTAACTTGTGTAGCTGAGACGGACGGCGTGCACGAGTTATGGGAACTTGTTATTGCTGAGAGACTTCGTGACATTGAGTTGCAGTTTCATTGTCTTTTGTGCGTTGGCTATGGCCTATGGAAGCGTCGTGAAACTCGTGCGATTTTGACAATTTTACCAGGGTGCTATTGGCCATTGTCGTTGGTTGTCTTGAAGGATGAAAAATTGCTTGCCGAGATGACGATGACCAACGTTCGTATCAACTTGCTGACATTGCGAAAAGGTCTTGCAAGCGAGCAGAATGACGGGCAGTAGAGATGGTGCACAACCAAGTTGCAACCAAGTTGAGAAAATACCCAAGTCTAAGACGATTGCACTCTAGTACATGGGGGTTAGTTGCAGTGTTGTAGATGTGGCTGCGAAGCATTCGCTGAAACTCTGATTAGCTAAGGGTTGGGCACCTGTTGACAACTTGGGTCGGAAAACGAAAAGCGCGCATTTGCGTGGTTGGGCTGTGGTTATCTGCGATGTGACAGGATGTGACGAGATGTGACAACAATTATGACGGGCTGTTGGAGTAGGTTTCATGGGTTAAGGTAGCGCTGACAGTTGAGAGCCATGTTCCTCTCCATTAACGACTCAAGGCTTCTATTTGACAATTCCCAGGCATCATGATTAATTCTTACCGTCGTTTATGAGAAAAACCGGGCGGTGGCAAGTCGCCCACCTCTAATGGCGCCTTACAGGTTATCATGCAATTGAGTGCGGGTGATAAAAGCGACCCTCATCCGTGCCACGTCAGAAGCGAGATGAGGACAAATTACTTGGCCAGAGGCAGCGATTATTGTCAGCACAAGGCCCCCGCGTTTTGAACACAAGATGGAGGAATGAATGATGGTGTTAAACTAGGCAGACAGAATACAAAGTAAAGGGGTGGATGATGGAGGCAAGGTCGTCAAGGGCAACTTGTCTCGGTCGCAAACGAAACGCACTAGAAATGTCTACCCAAGATCCACAGCCCTAGCAATCGGGGACCGGAAAGAGCCTGTCGGCCGATAAATTAAAAATCAGGGATTCCCGCCCATCCCATCCCATGTGTCAGGCCACTAGGCTACAGCTTTAAATAGGCACCAGAATACTCTTTCGCCATTAGGCATCAGGTTTGCGCCGTATAACTAAGTTGTCGTACTCCGTGACGCGTCCTCAGTGTGTTTCTGGAGCAAATCAAAGGCAGCAGATTCCTATTGCAGTTTAGAGCACCAGGCGACAATGCGCGAGATTGTAAGTTTTTGACAATTTGCATGACACTCTTTAGGTTGCGAAATCTGACGACTTACCCTTTCTGATCAGGTACACCTTCAAGTCGGCCAATGTGTAAGGAATTTCACCCTTGTTTGCTTTGATGGTGTAGATGTTGATTTTCTTACAGGGCAATCAAATTGGAACAAACTTTTGGTACTGCAGCAGTTGTTTGACTTTAGGAGAAGCAGAACTGACTTCTTTTAGGCAAACTGTTTCTGGTGAGCATGGAATCGACCTTGATGGAGCGTGAGTTTCCCAACTCTTGACTTTTCACTCATTGCTCAGCTCTGCGCAGATACAACGGCACATCCGACGTTCAACTAGAGCGACTCAATGTCTACTTCAACGAGGCAAGTCAATTTTCCACAGCCTCACATAGAAAAGGCCCGCTAATGGTGGTTACTTTCTAGGCAACGAACAGCAAGTATGTTCCCCGCGCAGTCCTCATCGACTTGGAGCCTGGTCCCCTGGATAGCATCCGCGCGGGGCCCATGGGGCAACTGTTCCGCCCAGACAACTTTGTCTCTGGGGCTGATAGCGCCGGAAACAACTGGGCCAAGGGGCATTATTCGGAAGGCGCTGAGATCGTCGATGAGGTTGTTGATGTGGTGAGAAGAGAAGCTGAAGGTTGCGAACACCTTCAAGGCTTTCAGCTCACCCACTCTCTCGGCGGAGGTAGCGGCTCAGGAATGGGCACCCTTCTTCTGTCCAAGGTCAAGGAAGAATTCCCTGACCGCATGATAGCCACCTATTCAGTTCTCCCCTCACCAACCGTTTCCAACACGGTTGTTGAACCATACAACACAACTTTGGCTCTGAACCAGCTCATCGAAAACTCTGACGAAACATTTTGCCTCGACAACAAGGCCCTCATGGACATCTGCACCAGAAGCCTCAAAATCGCCTCCCCGTCCCACTCGGACCTCAACTTTCTCATCGCCAAGGTCATGGCGGGCGTGACGACTTGTTTCCGCTTCCCTGGTCAGCTCAACTCGGATCTTCGCAAGATGGCTGTCAACATGATTCCGTTTCCTCGACTGCACTTTTTCATGGTTGGCTTTGCGCCACTTATGAGCAGGGGTAGTCGGTCGTTTCAGCATCTGACTGTGCCTTCGCTTACGCAGCAGATTTTTGATCCGAAGAACATGATGGCGGATTCTGATTTCCGGAATGGAAGATATCTTGCTTGTTCTGCTATTTTGTGAGTCATGCACATAGGGATGATGACCTTCACTTTGCTAACTTATACCAGCCGTGGCCGCCTGTCGACCAAGGAAATCGAAGACCAGATGCTCAACGTGCAATCCAAGAACTCTTCGTATTTCGTCGATTGGATCCCTAACAACGTGCAAACCGCCCTTTGCTCTGTACCCCCACAGGGTCTCGAAATGGCAGCTACCTTTGTGGGTAACTCGACCGCCATTCAGGAAGTATTTAAGCACGTCGCGGACCAATTCTCAGCCATGTTCCGTCGCAAGGCATTCTTACATTGGTACACGGGCGAGGGAATGGACGAAATGGAATTCACGGAAGCGGAGTCTAACATGCACGACTTGATATCCGAGTATCAGCAGTACCAGGACGCCAGCGCTGATGACGAGGCTGTTGAATATGAGGAGGAGGAAGTTGCTGCTGAGTGATGGAGATGGAGGTCTGGGATTATTTTGCTTCTTTTACTGGTTTGGTCTTTTGTTGAAAATATCTACATATCTAAATAGCCGCTTTTCTATGTAATTCTCTTGGCAACTCATATCTAAGACATGCTATTCTTTTGGTACTTCAGACGAGTTGACATACATGGTGTCAAATTCAACGTGCTTCCACTTGCCGGTCTCGGTGTTGAGAGAGAGATTGGTGTGCTTGACTTCTCCATATCGAAGTGCGCCAGACTCAACTTGGCCGTCTGCAACTGGTCTATGAAGGTGGTTCTCACCAGAGAAAACGGTGAAGTTGGCCAGAGGAATATCCCAAGGGTTACGAGTAGCCACCGAAGGAGAGCCTAGGTCTGTCAGTAGCCGTGTCAAGGTTTCAGAGGAATACTCACCATAGAATTGCGCCGTGACCTTTTTAGGACTGACATCGAGACGAAAGTAACCCCGATAGTAACCTTCCTGCCACATCAGCTCGGGATTGCTCTTGACTCTCTCGCGAGCAGCCTTTCCGGCATTGGGCTCGATGGGGCCGTTAACACCACCAGAGCTGACGGCAGTACCAGCAAACTCGACTCCAATGCTTCCAGAACCGGTCTTGTTGTCATAGTCGTGATGTCCGAGCCAGACCAAGTCTGAGACCTTGAGAAGCGGTGAGCACTTTGAAAGGTGACCTGCATTTAGGGGCTTACCCAGTTCTGGTGACTGTCTCCAGCGAGGAAAATATTGTTGCCAATCTCATTATCATACAGATGCTCCAGGGTTCGATTTCGGTTGGCAACGTATCCCTTGCGGAGTGTGAGTGCCTGTAAGTGAACCAATAGGCAAAGGGTGACTTACGCTCCAGTTGTCAGTAGGAAGAATCTCCCCATTGCCCCAGTTTTCAGTAATTCGAGAAAAGATGATTTGGTTTCCAATGATTCTCCAAGCTGCACCTCTCTCTTGAGACTTGCTCAGGGACCTGTAGAACCAGTTTTCCTGACGTCCTCCCATCAAGGTGCGGCTGGGGTCATCACGAATCAAGTCAACGTATTCATCGTTCCAGCCTAGACATGGTCAGCAGCAGGATTGACAGGATAAATGCTACATACCAAGCGAGGTAATGCTACGGTCATAGTTTCGAGTGTCGAGAACAATGAGATCCAAGAGCTTGCCCATCTGGAAGGATCTCCAGACTCTCAGGCCATCATCCAGATCCGTCTGCCTAATCTGATTGTTAGCATGAGAGCCACACGGACAATTCAATTTCATACCGAATAGGCATCCACTCAAAGTAAGCCCTCACGGCATTGACCTTTCGAGTGTCAACGCTGACCTTGGGGCCCTCGTTCAAGAAGGAATCCTCAGTGTTGTTCATGTGGGAGAAGCCATCCCGGTACCCGTTGTCAGCGAACTCTGTCTAAATGTTAGTTGACTTATGGCGGCCCTATAGGTGCAGCCTACCGTGGTCATCCCAAGTCGGGATCCAGGCAAAGTTTTGCGAAAGGAGCTGCAGGTCGGAGTCGGTGCGATACTGAAGCAGCACATTAGATCTGTCATTGTTCGAGTCCCACTGTGGGGAATTACCTGTCCATGCCGAGTTCGATAATCGTGCAGAGTGAAAATGGTCTTGGCTGGCATAGTGGCCCTCTCCCCGTCTCGGCCAGTCTCATAGATGTAGTCACCTAGGTGGATGACATAGTCGTGCTCATCCTTTCTAGCAGCATTTCCATACGCGTTGAAATATCCGTTGGCTGGAGAGTATCAGCAGTAATCCTTGATCATCAGATTAAAGTCTCCTACGGTAGTTGCTGCAAGAAAAGACAGCAAAGCTGAGGTCGGAGACGTCATCGTCGGCTGTCGGGGCGGTCTTGGTACGACCCACGACGCTCTTCCTATCAGAACCACAGATTGTGAATTGATAGAAATAGACAGTGAGAGGCTTCAGCCCGGTGGCTTCAACCTGTTACATCTTGAGCCAGAATTCTCGAAACGAGGTAGATGTCTTACCTTGACTGTGTAGTCAATATCAGAAGTCGTGTATGCCCGTCCACTCTTCACAGGCTTCAGCTTCTTCTTGGACGGATCGGAGCCATAGACATCCCAATCTAGGCAGATAGGATGAGGATCAGCTTTGATATACTTCTCCGTCTCGTGGCTGTAATATCCCGCTGTGCCGTCTACTACTTTTGTGCTCTCACTCGATTTGGCCGAGGGAGCGACTCGAGTCCACAGAATGACGCTGTCAGCCCATGGATCCCCAGAGGCTACGCCATGTGTGAACTCAAGCTCAGAGTGCTCATAAAGGACGTTGCCGCGCTTCATGGATCGACGCTTTACCAGGGGCACATCAATGCCAAGGCGGATGTGACGACGGGAGGGACTGGCATAATTGAGGTTGCCGTCAAACGCAGCCAAGACTGTCGTGGCCAAGAAGCCGGCTGCGTATACAAGTGTAGTCCTCATCTTGGCGGTGTCAAGGAAGATGGTCTTATGCTTGGACTTTGTGGCTGCGGCCAAACTTATCAACATCATTTAAGCCCAGTTCACTCTGCCTGTGCCTCTTACTGCTCGAACATGCTCCTCTAGCTCGACAACCAACAGTTTGTCTGGTCTCCTGCACGTTTCTTGCGCCGGTTACATCATCACTCCTGTTGGCAGCACCTCACGGAACTCGGCCTTATCTACCGGTCACGAAAGAGGCAGCGATGTGAGAGGGAGATATCCAATGACCAACGTCAGGATTGTAAGCATCGAATACTAGGAGCAAACTCATTGCACGTGGTTGTCGGAGTTTTGAGACTGACCGACCATCGTGGTATCGTTCGGGCAGCCAATTGGCTGTCGAGGATGCATCAACGTTGGACATCATCTAGCCGTGATTGGAGTGGTATGGACCACGATCGAATAGTGGGCCGGTCAAGATGCTACTTCATACAGAGTTAGGTTATCTTTATGTCGATCACTATTCTATCTTTTAATATTTGGATAGTCGGGGACTTGGCTCATGCCGAGGTGATAAGATTATTACCAGAGAATAGATTGGAAGGTATTGGAATTAGTTAAAATAATCACAAGTTAATAAAATTAGTTGAGGTGATAATTAAGAAGCTAGGTTTGCTAAAGTATTTAAGCTTAAAATTATTTACTTATAACCTTATTGAATTGCATTTGAGCTTATTTAACTAGGAGGGAATTACAAGTCTCATTATCTACCTCTCTAGAGAACGTCTGGGTAAATGTCTCTCTCTCTCATATGTTTAGGGAGATGTTAATAAAATATTAGCCGTTGATTGGTGGTCACTCATTTGAGCCACTCAGAACCTCGTCGCTGCTCTTAAGGAGTGAAGGGTTGACGAGGAACACAGCCATGCTTTGAGTCGATAACTTGATGTCATCTACAGCCAAGAGTTTGACAGTCATTAAGAGACCTGGCAAGTTCAGCCGATGAAGGCGAAGTTCGAAGCCAAAACAAGAATGATGGTATGGCAAGGTGTTGACGCCGATGGATCTGGGACGCCTTTTCCGGCGGTGGGAGAATCTCAGCATGCCTCGGAGCCCCGTCGTCTCTACCACTTTTATGGAATAGTTCCCTTCCCTGCAGGTTCTTATCGTCGTCAAGATTCTCCTAATGGTTTTTTTCAAAATACAACGTTCTATTTACCCGGGACATGTTGACGGCCAGGGACAGGAACCTTGCTGTCTTCGCTAGCGAGAACACCTCAAGCTTCGTCTGCGACCAGGATGCCTGAAAGTCGACAACGCTTTAGAGCCTCTCAAGGCGAGGCAACTCGCTAGCTAAACTCACCACCTATGCATTTTTCCGTGACGTAGATGGCGTGACTCTCCGATCAACGGTCACAGGGAAGCCAAGCCAGGGATCGCTTGAGCCTCCTGAACCTCGGCAGCGACGCGAAGCAAGATCCACCCCGACTACGACAAGACTTTGTGGGGACGCCTTTATCCAAAACTGGTCGGTTATTCTTGCAAAGAATCAGGCGACTTTCCTTATCTGAATACGATACGGATGACCCCCTGCCAGTGAGCCGGCCGGTTGGTGATACTCAGGGACAGCCCGGTAGCCATCTGCCGGCTGAGGAACCGCCCTCCTGGTTTTTTTGACTGGGGGGAGAATTCTTTCGGTAATGTGGCTGTAGAAAAGCCTTTTCTGGCATGTAGCAACATGACCAACACGGAATGGGCTCCTCCCATGGATTTTGACTGTACTGAGATGTGTCGGCATAGCATCATCATCTGGTATTTGCGTTTTAGGCCTCACAAATCAGGACAATGAGATATCTACAAGTGCATTAATTAATAAAGTCTTCCAACTAGACTAGCTAATCATTTTATCACACTACGCTCTCTTCAGGAGCGCTTTATACCGCACGAGCTTCATATTCCACCACCATGGTCGTCGTTTGGAGAATCCCCTTGTCACTTCTCCCATCATCGTTACTTGACTTGTCATCCAAGCTCCCTGACTTTCCATCCTGTCGCCACCCGAAGCCACCCTCGGCTTCAGCCGTTGTGGTGAAGGGGTCGTCGAATTGGGTGTAGGGCGCCCTGTTGGCCGACCTTCCCCCTGTGCCTCCTCCAATAGTTCGAAGCTCGTGGCCCGAGGAGTGGCCTGTTTTTGACTTGCCCGTGCTGGTTCCTCTGCTGCTCGATAGTAGGCGGGGAGCAACCGTCTTGACGAAGTGGCGGAGTGTCGATAGGCATGCACACATGATGAGGAGGTTTGCTTCGACGCAGCTGTTTCAATGGTTAGTCAGTGGATGCAAGGATATGAGGGGTAGGGAACAAACATCCAAGCGTGGATTGGGCCACCGCCCCATGTTGTGTCGACGGCATCGAGCTGGGAGATAAGGAGAGCGAGTCGGACCATGGACGTGATGACGGTTCTATGATTGTCAATAATTGGGCATTCGACGAACGAAAAAACACTCACGCAGAGCCAATGGCAAACAGGCACAGAAGAGCCGCCTTCTTCTTAGCCGACAAATGAAGCCCAACGATCATGGGTATCGGGATGGCAATGATCAAGACATCGGTTGCGACACCCAACCCTGCAGTCGCCTGGAACATGGCCGGTCGATCGATGCAAGAGCCTACATCCGCAGGAATATTCAGATCCCAAGATTTGCGGAACGGCGTGCATGGGAAAACCGAGGCGAAGAAGATGCTGATGCTAGAAGCAGACACGATAAAGATGGTGCCAAAGATTGTCCATCGGTACCAGGCCTGGCCCTTGTTAAGTTCGAGGAGGAATAGGAGGATGACTACTTTTGATAGACATGTCGGGACGGTGTAGACGATCGAGTTGATGTAGGTTGCCCACTGCGACGGTTAGTCAAGGACGGATGGAGTAGAATTCAGACCTACAAGGATGGCCTTTTGGAATTTTTCAAAGGGAATCTCCCAGCCATGAACTCCCATCCAACCCTCGGCGAACGAGCCTGCAAGTGTCAGCACATTTTTCCGTTTTGATCTGGTCAATGTCGAAAACTCACGAAGAGACAGGGCTTGAATTGTGATTGACCCAACCTGTAAGATAAGCGATTGATCGGCAGATGGCAGTTTACATTTGACAAGACATACCCAGGCGATGATCAAGAGCACTGTCAATTGTTAGCTTCCATCTGATCCACTGCTGTTTAGCTGTAACGCACCGTCGTCGATCCCAAAGTTATTCCTGACGAACAGCTTGACAAAGAGTCTCTGGAAGAGAAAGAAGAGTGCCAAGGTCATTCCAATTCCGCAGATCACGTACGTAGCCTCGACAGAGGTACGCTGCGGGTTGTCAAAGTCGACGACATAGCCTTCTGGGGGCGGGATGGCGACGAGAACGCCGTCAACCAAGGACATGATGGATTTCAAAGCAAACAGAAAGAAGAACAAGGAAACAAAAGAGAATGAGAAAATTAGGACCCGACAATTCGGATTCTCGTGCAGCTGATTTGGTGGGCATGCGCGGAAAAGGCGCAGCTTTTTACCAACCGAACCCGACTTAGATCCAGGAGGCTCAGGGTTGGGTTTTGGGAATCTTGGCCTGCATGACAGCATCTTGTTCTTGGCCACGGACGCACCGATACCGTTCGTTAACCCCTTGCTATTATTACCTGCATAGTACCATCGCTTGGCTTGGACCCTTCCCCCCGGGTCAAGGTGCCAGGGGGTTGATCCTTGACAGCGAGCGGGATAGCCTACTCCGTACATGGTACGGAAGAGGGAAGAAAAGAGCCTTGGCATAAACCAGCAAAGAATATACCTCACGTTTTCGTCCGTAAGCTCCGCTGCAATTTCCGGCCACGGGGAGAAGGAGTTGTCCGAAAGAGTTACAAAAAAGGGAGGTGACTTGACTTATAAAGGCGCTTCCCGACCTGTCGTGTCACATCAGCACTCCTTGACCCTGCACTAGTAACCTGCATTGCATGCTACTATCCTTCTTGGTCACCTTGTCTTCGATAAACTTAAGCCCACTGTCGATCCCTCCTCCCCCACCATGTTGGTCCATCCGTTTACATCGGCGCTCATGGCGATCCTCCTCGCGGGTCCCGCCTCATCGCTCGTGATGCGTCAAACTGCTGAGGACGCGGCGGCTAGAGCAGTAAGAAACACAACACCTTTCTTTTGCCGAAAATGAATGCTAATTCTCTGTCTCAGTGCTCTCTGCTTTCTGCTGCGGGCTTCAAGGAAGGTGACCAGCTCCTTGTCCCTACTGAAGATGGGTATGAGGAGAGAGTGGAATCTTGGTGGTCTGCCAGCTCCCGCTTGACACCATCTTGCATCGTTCGACCCAAGAACGCTCAAGACGTGTCCAAGATCGTCCGCGTTCTGGGTGCCAACTCTACCGCTGAGTTTGCTATCCGAAGCGGTGGCCACAGTCACTGGGCGGGTGGTAGCAACGTCGACAACGGCGTCACCATCGACCTTGGCCTTATTAAGGGCGCCGAGTACGACCCTGCCACTTCTCTGGCATCGGTCTTGCCCGGCGGTCGATGGGCGGATGTCTTCAAGGAGCTCGAGAAGCATAGTGTTGCTGTTCCAGGTGGTCGAGACGGCAATGTTGGCGTCGCTGGCTTCTTGACCGGCGGTGGTAACTCGTATTACACTGGCCGCGCTGGCTTTGGATGCGATTCCATTGTCAACGCCGAGATTGTCCTTGCTGATGGCAGCATCGTCAACGCCAACAAGGACACAAACCCCGACCTCCTCAAGGCTCTCAAGGGTGGATCGGGCAACTTTGGCATCGTCACACGCTTCGACCTGCAAACCTTCCCAGCTGGCAATGTCTGGGGTGGTATCCGCGCCTCGGAGTTGTCCCAGGGCGATGCCATCGCTCACGCCATGGTCAACTTTACCAACAACAACGAAAAGAACCCCGAGGCGGCGTATCTGATCAACTGGACCTACAACCCGGGCATGTCCACTGACGTGCTTGTCGCTCAGGTCATTGTCGATACCAACGGTGTCGAACGACCTGCCACCTTCGATGAGGCATTGGACATTCCGGAGCTGTTTAATGACATCAGCGTCCGACCTGTCAGTGACATGGCTGAGGCATATGTCCTTCCCTCTAGCCTCTAGTAAGTATTGCGATCTTTCTCGTGGTACCACTACTAACAACTCGTGCAGCAACGTCTGGTTCAGTCTGACATTCGCCAATGATGTTCGCATCATCCAAAAGGCCGCTGAACTCCACGACACCTTTGTCAAGGAGCTGTTGGAGGAGATCCCCGCTACAGAGCTCGGCACCCAGAACCTCTTCCAGCCTGTGCCCAAGCTCTTTGCCGACCGCGGTGTCGAGCACGGAGGCAACGTGCTCGGTCTTGACAGAATCGATGGAAACTCCCTCATGTGGCTGCTGTCCTGCACTGTCGCGACGGCCGAGCAAGAGGTGCTACTGCGTCAGAAGGCGAGCGCCTTTGCCTCGGCTCTGGAGGAGTATGCCAAGACCATCGATGGCCTACGTGAGTGGCGATACCTGAACTACGTGGACCCTAGCCAGGAGGACCCCATCCTGAGCTACGGTAGTGATAACGTCGCGTTCCTGCGCAAGGTGTCGGCCAAGTATGACCCTGAGGGCTTCTTCCAGAAGAGACGTAAGGGTGGCTTCAGACTCCCTTGAGAAGAAGAAAGGGATTACGGACTTAGTCAGGGGTTAGCGACGAAGGAATAGAAAGTGGAGATGCGTTATGCTTAATAGACTTAAAATCAAGGATATCCTGCATTAGCTCGTGCCAGTTAAATCCCTTGTGTTCCATCTTTTCTGCAAGAACGGCTTTGGTAACTGAACTCGTGTCAAGTTGCTAGGAGCAGGGGATGAATTAGCCTTCCTGACCCTTGCTGCCAAGTCTCCAGGACCCCTGAATCGGGATCTAGAGTGCCGGTGGTTCAAGGCCTTATGTGGGGGGTCCCCGGTCTGTGCCCTGAAGGATTACCATCTGTGTCTTAGATCGATGGAACCTTGGCGGTTGACAAGGAGAGGACGGCTTTTACCGTCGGGACGGGGCTTCAGGCCAGGATTCTTTATCGTCTTATTGCCCTCTATATTTCCGTCCATAGGTATCCATTGCCGAAGATCTCCTGACAGGGCTTTCTATATCCGACCCAAAGAAGAGCAAAGTCCGATAATAAATGGTTTATTATGGGATATATCAGGTACATTGGGTCCTCAGTGGCAAACTAACGCGTCACCGTCATATCTCGAATGCATTTCTCTATATCCACCGCAAGTTGTTCTCCCAGTTCGTCGTCAACAACACCCCCTGTCAGCCGATATTAATGGTCAGATCATGGCCATTGACAGCTACGGGGCAAATAGTCAGTGCTGGGCCGGCAATGTCAGCGCTCAACAAGAAGTCCGCCCTCTAAATTGACCACCTATCGACCAGGTCTGGGCTGTTTTCTCCATCGAGGACTCCCAAGTTGGTGACGAGCCAAGTGGCCGCTCTTGGCTTTTGCTGTGCTTCCTTGGCATACTCTCTCCAGTCGGCAATGAAGCCCATCATGCCGACCAAGTCGTTTTTGAGACCTTGGCTGAGCTTCTCCTGAAGTTCCGCCCGCACTCTCGCCGACACATCCCACATGATGTCTGCGCAAGTTGGAAACTTGGAACCATCCACTGTAGTCTTAATCCGACCGCGAATCTAATCCAGCAACTCTTGACCGAACTTGTGTTTTGTTGAAGTGACACAGCAGCTGACCGTCCTGTCAGGCTCAAGGTCGGGGAACGCTTCAGATCGCGCTGGGATGAATCGCCGCAGGTTGAGAGGAGTGCTCCCTGTTACTTCCACCACCTCTTTTGGAACGTTTGGAGTGAGGCTGATGAGGGCGATGGCGTGCAGAAGACCTGTCAGAATTGTCTTGTGCGCTCGACAAGCCGTGAGTACACCCTGGAGCATGCGGCTGTCAATGGTTAAGGTTCGGAACCTAGTTTCATAAGGTTTCGCGGAGATAGGTGGCCAGATAATGGGAGGTGTAGATGCCCACCCAAAGAGCCTCGGCTTGACATCTTCACAGATCGTGTCGGCCATGTAGCCAAAGCAAGTAGAGCAGTTGCCGGCAGTCTCTTGAGGAGGTGGGAGGTTTTGATTGTTGGCCACTGTCTTAAGAATGTGGTTGCGAACAAGTGGAAAGTCGGAGCCTTCACTGGCCTGGTTTAGAGTCTGAAGCATGGTTTCGTGAAATATCTTTGCGCCAGTTCCGTCGAAATGGGGATGATTCCAGGCCAGGATGGCTTCTAATAAATCCTCAGATTCTCTCTTCAGTACCACCATCCTCCAGCCAGGGCGGGTTTCAAGGTCAACGAATTTCATTCTGAGCTGCTCGTGGGGTATCCTTTCGCGAATTGTAGGATAGTCTTCTGAAGAGCTGACCAGTCTCCAGGAGATATGCCGAGACAGGTCAATAGTGTTAAGTTGGACCCATGCTGGCTCCGCGGAATCTTTGTTGATTTGACCAACCTGCATTAAAGGATGCTGAATGATGTTTCGAGTAACTGCATGTTCCCAGAACTCCTCAAGGTCCAGTTGACCCGCAGGAGCTGTGATGAAATGATGTGGGATTTTGTAGTGGCATGTTAAGACGGTGCTGGGATAGAGATCCAACAGGTGTAGGGCGGACTGGTAACGTTCGCTTCAAGCAAGAAAGTCAGACATGTTTCTATCACGAGGTTCTTTGGACTTACACTCGGCCCAAGGTACGGAGGACCCGTGATCCTGAACTGGACTGCATAGTGTTTGCTGTGGGTGTGCGGCGTTGGAGATGAAAGACTCAAGGCAGGTGAGATATGATTTGGTAACTGATCTTTTGACAATGAAATGAAATTTATTGACGTGTGTTTGACTTTGGGCTATGAGGTTCTTGTAAGATACAAGTATATGAGCTGTCTATGTTGGATGTGCTCGGGACCCGCGGAGCCCCGATGGCGAGACTTGGATACGGGTCACCAAACATGATAGGTGCTCTCGTACGGGTCTCATCGATGGAAAAGTGTCATCAAAACAGCTACAAGAGAAGCATCTAGGTATTTGGAGGTGGCTCAGCAAGTCAATCCTATTCGGTGCCCGTGAAGCCCGGGGTGCCGAAACCGAGTGGGTCCGGCGCTGTCCATTCGGGGTCCCGGCCGGCCGAACACGCCATGCGCGGCCCGGCGCCAGCGATGCCTACGTTAATCACCTTTGCAAGCCAGCTTTTGACTCTCTCTCGGCATGAAAGAAGTAATTGTAACAGATTGCATGACGGGCGTCTATACCGCAATTGAAGATTTGGTATTGCAGGGAAATGTCAGGGGCGTTTCCAGGGGTTTGCTGAACGTAACAATCCCAGAAAGCTGAAGCATAGTTTGAAACGCGAAACATCTCCCTGAAAATTCAACTTGAGCAGAAATCATAGCATCTTTCGAAAATCCGGCACAACTACTTAGTCCATCTTGATATTCCCCCTCTTAATCCGCAACACCGTGTTGATATGACCCGAGCAAAGCGGTACCCCTTCTTCAAACGCCAACAGACGCGCCGTCTTGACCACGTTCTTGATCTGTCGCCCGTTGAGCTCCTCCTTGGCAAGTTCCCCAAGCTCAGCTTCCGAGACGCCACCAGCCTCGATCTTGACAAAGGTATTCCACACGTGCAATCTGCTATCAACGTCCAGCTTTGGGTAGTGAATTGTCAAATGAATACGGGACTCAAAGGCAGGGTCAAAAGATGAGACTCGGTTGGTAGTGAGGAACATGACTCCTTGGTAGTACTCGAGAAGACGGAGGAAGATGGCGACTAGCTTGTTGCGCTGAAGGTCAGATGATGAGCGGCGCTCGAGGAACACGTCGCATTCATCCACGAGGAGGACGGCTTTCCACTTTGTAGACAGTTCGAGGATGCGGTTTAGATTCTCTTCGACTTCGTCGGCGTCGTCCCCGAGTTCGCCAGCACTCATGCCGTATAGGGGTTTGTGCATGGTTTCGGCGACTGTTGGAAATGTAAGTATGATAGAGGAGATGAGAGACTGCATGGATACTAACCTGACTCTGATGTGAGGGTCTTGCCAGTTCCTGGCTCTCCACTCAAGAGCATGATGATGCCCCGTCCTGTAGGTCTGTTAGTCATGGGTCTTTCCGTTCGCAGAGTGCCAATTCTTACCCTTTCCCTTGATCACGTCGTCAAAATTATCTAGTCCAGAGATCTGAGCGTGGACGAATGCCCGGATAATGCGTTTATAGTCGTGCGGCAGAACAAGCTGGTCAAACGCAGTGTTGCTCCAGACAATGTCCTCGATGAGGTTGATGTCGAGATATCCTATACCTTGGTAAGCACTTGTTCTTGGAACGGCGGGGTAAAAAGCTTACCCCAGTCCTTTGCCTTGAGGCAGAAACCCCTGACTACGTGTGTACACAGATGGTAGTACTTTTCAGCGAGGTTCTCGTCCTCTGGTGCCACTGGCCTCGATTGCGAGTCCATGATTGTGATTGGGATAGGCGGCATGGGAGGAGCGTATCGTCCCCCTCTGCTGGCGGCGACCTGTCTCATCCGATACATGGGCAGCGGAGGTGGGTGGGAAGCCATTTTCTCACGGATTTGAGGGTCCAGGCTCTTCTCGATGTCCGAATTGGCCCCGTGTGGTGACTCGTCGAGGGGGATAAGAGGTGGCATTCGTCCTTGGTGCTCATCGACGTACTTGGAAAACATGCTGCCGTCGATAACGATTCTTTCCTCAATAACCTTTGGCTGGTTAGTCTCTGCTACCGAAAAACACAGGTTAGAGATACTCACATGTTGCTTTTTTGGATGTCCAACGGGGGGGTTGGCTCGCTCATAGACACCAGTGTACGATCTGTGGTGAACTCCCTTCAGCGCCACGAAGCGTTGACCTCGTTCTATCAGCTGCTCCCGGATGGCTTCAATGTTGGGCTGCAGACGGGCGGGGACAACGTCGAGCTCCAGAATAGGCTTCAAGTTCCCAAACGGTTGGATGACAATATCCATGTTCCTGTATCCAAAACGCTCTCCGTCAGTGTCGACATAGCGACACGAGAGGTTGTAGATGATGCCGCAGTCGGTCTTTTGATACTCTGCATGGAGGAGGATGAGGATGCGGTCGTGACCATCGACTCTGGTGTACACTTCGATGCCAGGCTCAAAGAGAGCCCAAACATACTGAAAAGAGATGACATTGTTCTTGACGAGGTCAGTGACCTGCTCGATGTGAGGCGTCATCTCCTTGGAGACGGTGTCGAAAAGAAGCTTGTAGTGACTCCTCGAAGCCTCGTTCTCCTTAGTATCGGCTGGCATGGCCTGCACAAACTCTTCCCATCGGTAAAAGAATTCGTGAAAAGGAGCCCTGAAGTCGAGCTTCCTCAAGTTTGTGTTGATGCCCTTGTACCCATCAAACACGGAGCCCAACTGCTTCTTGATCAGTGGGCTCTGTACCGTGATTGAGAACAGAGCGAGGGCGAGCTCCCCATTGTCGTCCCGGTGCTTCTGGCGGCGGATGATGAGGGCAAACTTGGCAGCTGTGGCGGCCGAGTTGGCGTTGACGCCAATTTCTTCGGGAGCCCATTCTTGCCAGGGGTCATCGCAGTCTTTTCTGTAGAGATCTCTAGTCTCAGCAGTCATGCCCACTTGGACTGAGCTGTCGATGCCTCCAAGGTCGTCATCGCTTTCGTCGCCGTTTGGGTCTATGAATCCCCTTGGGAGGGGGGGCATACCCGGCATACGACAGGTAGGGGGCATTCTCATGACGGAGGGAAAAGCTTGACTGAAGAAAGTTTGGTCTCTTGCATCGGTGACAATTTAAATAAGATTGCTCGACCTGGACAAAGAGGGGATTGTCCGCATCCCTAGCCTCTAGGCAGCTGAGGCTGACTCTGCATGCCTCGGCGTCAGCAGTGTGGTTACTTGCAGAACAGGCAGAACGAGGCCCATCCAATAGCAGGGGCGTTTCAACCCGTCGCCAACTCACCGGTTTGCCTTTTTCGACGCCTGAATGCAGAGATGATGTGGTAAATGGGCCGCATTGTTTCCGGAGGGGTTGTGTTGTTGTGATACGAGTATTGGTGCACAACCAGATTGGCCTCTCAATATGGCTGCGGCTCAGTGGATATCCAAAATCTGCCTTGGCCAGAATCAGCATCTTGCGGCTTTAGCTAGTTTTATTTTCATGTGTCAATCGGTCGCCTTGTCCCTCTTGGGGGCCATTTCAGCTGGTCGCAACATCATTCACCAAATATTCGAAGACACTCGAGAAGTGCTTTCGGGTGAGCCTCGGGATCAAGCGGGAAAATTCCATGCGGGACAAGCTTCGTGAAGATGTTGCAACAATCACTAATCAGCGCATGACCACGTCCACACACGTGGAGTTGGACCGATAGCCTTGTCTTTCTGCATCTAACGATGGCTACGATCACGAGCCTCAGAAAACCAACCAAGAACGGCCCATCTTTGGACAGTGAGAGCCTTGTCAAGAACGATTACCCCTCCTGGCGAATCGCGTTTGTATAAAACATCTCCCTTACTCCCACAGCAAGGATCGAGAATCGTGAAGCCGAACAGCACGAGTATGCGAACCCGTGCGTTCACGTCAGAGAGCACTCATGCGACGCTTGTTGAGAGATAGATCGTCGACGGGCAACCTTTGACGTGGATGTGAGTATGGGAGAGACCTTTGTTCTTACCCCTTTCCAGATCGTACTGAAGTCTTTACCCCGGCCAACTATACGCGGTATGAGCTTTTCATAGGTTGTTGAAGAGATAGATACTTGTTGATATGTTCCCAATCCTGCGAATTAATAGAGAGAAAGAAGCTTTAAAGTCAAAGGCATGGCGAGGGGGATGTAGAGGTCCATCCTGTTGTCTACTGGGAGGTACACCCTTGTATAGGGCTTTTAGGGGGTCCGATTGATGCATCTTTCGTCTACCATTCGATCTGACGTAAGGTCTTGAGATCCAAAGCTCCCTTGATCTGGGAATCCATGTCATATTGGTCACAAGCAGGGGGTGAACTCCTCCTCTCCCATTGGAGAAGTTCCGTGGAGAATGCCAATGTCGATCAAATGACGTGTTGCATCCTCAACCAACACAGGACGATATCTTTGCACAAGCTTTATGTTAAAGTTGACTCTTGACTTATCCCTCAAGCCAAGCAAGCTTCTACGCCTTCGACCACCATCATGACATTCAGAAACCTCAACGAAACCTGGCGAGACGTCGTCTTCCGAACATACGCCCAAGACCACCAAGACGATGTTCCCTTCCCCATTAAATATCTCATACATGCTCCTGAGTGGAAGAGAGACATTCTCATCGAGGTTCCTAAAAAGATCGACGTCAAGGCCTATCGCCACTCCGTGCTCAAATGCACCATCGACCTGCGTTTCCAAGACCCTGTCTATGATGACGAGTATATATCGGTTCGGCCGCGTGTGAGGAAATATAACATTGACAAGGGTCGGGAGAAGGCACTTGAAGGGGAGGCTAGTCAGGGCGATGCTAGTGTTGAACGTAGTGATTCTTGAACTACAGGGCACGATCGGTCTTGGTCGAAAAGCTGTCATTGGGATAAGACGAGATGCTCGGACTCAGTTGGACGTTCTTTGATAATGTCGAATTGTATCTACTCCGTGCTGTTCTAAATAATTAGCTACCGGATATGGTTCAATCGTCTCATAGAAAAAGAGTTGCGATCATTGCAAGTGTTGAAAGCCGCATGGTCAAGACCATGGGCACATCCTTCAGAGCCATGGAGCCGTTCTCGTCATCAAATTCCATATCGGGGTTCACCACAGCCTTGATACAGTTCATCTGGCTTTCGGGCTCGGGGATGGTGTCGGAGTCTCCTGGGAAGAAGACAGTCAAGATAGGAACCACACTGTTCACGTTTTCGTCGTCATCTTCCTGTGACCTAGATTAGCAGGCAGTTTCTTGTTGCAAGACAAAGGTACGAACCCCGGTTCGATCCACCATGTATGATTCGACCTTTGTGAGGCTGTAGTTCTTGGGGGAGACTGGCCAGCAGTTGGACGTTGAGTTCTCCTTGCGCGAGATGGGCTCGGGGGCGTCTGGTCCTGACAAGGCTTGCGAGATTGTGAGTACCTAGATGTATGGCTATAGGTAACCTTCAAGTACTTACGCACGGCGGTTATGTTATTCCAATCTCTATCCCTAGCCCATGAATAGCAGCCAGGGTCCATGGTCTCCAGCAGCTCATCCTTCACTTTGTCGCATGCGTCCTTGGCAGAGAGACCGTCGATGTCAACGGCAGCGGCCTGCCTGTTCAAAGCTACCACGCAATCTTTCGACATGGCCTCCTCGCAAGTACCCTGTGACGTCCTACTGGAGCCTTGAAAGCCAACTCCACCGCTCACGTTTCGGAAGAAGATGGCGCATGCCGTCACGTCTGAGAAGTTCGTCTCAGGTGGTGCGCCCAGGTAAAAGTTCTTCTCGAACGTGGGCGAGGTGGAACTGTCTTGCTCGGCGCCATAGAGCCATGAGAGGCCGGGCCAGGAGGAGTTGGAACTCAAAGGTATCCGCGAGAAGCCAACAGCTGTGTAGTCCTTGTCTGCTAGGGTGCAGTTCGCCCATTGGTATCTTGGAGTGCCATCGCCGAACGGGCAATCGAGATAGTCGCATCCGACGATGGTCTGGGGGAGCTCTTCCTGGGCCGCGGTGGTTCCGTATAGAACTCCGGCGAGACACAAGACTTTGAGCATCGTTTGAGAGTGGGGAGACGTCGTGATAGATTCGGTTTGTCAACAGCTTGTTGGCTTGTCGTTCGAACCTATGTGAAGGAAATCCGTCAGAATATATAACTAGCAGGAGACGGATGAGGACATACCGAGCGCTTCTAGATGATCGACCGAAGATCTTATTCTTTGAGGGCTGACTGAGTGATGCCCAGGAAGGCTGAATGATCGACATCCTTGGTAGCATGGCTGAGTGTGGCCGCCCCCGTCATCATGGTTTTGCCCGACTTCTTGGCGCCGAGACCCTACGGAACGAGTCAGCCAAGAGTTTTCAACGTCATTGCACCATATGGCAACCAACTTGCACTGCCTCCCACCGTAAACTGGCCTTACTATTCCAGCATTGTTATTCAGAGAGGCCGCTCATGGGCGTATGATAATGCGCCTGAGGATATTAGGCGGTATCATGTGGACGAGGAAGGATCTGGACAGGTGGCTATGTAACCCACAGCAACAAATCGGTGCCCTCAGGAAGTAAGAAAGACCAGGAATCCAGAAAGCTGAATAGACAAAGGCATCTAGTGGCACTTGGGAGAGAAAGATCGCAGTGACGACAAAGGGGGCTTTCAAATAAATCAAACAATCAAAGGCAAGGGGAGCAATCCGTTGCAGTTTGATATTAATGGGAACAACATTTTTCCTGCCCAAGCCGTAGATGGCAGTGCAGCCGAGGGTGGCTTCGGCAGCTGGCAGTGTTTGCCTGATATTCCATTCAGAGATAGATTACATGTCTTATCGGAACCATGACTGCTTTACCGCTTTGAGTCAAATGATGTAATTATCTTTGAAAACACAGTGGTTGCCCTTCTGTTATTTTTAATTATACCGCCCCTTGCCCCTGAAGCTCATAGGCTCGGTTCTTTTCAGCGTCATTTAGGCCACTGTCATATCAAGAGTCCCTTGAAGGGGCGCTGACTTCAACCCCCAAATTCTTCTTCTCTCGAATCTGGAGAATATTTTCACCAAAAGGCACAAGCCGTTCAGGCCAGATCCTCTCCTACTAGGTTCGTTCATCTTCCCCCTCTGCCTCGTTAATCCACGGATGAGTGACTCGCTGCAGACTGCCGCTGATACCATGGAAGCGAATATTGAACAGCTGCCTTTGCTCTCCTACGGAATATACGGTGTCCTGAAACTTCGAGGTGCCTGTCAGGTTCGATGTCACTAATGCCGACGGGCCAGCAAGAATTTCCTTCGGAACTTGAGTTCGTTCCCATACAGTACAAGTCAGGGGCACAGGATTTCCCAAGACCAGAGTGACTACCATTATTCAGTTGGACTTGGGACTTCAGTTGGCAAGCTGGGGAGCATTTCTCTTGAAAAGTCCCCGGGATGAGCGCTGATTATTTCTATATTACAGAGATCTCCTCGAAATATCTATTCAACCTTTCTTCCCACCGTCCCCTGCCTCTGGGCCGAGAACTATGTGCGCCCGGCACAGACCATAATACCAGAGGATGACCCGATCCACTGGCCCTCTATAGACGAACGCGACCCTCTGCCACATCGCTCCCTTCCCTCGACGAATTCATTGTATGTCTGCTGACTACACGCGAAATCCACGGTTGTCAACACGAACCCGGCCTCAAATCGCATCCTGCTCGAACACTACGCGAGTTTGACTAGTTGTATGGTCTACAGCTGCTGAATTTTTAGGGTCTGAGAGGTGTGTGCTATATCATTACACAGGCACTCGTCTGATCAGGTCCATCGACGTTCCAGGTCCGCAGGCTATGCCCCTTGTCGTATCCCTCCATCCCAGACCGACACCGGTCGAAGAACAGCCCCCGTTACCGAGTTCAATCGAGAGCCTATATAAGCCAATACACGAGGAAATACAACGAAACATCACCACGAGAACGAGAACGAGAGCGAGCACGAATATCCATACAAGGTTCTTCTGGGTGATCCACTGGGCATTTTCCCTTTCTCAGACTTGAGGACCACCACAAGGACAGAAGATCCGGCGATGTAGTACTTTCCTACTCATCTCGAAGGCTCTTTGAAAAGCCCAGAATGATATTGCATAAGCCAGGCTCACCAGGCGGTCTGGTTCAGGGGCTCCCCAATCTACCTTCCACGACCACTTTGCCTAGCAACGTCACTCTGCTTCAATGTCACAAACACTTCGGGATAGTACAAATGGAGTTGGCAACAGAGAAACGTTGGTGGAAATCTCATCTAGCCCGCCAGTTTACTGGTTGAAGAACTACCCCTGGCCGGTTTGGACGGATCTGAGAATGGCTGAACCTATGTCTCCATTGAGGAGAGAAACGGGGCACGTCTTCTGCGTTCCCCTTTTTTATTGCTTGTACTCATTTAATTTTTATATATCGCAATTACAAACTATCATCGCAACGGTTTGCCCTTTTCAGGGGCTGTCGCCCTGTATCGTGCCCCCTCAGAGTTCAAACACGTATCTTTCGGGAGTTGCAGGCGATGTACTCCCAGGGATCGATGGATTCGGAGGGAGCCAGACTGATATTGTCATAACGGACCCGGTTAGCAGCCCAGTGCCCCTATTCTCGTACTCGGGGGTGCTTCTTCGGCGTCCCGCGGAGCGAAGGATCGAAATTCTACCCCAACACTGTGCTCTGAACATATACACAACAAGCAAAACTCCTTTTTATTTCAATATAAACCTATTGTGCCCGTTTCGCATTCCCTGAGGCCCCGGTTGTTCCTGGCTCTATACCGTGAAGAAGGGCAACGCTCGATCTAGGCCACCCAACAACCAAGGGTATTTATAAGCTTGGCTACGTGTACGCCACCACTTGCTCTAGAGTTGGAAATCCACTCTAAGTCTGTAGGTTTTATCCTTCTTAGCTTTCTCGCAGCAGTAGGAAATAGCCTTTTCGCTCGGGGGGTTCGTACTCGCTCGCAGAATGGGGCTTCAACTTCGAGCTCGGTGGTTTCGGTCGCTGGGGGACAAGAGGACAGGGGGTTTCGATAGTTTCAAGATCTAGCTATGTTCTTTGTCAACGCGAGCTGTTAGCGTCAGCCGCTACCTGGGTGTGTCGGATCTTTTGGGGTGTACAACAGCAACCATACTACAGGAGGGCCAGAGAGTTCCGTACCTTGAATGCTGAGGGATATACCGCCACGTGGCAATGACTTCCCAGAAGCTAGCTGTGGTACGCTCCCACTATCCATGCATGGCTTGTAATGTAATGGTGTTAGGCCTATCGTTAGTTGTCCCTGACGCTCATAAAATTGCTGCGTCTAGTCCTAGCACATGATGAGTGGTGATTCATATCGTACCAGGGATCCCAGTCTGGCTTTCCGGGACATTGAGGTACCACCTGCCCTTTCCTTTGTTGTAAGTCTTGCATGGCTTGCACGTGTAAGTCGGACCCTTGACCCAGTCCTGCTGTGCCACAATGACCCCAGACGCACAGGGGGTAGACACCCAGGGAGCTCCGGGGGTGTTTTCTCTTTCCCCAAATTCTTCAAGACTTTGGAACGTCTCCTTCTGCTGGTGCCCGTGGGCTATAAAGGATGGATCGTCGGTAGGATCGCAGGGGCTACCTGGGTGAGTAAGGGGTGTCAGTAACATTTCTGCCAGGGATCCACGGGACTCTCAGCACTTACACGGTGCCTCTGGTACATATTTCAAGCGTATCTTCTCAACCCCTGATCATTTCTGGGGTAAATAACTTAATAATTAGGTGTGGCGTCTCATCGAAATCTTGCATGCGAGAAACACTCCGAGCCAAGTTCGGCTCGAGGGGACTTGGAGGGTTCTCTCACCAATAAACAAATACCTAGGTACATACAAAAGAAATCTAGGCGGTCAGGTTCTCTTTCTCGTTGCCACCTTGGTAATGATCGACAAGTGGACGGGCGAGCCACCTGTGTACGACATGAGTTCCAACTAAATCACCAAGCCAGGCCCCTGTCTCCCGTCCCCAAAGCCGGCTACCTGCTTCAGCAAGGCTTCCAATGGATCTTTAATGACTGACCGCTCATCCTTGACCGCAATTTCGGTGCCAAGATTTCTTCTCTGCTGTGATCCCGTGGGAATCTTCTGGTGGCAAGGTTCCACAACGTGCTCTAGTGACACCGCATGCATATAGACGTGTCATCGGGGAGTTTTAAGTATTCGGAACGAAAGACGGTAGGCCAGGGTGACGCTAGGGACGGGACGGGTTATCGGAAATGGAGATGGCGGTCGGAGAGTCTAGGATTTGTTAGGGGCGGCGCCCACGGGGAAATCTGGTACTACTCACAGGTTTCCCGGTTGCTCCATAAGCCTCAGAGGAACCTCTTTCCTGCTAGATCCTTGGTTACTCGGTAAGGGACCAAGGAACTGGGTGAGCGAACTAGGGAGAGGAGTTTGGGCGTGAGGCAAGATGCCGGGAGGTCAGAATTGTCAACAGAGAGGAACTGAGCAAGGCTGAGAGTGCACCATGCTTCAACAGAGCGTCGAATATGTCAGTATGATGCACGAAGTTTTTGAAAAAATGTTAAAAATGGCAAGATAAAATCAAACAAGGTGTTGAGCCAGGAGAGCACAGTTGCACGATATTCAAGGTGCAGTATCGGAGAATGCTCAAGCGAGGAACGTTATAGTGGAGATAAGGCGGTTACAGCAGAAGAGAAGCGCTGAAGGTGTCAGGGTCCAGGGGCAGGGAGCCTAACGTCAATGGTCCGGATGTCTTACCCGTGCCGCCATCGAACCTTGTGGAACCTTGTACCCAGGTACCTCGCCCACTGTCTTTTTCTCCCGCACCAGCACAAACAGACAATCCACCTCAGAGCAAGCAAGTTCACGTCGCCAACTCGTCACTCCTTTGCCCGGACGTTACGGCCCCCCTCGGTTATATCTTCTCTCGAGACAAGATGCCGGGTATTCTCCCCATCAATGACCTGCCTAGACTAGTCTCGGCCGCGTTCTCACGCGCCCTTGGCCAGAAGGAGCTCACGTTCTACTCCACTGAGGTGGCTGTCCTGACCCTTGGCGGGGTCCCTGTAAGTGCCGTCCCCCTGTTACGTGACATACATGACATTCATCGATGACATACATGTTCCCGTGTGATCCTTGCAAGTACTAACTTCTGTCCAGTTTCAACTGCGCTTCGCTCCTGGTCTCTCACGCAAGCCTGAGCCCGGTGCCGCTCCCGCTGATCCCCAGCCACCGGCCCAGGTTGAGACGGACCCCTATCGCGTCCTCAAAGCCGATGAGTACTTGGTCGAAGAGATCAACCGCCAGCATCGGCTAGAGGCCAGGAAGGCTCGCATGCTTGCTTTCGACCCCTTCAAAAATCCTCCCGAAGCCCTCCGTATCGCGGACCTCGGCCCTTCCCATTGCCTTGTCCTGAACAAGTTCGCCATTGCAGCTGAGCACTTCATCCTTGCCACCAACGAGTTCAAGGATCAGGACCATTTACTCGAGAGGGATGACTTTGCGGCCGTTCGTGCTTGCATTGATGGATATGACAACGCTGACGGCGGTGACGGCCTTTTTACTTTCTTTAACAGTGGCGAGTTCTCCGGTGCCAGTCAGGCCCATCGTCACATACAAATGATACCCATCTCGCGTATGAAGGATGGTCTGGGACCAGGCTCACCTTGGTCTGTCATTGCCGACAAGCTCACTGTCAAGGACAAACAATTTGGGACCATCGTGGCCAAACTCCCCTTCACAGCCATCGCCCGCAATATCTCCGGCATGGATGCTGACCAGCTGCACTCCACCTACCTTAACATGTACCAGAAGGGCTGCATGGTCGAAGCTACCATCACACGCCATCCCAAGCATGATAACGAACCCTCCCTAAAGGGACCGTCTCGCATCAGCTATAACCTCGCCATGACCAAGGACACCATGGTTCTTCTGCCCCGTCTATCCGACAAGATTCACCTCCAAGACGCCGAGGGCAAGCCTTTCGGGATCAAGCTTTCTGTCAATGGTACCATCCTGGCTGGCACCGTCCTGGTGAAGGAGGAGCGGGACTACCAGATCATCCAGAAGTTTCCTGGCGCTCTCAAGCGCGGTCTTGAGCGTATTGGTGTTCCGGCTTACCTCTACCCTGGCCCCCTGTCCCTTTAGAAGCGGTCTCGGCCGGCTCGGTCTAGATAAATGGGAAGTCATACTCTGCAGTTCACTTGTGACTGATGCTGGAAGTTACTTCTGATCCAACGAATTTGAAGGGAAAGGATTTCATGTATGTACGAATGGATATGGATCACGGTTTGCATCATGTTTGATAATTCAAAGCATCTACTCAACTTAATGCGTGCTCTCTTCCAATGCTTGTTCGAGATACTGTAGCAGTTCCAGGGGAATGGAAGTGATCAGCTCAACAACCAAGATTCACATGACCCCCATCAAAAACCAGATGCCATTCCAAATGCACTGGACCGCACTCGACCCCAGCTGGCAAGCGTGCAAAGATTTTTCTGCATGCGCTGGATTCTGCAATGTTCCTCCACACGTGACCTTGCCCTCTCTCGCTTGGAGAGCCACACCACAAGATGCATTTTGACAACCCGGATGAAGCACTGGGTGAGAGCCTGGAGAATTGTTGGCCAGGGGCTGAAAATGTACCGCGGCGCATTTTGCGACCACGAACACCTTCACCGTAGATAAAAAAGACATGAATGGAGATAATTTGGTTCTTCGACTGTTGATGTGCAAGATAAAAGAGTCAAACCATCAGAGGGCTGGTTTATCGTGGAGTGTCAGCCTTGGTGTTTGTGAATCCCCTCGTGCAACACCAACAGCCTGCAGGCACCACCACCATTGACAACAAAGAAACAAGTCACGATGCATTCAAGTATCAATCAAGACCAAATGTGATGTGAAAAATCAAATTCATATAACTAGAGGCAGCCTGTTCATCCTTGTGCTGGGTACCATGCCCTGAAGCTATCTGTGGTTGACTACTCTACTCGGACCTTGCCCTTGATCCTTCCGAGTGAAAACCAGATGCTGTTGAATGTGTGATGAACCTATGTGCCTTTCCATTTGCCTTGAACTTTTGTGTGTGCGACCTTGAACCCCTTGCGCAGCGATCATCATCATGAAGAAAAGAGAATCATTAGAGTACATGAAAGAGCAAATGCAACCGTGAAAAGTCAAATCCTTGTGAGCCACCGTGTTTTTTTGTGTTTTGGAAAGAAGCAATCGAGAAGTTGTGAATTGGGTATCAACTCGTTAGTCGTGAGAATCGTTACCATCGTAGAGCCTTGGACAGAAGTGATGTTCAAGCGAAGGTGATGCCCCTTCGTCTGGCTTCCTGGTCGGCGGCGTAGACGTCGGCGAACTTCTTGGAGATAGTACCGCTGCCGAAGTGGTAGCTGGCACCGCGGTCGAACATCTGCTGAGCGAGAATCTTCCAGGGAGGTCGCACACCACTCTCGGGTGTCAGCTTGTTTGCGGTGAACCAATCGTACGTAACTTTGCGAAGCAGCACGATCTGTAGAGGGAGATGATTAGTACAAGTCAAAAGGCAGTTCAAGGTGGATATGACTTACGTCGTTGTATTTCCAAGTGGGACTTCGCAGGCGATGCTGAGGATCCTTGGTAAGCGTGCGCCACCTACCCCGAAGGGTAGGCTCGGCTTCGGAGAAGCCGCCAGCTTCCTTGATCTCCTTATATGTATACCCATCGGCTCGGCGATCAAGCAGGTACCGATCCTTGGAAGCACGAGTCCCATCAGGCCGGGGGAAGCTTCGAATGTCAGGGCGAGAGTTGTTGGCGGTCTGATCAACCTGGGACTGGACCTGATTGTTCTGGATGTTGTTGAGTCCGGAGAGAGCAGCGTCGGCGAAAGTGGGGATACCGTCAATCTGCTCGGGCTGGTCAATGTCCATCTCCTCGCCAGACATCATGTCGTTCTCTCTGAGCCGAAGCTGGTTCTGGAGATCGACGATGACCTGAGCGAGTTGATCAGGGGGGAGAGTGCTGAGGTGAGCAATGGCTGCGACATTCTCAGATGACATGGGAACAGGGTTGGGGAAGAGACCGATGGAGTCCTGGAAGTCGGCAGGCTCGCCCTCGGCGTCAACGTCATCCTCGTCGTAGGAGGCAATGTCGGTGTTGTGGTCAGAGTCGGCAGCTTGCTCGATCTTAGCGAGGTCAGCGGAGGCGATGTTGGCGAGCTGGTTGGTATCGAGGTGGACGGGTTCGAAAGCAGGGAAGACAATCTCAGAGCCGACGTTGTTCTGGATACCCTGGGCAATGGGTTCCTGAACGGCAACGGGGGCAGGCTGGATGTTCTGCTGGACGTGAGGAGCAGCAACGGGGTTGTTCATGGCGTGACGCATCTTGGATGTTGGTCAGTTATCAAAGTCATAGGTGAAGCCCAAGACAGAAGAGTCAAATGGTAGAAGAGGGGAAGTGCCAAGACGAAGAGAAAAAGATGAAGACGAGAAAAGAAAATAAGATACATACCATGACATTGCGCTCAAGAGCAGGGTCAATTGGGAGTGGCGCTGCAAAGGGTGAGTTCGGACCAATGTTCCAGCTGTCGTTGTGCTGCTGCAGCATGGTCTGCCACTGGCGATAGCGCTCGAGATCCTCAGGGGTGATGCCGAAGTCGTCGGTCTCGAAGTTCATGTTGTTGAAGTCCATGCTGCTGAAGTTCATCTTGTCGTAGAAGGGTTGACCGCCACAATGTGCGGACAAAGAGGGATCTGCAAAGGTGCCGGAGCGTCAGTATACAATAGAGGTTGCATGCAAAGAAAAAGAAGAACAAGGTCGGGTGGGTGGTGAACATACTTGATGTTGTTGATGGGTTGATGTGAAAGAGATCTGAAGATTTGCTGCTTGGATAAGGAGCAAATCGAGAAGATGATGTTGTGAAGTCGGAAGGGAAAGGGAAGAGGTTGTCAGAATTCAGAGGGGGATTATATACTGGTGGCAGAAGCCCCCCTCCGGCGAACGACTTGATGTCTTGATCAATACGGTTAAAAACCATTCTGAGAAGAATCTGATAAATATCCCAAAATGGAAGCGTTGATCGTTCGCCCAAGGGAAATCTGAGCACAGGCTGAGAAGGTTCTAGGCGCACTGTGTCCGCAGAGGTTGGCCTGGGGCCAATGGGGGACCTCTGAGATTGACGGGACAATGGGGGGCGCAGGCACCGGCAGACGGTTCCTCAGGCGTCGAACAGGGGTCTATGCCTATTCAGGAGAATTTGGCAACGAGCAGGGATGGAATCTGAGGAAGATCTGAGAAGAATCTGAGGTGACATCTGAGGTGGTGCGTCCCCTTGGATCTCTGGGGGGACAGGCCGTCTGATATACCTGCTCGTCAGCCACGCCAGCGCCGATTTCTCTTCGCTCGAGCACGCAACACACTCGCCCCTGGCCTGCAGTTCCTCGACAGGCTATTCCAGCGTCGTATTTTCCTCTTCCCGTGGTGGAGGCTCCCGGGCAGACGCTCGTCGCCCATTTCGCCTGCATGTTTTTTTCCAGTATCTACGTACCCCCCCTGCATCTTGAGCATCGTAGGCAGTGCATATCGCTCTCGAAATCACCCCCCGTAGATTAAATGTATCCTACTTTGCTTGCCTGCACCCGTGGCGCTTGCTGGCTGTCGTCGTTCAAATCTGACCATATGGGTCCAAGCCCGTCATCTGCGAACCAAAGCCACACGGGTCAGAGACAGTGCAGGGGTGACACTTTAAAAAAATCTTGGCAGCCACTCGGCATAATCGTTGCAAATATGAGCCGTTGAGAGCACGGCATCTGATGCCGGGGGGAGGTGGGCTAGCTGCAGGTGGTGGCACTCGCTCAGATCTGGCCCTAACCTGGGCACTGACGTCTGCACGCCAAGGGGAGGGGAGTCAAGACCCCCGCCGCTTTCGTCGGGGCCTTGTTTGAATTATCCGGGTTGATAAAAAAAAATGGGTGAGGGCAAACTTGAGGGAGATGCCCCTCGGAGAGCTGCAGCTGGCGGTCCACCCCAGGCTGGAGGGGAAATCACTGGAGGGACAAGTTTGTGATGATGATGAGCTTGGTGTGCACACTGGCATTCATCTTTAATTCACCACTCGTGCATTGAATCAGAGTCGGTGACGGCAACTTGAACATTTTACCATTTCGTAGTAGTCAAATGTTAATGGATATCTTCCCTTGTGCTACCCCATTAGTTCATCGTCTCGCTGCATAAGGCCCGGCTGCATACCTGCAGTCTGCCAGTCTTCCATGGATCTCTTTAGAATTTCAAAAAGTCGGTCACTGCCGTGTCATGTCGGGACTCAGCATAGCATGCACATCACCTGCTCCAGACCGCCGACACAGGACACAAGGTTCCCCAGATCCCTCTTCTCCCTCTCCTCTCACTCTCGGAAATCATAATTTGGTCGTGCTGCTAACTCTGTGCATTAGGACTTGTCCAACTCTCCACTCTCCTCCCCCCTTGATTTCGCAGACACCGAACCAAGACCCAAACATTTCGAGCTCGACCACTCCCAGCGCTTCCCGTTCCCGTCGTCGCAGCCTTCGAGTCGTATACACTCCCCCCTCCTCGCTCCTCCCACGCTCCCTCTACTTCGGATGGGGGTGGTTCAGCCCCGGACAGGGCAAGTTTGATATCCTCGGGCTGAGCCGTGGTCGTCGAGACTAAGTGGGAACAGACCTCTGAAAGAAAAGGCAACCTTTCCTTCCTGAGCGAAAGCCGCATACCAGAGATCCGGGACTGATAGGTCACACGGCCTCTGCCCTGTCGCCGCGTGGGAACCCGCATGATGGCGTCCAGGGGTGGGCGGTGTGTCCAGGATAACGGCCCACGGGGTGTCTTCTCCGAGAGAGACATTCTGCATGCTGACCACGAGGGGGTGTGTCTGTAGGCAGGGACAGCGGGGGAGAGGGAAGCACCCTGGCACACCCTCCAACTCCTAGGATGACGGGGTCCTCTGGGGCCGAGATCACTTGGCTTAAGCAGGCCCTTCGGTTTTGGGAAATCCGTCCTTGATTCTCTACGGAAGAGGCTTGAAACGCGGGAGCAATTGGGAGCTCTCAGCCAATGTCGGCAACGGCAGGGCAAGACAGGACTCGAGGACCTGAGATTAGAACGGCAAGGACGGGTTACAGAAATTGTTTGCTTCGAAGATGATCCCATGATTCGTGATCTCCTCTCCCCTATCTGTACTCGTCAGGCCAGACAGAACAAGCCCCAGTACATTCGAGTTCCCTCTTGCAGCCTCTCGCCGAGCTCAAGTCGACAGAATCAAATCTCTCGAACGACGATCACTCCCCAAGTTTGCTCGCCTCTCCTGCTGCCACATTTTCCCACCCACCATTCTTAGCGTCTCTGGCCTCACCAACTAGACTGGCCGCTTACGCTCTGCAGGCCCTGAGGAAACAGCACGAAAAATTGCTTTGCCTGCCAGGATTGCATTGCATGTTGACGTAGTTTGGACGACGAACGGGAGGACGAACACCTCTGAGGATCCCTCTTTCCTCTCAAATGTCACTTTCCCCTCTCGTCCAGGCTTTCCAACTGGGGAGGCAAAAGAAATTGTGCACTCGGCTGGATAGGGCAGCAAACTGGATGCAGGGAGCTTCTGCCATTGGAAAGTCAAGGGCATGCTTTCTTTTTTTTTACTTTTGCTACGGTCATCACTGCAGAAATGTATGCTGGCCCACTGTGATTCCAACGCAAGCCCGGGTATCTCAAAGAATTGCGTAGACAAAGGGAGAATCCTGTTTTTTACTTGGAGGCACACTCGAGATGGATGTCGCTAGAATAAGGCTTGGGTGCTTACTTAGACAAACTGTTTCTCCACGAGCCCACACACGTCAACGTCCAAAAAAAAAACGGTTGCTGGTGCCCGTTGGAGCCAAAGGAAAAATAGAGACACCTTACGCTTTTTGGTTTGGGCAAGGGGAACTGCAACCGTTGGAGAGAAACAAGGAGCAGGGGTTCATCCTCTCTTTTTTTGTCCCCGTCTCCTCTCCCCCTATTGTTATTGGAGGTCAGGCTGCACTGCCCATCCCCCATTCATCATCATGCAGTGCAGGTTTGGATCGAACCGATTTCCGGGTCCGTGGGATCAAGCAAGATCTGAGGTTAGGATCTGATCTGATCTGATCTTGTGTTTCATTCTACGGGGAATTAAACTCTGGTGGGCTAAGGGGGGAAGACCAAAAAAATGACCTGATGGCCTTGGGGCTGAATCGATCTGAGGATCGGAGATCTGAGAGCCAAAAGGTGGGGCAGGGCTTTCTCTCTCTCACTTTTTTTCTCAAAAAGTGACAGATGCCAGAGAAGGGCCTGGAGTGACATGACGAGTGACCCTCGACCCCCTGACGACTCGTCGGTTTGTCACGTCACAGACGATGAGTGCATATCCCTCGACACTCTCGTTCGTCTGCATCAGGCAGATCTCGTGAGAAAACAAGCAAACAGACACACACACACACACACACGCACACACACACAATAGGAAGAATGGAATGGACAACACATCAAGCCGCAATTGCTTTTTATGAAGGCTCGCTCAATCCGGATGCACTGGATACATCCGCAGCGTCATGTCAATCTTCGGACCCAGCAGAACCCGATTGCCCATGAGGACATGCATGACAAAGATCAATGGCAATTGGGCAAACGCATGTTTGCCTGCTGCCTAGTTGCAGGAAATCCCCATCTGCGAGTCCACGCTAAAGCAGTTCCCTTCGATCAGGCTCTGCAAGAGGCATCCATTCCCAAGGGCCCGTGCTCTCAATGTGGCTTGGAGAGACACTCACAGAGAGAGAGAGAAGAACAGTGACTACCGACTTAGGTACAGTACATCACCTTAGGGATGGGCCGTGCCGCTCACACTTATGAATGCAGTGTGCGTTATGTCTGTCTTGCTTGCTTGCTTCGCTCAGACCCTCTTGAAGGCTTGACTAGACTGCGCTGAAGATGCGCGTCTGGACTGTGGTTCGTCACGTAGCAAACACATCCATCAATAGACTTCTGCAGCAACTGTCGTGGTTTGCTGTAGCTAATTGGAGATTGTCTCTTGAGGCAAATTTGCCCATGACGAACCCGTGGGTCGAGGGTTCATCTGCTATTTCTGGGGATTTTGCTTCTCTCTAGGGTAGCAACTAAACTCTACACTCCAACATCACCAGCTCCCCTCAGGTCCAGATTTGGTATGGGGAGTCACACGTTGCTTGTCAGACACTTGCTCAAATAATGTGGAATAATGGAATAATAGCATCATGGCATTGCTCAACATACCAACTCGTCTTCCAGAGCTAGTTGATAATGCAGCGTGTCTCGACCCATTAATCATGCACCTCCCATCAAACTCCAGTGTGTCCCCGTCTAGATACAAAGAAGAAACCCAGCTTCAGAGAAAACACCCCCAGAAAGAAAACACCAGAACCTATGACGAATTGAAACTCCCTTAATCCTCCCACTCTTCGTCCAGCTGGTCAATCAGCCGGTTCTCAGCCTCATTGTTGCGATCCCTTCGGCTGGGACTCGAGCTCACTCTGCTGTAGCCACGCCGAGGAGCGATGCGACGGATGCAGGCCGTAAGGAGGCGGAGAAACAGATCCTATAGAAACAAAAACATTCCCCCGTCAGTCCCACAATCTCCTTTTTTTTATCATGTCCAGTGACTCAGGGAAGATATCTCTCCCGCTTCGAGGAAAGGGGACGACGCACGCAGATGAAGCTCCAGATGCCGGCCCAGAGGCTGTAGTTGGGAAGTTGGCGCCACCCGCGGGCGTGGGCCACGGTTCGGTTGTAAAAGATGCCGCCCAGGAAGTAGACGAGCACGGCGATGAGCACAATCAGCCCAAAGATGCTGCCGGGGCCTACACTACCAGGCTTGTGCGGCTCGGCGTGGGCGCAGGCGTGCGAGGACCGCACCTCGAAGAAGTAGGCGCACTCTTCAGGGTCGGTTCCCACAAAAGAGACGCTGGCAGAGGTGCTGCCGGGATCTCTGTCGCAGTGGAACGAGATGGTGGTTGACTTGCGCCTTCGAGTGTCTACCGGCTTGGGCTCCTGAGAGGCCTCGGGTACGGGGGTATAAGTCGCATCCTCATCGTTATAGCTGAAATCGCTCCGTCGTCCGAATACGTTTGTCGGTTCGGCATCTTCACCGCAAGGAGAGCCACCGGTGTATTGTAGAACTAGCTTGCGACCTCGACTCTGCAAATCCATCGATTGGGAGCTGCTTCTATTAGCTGGCGCATTCTCACGGACATACTCATGTCAACCAACCCTATAGAAATAATCTCTCCGCGCGACATGTAGTATGCGCTTACGTTCTGCCAAAGACCAGAATCTACACCCACGACATCGTGCACGGGGTCGACAACGGCGCCGCAGATGTTGAGTGTAAAGTTCCTGCCGTAGTCATACCCCTTTGAGAAGTAATCCTTGGTCACGGCCGACTTCTTTGTGTTGTCATCGGCCATCACAGCCATGTCCGGCCGCAGGTCGTAGAAGCCGCCACTACCGGTATGCGACGTAGCCGTACATGCTGGGGCGTGGGTTGTGGTGGACGGAAGCTCGTCCGGCTCTGCGCTGACGGCTGAGGCTATGGAGAGGAGGAACGGCAATGATCGGAAGCGCATATCGACGTGTCTAGGGATCGTTTAAACGGACGAGATGGACGAGATTCGTGGTCGCGCCTCGAGGCAGATTCAGCAGTTGGAATCGCGACAGCAGCACCTGGACAACTAGACGTCACAGACCAAAAAAGAAGGAACGTTAAAGATGGAGAGAGCGTGAACAAATCTCGACATACAAAAAATGAGGCTTCAATCGACTCTGAAGATGAACAGGTTCAAGTTGACAAGTGAAAGTGTATGGTATCCCTTGATTACGCGTGCGTTCCCCATCGACACTCAAAACCTCAAACTGTCTTCTCCAAATTAACACCCCCCGGCAGCCTGCCCTTGAGAGTTTAGGGGGGCTTGGTCCCGTGGCGATGGTGGCTGGTGATTGGCTGTAAGCTACACCAAGGACAGGGTGGGAGGAGAGGCGAGCGAGTATGACGAGGACACCGGCGTAAGTGTTTGTCCGGGTGAAGCTTGTCCAAGTCGGCGTCCTTGGCTCCCGATCTCCGTGCTCCCCCCTGAAAGTTTATCGAAGCTCTCTATTTGTCAATTGCTCTCAGAGCCGAATACGACGGGTAGCGGGGCCCTTGTTGTTGCGCAGGCCGTCTTTAAATGAGCCGACGCGGAACTCGATCACTCCGCGACGGTAAACGTGTACGTACGTGCATTCAGGGAAAAGATTTTTTTGCCAATGGTGGGCTTTGTGTTGAAACCTGAGCGTTGCTAGTTGATTGTGAGGAAGTGGCTTCTCAGGGGCTTTATAACATCTCGAGATCCCTCCTAGATCTTGCATACCCTTGCTCAATTGCACCCGCGACACAACGAGCTTCGTCCACCGCAAGATGGCTCTCAAGTCTAGCAAGGCTGTCTCTGAGGAGCAGCATGGCTACGAGTTCTTTGGACCGTGAGTTGACCCTCGACTAACACGATTGAAGACTACTTACTAATTAACGTGTTAGTCCCGGTGCATTCGCCATCTCCTTCCTCCTTCCCGTCCTCGTATACGTCTTCAACTTTGTCTGCAACGACATCTCGGGTTGCCCCGCGCCGTCTCTGCTGAGCCCCAAGACCCTTTCGCTCGACCAGCTCAAACAGGAGGTTGGATGGCCACAAGATGGCTTCGCTGGACTTGTTAGCTGGGAGGCTTCTGCTGCTACGGCTGGCTACATCCTGCTGTCTCTGATCCTTTACCGCGTGCTTCCCGCTCATGAGGTGGAGGGCACTGAGCTGCGCTCTGGGGGTCGTCTCAAGTATAGACTCAACAGTGTGTTACACCGTCCCCAACTCTTGCAGGAATAAAGTGCTGACTGTCTCAGCTCTGTACAGCAGTTCGTTCACCCTGGCTATTCTCGCCGCCGGAACCGCAGCCCAGGGCGCCGAGTTCCCCGTCTGGACCTTCATCTCGGACAACTTCATCCAGATCTTGACCGCCAACACCATCTTCTCGTACGCCGTGGCCACCTTTGTCTACGTCCGGAGCTTCAGCGTCAAGCCGGGAAACAAGGAGAACCGCGAGCTCGCCGCGGGAGGGCACACGGGCAACATGCTGTACGACTGGTTCATTGGCCGCGAGCTGAACCCCCGGGTTGTCATCCCCCTGATTGGCGAGGTTGACCTCAAGGAGTGGCTGGAGCTCCGACCTGGCATGATGGGTTGGATCATCTTCAATTGCTCCTGGTGTGCGCAGCAGTACCGCAACTACGGCTACGTTACCGACAGCTCCATCTGCATCACACTTGTCCAGGCCGTCTACGTCTTTGACTCTTGGTGGAACGAGCCAGCCATTCTGACCACCATGGACATCACGACTGACGGTTTCGGAATGATGCTTGCCTTTGGTGACATTGTCTGGGTGCCCTTTGTCTACTCCCTGCAGACCCGGTACCTGGCTGTGCACCCTGTCTCACTCGGCCCTGTTGGTCTTGCTGTGATGCTGTCCCTCATTGGTCTTGGCTTCTACATCTTCCGCTCTGCCAACAGCGAGAAGAACAACTTCCGAACCAACCCCAACGACCCCAAGGTGTCCCAGCTCAAGTACATCCAGACCAAGAAGGGTAGCAAGCTTCTCATCTCTGGCTGGTGGGGAATTGCTCGACACATCAACTACCTGGGCGACTGGATCCAGTCTTGGCCCTACTGCCTACCCACTGGTCTTGCCGGCTACCAGATCCTGAACGCCGGTGCCCAGGCCGAGGGAGCGTTGGTGATGCGGGATGGCCGAGAGGTTGTCCAGGGTGAGGCCAAGGGATGGGGCATGCTCATCACCTACTTTTACATCCTGTACTTTGCCATCCTCCTCATCCACCGCGAGCGCCGTGACGACGACAAGTGTCACCGCAAGTACGGCGAGGACTGGGAAAAGTACCGCAAGATTGTCCGCTACCGGATCATCCCCGGAATCTACTGATGGATTATGGGGCAATGGGGAAGCCAAGGATCAAGTTTTACAGCAGCCTAGAGTGTTGTTGGCATTAGAGAGAGGGATATGCAAGTAGAATGGGTCGATCCAGGCTTTAGTCGGCTATTGTGATGGATCACCTGCGGAACAACATCTTACAAATAGACAAGACTATTCACCTGCCTAGACAGGTATCAAGCTCTACGACCTCTAGACATGTGTACTCGTTTTAACCTTATTTTACCTGACCTGAGGATCCCTTCGTCCACGTTCGGGTCGGGACCAACACGAGCCGGAGCGTGAGAACCTGTAGCAACCCGACCTGTGTACCACGGAACACCAATTCCACAGGATGGGCTTATACCACGTTGCTTCTGCATGGCAAGAGTGGAAATCCGGGTAAACTGTAACCTTGTGAACGAGGGAGGAGGGGCTTAGACTCGGTCGACGGATGGTGGTTCCCCCTCGTGGAGAGAAGAGCGTGCAGCACCACGAGGCCCTCGTTGGAGTCGAAACGGGCCGAAGAGCGCGGGGCCGATGGACGGACGATCGGTCGACGACGCGGGGGATTTTTGGGATGCGGGGAGGACGTGAGGAACAAGGGTTCGAAGGTGTTGGCGTCATCTTTTAGCCAGGGGGTTAAAGGTAACCATTGGAGGCTTGTCAAACGTATGAGAGAAAGCTGTTCCTGTGTCTTGGTCAGCTACGGAGTAGAAGAAGCTCCAATTGCACACATAAAAACGCGTACGCCAGTTCAGCTGTCAAACGCGTGGAAAGGGGATCGAGTGAGATGAAACTGAACACTGAGTTACGCCGTTGGGAAAGCTAGCATGTCGATCACCATCTCCAGCCCGGGAGTTTTGGAATCAACTATCGATTCTTCTGCCCTCGACAAGGATCAATGCCAAGAAGACTTGGGATGCATCACGTAAAAAAGAAATTGACGTCAACATGGGCCAGAAACCTTACATCTGTAGACCATTGAAGAAGATGGGTTGATGCCTGTCGGTCGAGTAAAGCCGAAGCATCAGCATCAGCTGGTCATTTCGCAGCAAAAGAGCCCATGACTGCCGTCATTGCAACTGCTTGAACTGGTCCATCATCGGCCCTATTCCCCACGAGTCGCAGGGGGGGGCGTAGCCTGGCAATGCCGGGCTGTTGGACCGCGCCCTAGCCTTCACAGTTGGAGGATTTGTGGGGTACGACTAACGATCGGCGAGAGCGTTCTGGAGCTTGTCATCGAGTTTGGTGTCCAAAAAAGCTTCCGAGTCCTTGAAGGATATGTCGTACCAAGTCTGGAGCCCTTCTCGAGGGGGGGAAGGGATACGCGGAAGAGAAAAAAATGGGTTGGCGTGAGCATTTGGGAAGAAGAGGGGAGGGAGAGGGTAAAGATCCTGGGCAAGACATGCGCTTGTTCGGATGCCCTGGCACGAGAGCAATATCGGCACATAAAAGGCCACACAGCAGCTGCTGGGTCTACTTTTAAATTGACCAGTAGTCTCAGCCTTTCTTTATATATAGGCCAATTCCCTCCTGCTTGACTGCATCCCCTCAGGCTTGATTCCTCGGGCCTGGTCTTTATATCGTCCCATTGACTGAGCTCTACAGTGGTTCCAGGGGCATACGGCAGATGGGCCGACCACAACACAGACCTATTTCCAAAACAACATAAATACAGAGCAGATTAAATGTTTGTATTATCCATATTCGAGAGTCTCTACAAATACCAACACATAATTAACCGTCAAACAGAAAAATACAGCAAGAATGAGGTCGGATTGGCTCCTCGGGGCTCTTCTGCTGGCCACTGCCACAGACGCTGCAGCTCCTCCCAGGGTGAGCAATCCCACTTCCCACTGAAGGACCCCTCCCTCGAGTCCACACGACCCTTGCATCTTCCCACAATTCCCTTCTTTCTTCTCCACCTCCGCCTTTCACCACCGCAAATCATCATCGTCGCTCCGCTTCACAACCCCTGCACAAGTTCAAGCTATTTGCCATTCTTTTGCCGCTGTGCTTTCCGAGATGCGTTCCCCTACCGCTCCCCCCGATTACGACCTCGTTCTTTTGGAACTTGTTGTGATCTTCATTCTGGGTGTTTTGTTGCTTTGCATTTTCTTCTTTAACTACGCCCTTGAGCGTATGTACGACGAGTGGTTAGACGAACTACAAAATTGGCACGAGGAATAAAAGGACAATTCGCTTCTGTGAGATCGACAAGATGCGGTTCACCGTCCTTCTCGCGGCATTTTCGGGGCTTGTCCCCATGGTTGGTTCGCAAGCTGACCAGAAACCACTACAGCTCGGTGTGAACAATAACACTCTGGCGCATTCACCTCCTCACTATCCTTCGCCATGGATGGATCCTGCTGCTCCTGGCTGGGAGGAAGCCTATCTCAAGGCGAAAGATTTTGTTTCACAGCTTACCCTTCTTGAAAAGGTCAACTTGACCACTGGTGTTGGGTGAGTCACTTGTTTTCCTCTCTCCTGACGTGACACTTTGCTTTGGCCTGCTTCCTATATCGTCTACTAGCATTGCTAACACTCGAGGCAGATGGATGGGCGAACGTTGCGTCGGCAACGTGGGTTCACTCCCTCGTTTTGGAATGCGTGGTCTCTGCATGCAGGATGGCCCCCTCGGCATCCGCTTGTCTGACTATAACTCTGCCTTTCCTACTGGTATTACAGCTGGTGCCTCTTGGAGCCGTGCCCTTTGGTACCAACGTGGCCTCCTGATGGGCACCGAGCATCGTGAAAAAGGCATCGACGTTGCACTTGGGCCTGCTACTGGTCCTCTTGGTCGTACTCCTACTGGCGGCCGCAACTGGGAGGGTTTCTCGGTTGATCCCTACGTTGCTGGCGTTGCCATGGCCGAGACTGTTAGCGGCATTCAAGATGGTGGTACTATCGCCTGTGCTAAGCACTACATCGGCAACGAACAAGGTATGCCTCTTCACTTCTCCTCGCTGATAAATCTGCTCACAACAACCTAGAGCACCATCGCCAAGCCCCCGAATCCATTGGCCGCGGCTACAACATCACCGAGTCCCTGTCGTCGAACGTTGATGACAAGACCCTCCACGAGCTCTATCTCTGGCCGTTCGCAGATGCCGTCAAGGCTGGTGTTGGTGCTATCATGTGTTCCTACCAGCAGCTGAACAACTCTTACGGTTGCCAAAACTCTAAGCTTCTCAACGGAATTCTCAAGGACGAGCTAGGATTCCAGGGCTTCGTCATGAGTGACTGGCAAGCCCAACATGCTGGAGCTGCTACCGCTGTTGCAGGCCTTGACATGACCATGCCCGGTGACACTTTGTTCAACACCGGATACAGCTTCTGGGGTGGTAACCTGACCCTCGCTGTAGTCAATGGCACTGTTCCCGACTGGCGTATTGACGACATGGCTATGAGAATCATGGCAGCTTTCTTCAAGGTTGGCAAGACTGTTGAGGACCTTCCTGACATCAACTTTTCTTCTTGGTCTCGAGACACTTTTGGCTACGTTCAAGCCGCTGCCCAAGAGAACTGGGAACAGATCAACTTCGGAGTTGATGTTCGTCACGACCACAGCGAACACATTCGACTCTCGGCCGCCAAGGGCACCGTCCTCCTTAAGAACTCTGGCTCATTGCCTCTGAAGAAGCCCAAGTTCCTTGCCGTCGTTGGCGAGGACGCCGGCCCGAACCCTGCTGGCCCCAACGGCTGTAACGACCGCGGATGTAACAACGGCACTCTGGCCATGTCCTGGGGCTCAGGAACAGCCCAGTTCCCTTACCTCGTTACTCCCGACTCAGCGCTACAGAACCAGGCTGTCCTCGACGGCACTCGCTACGAGAGTGTCTTGCGGAACAACCAGTGGGAACAGACACGCAGTCTCATTAGCCAACCTAACGTGACGGCTATTGTGTTTGCCAATGCCAATTCCGGAGAGGGATATATCGATGTTGACGGCAACGAAGGCGATCGGAAGAATTTGACCTTGTGGAACGAGGGTGATGACCTAATTAAGAACGTCTCCTCAATCTGCCCCAACACCATTGTTGTTCTGCACACTGTTGGCCCTGTCATCCTGACGGAATGGTATGACAACCCGAACATTACCGCCATAGTGTGGGCTGGTGTACCTGGACAGGAGTCCGGCAATGCTCTTGTGGACATCCTTTATGGCAAAACAAGCCCTGGTCGCTCTCCCTTCACATGGGGTCGCACCCGAAAGAGTTACGGCACTGATGTCCTATACGAGCCCAACAATGGTCAGGGTGCTCCTCAAGATGATTTCACGGAGGGAGTCTTTATCGACTATCGTCATTTTGACCAGGTTTCTCCTAGCACCGACGGCAGCAAGTCTAATGATGAGTCCAGTCCCATCTACGAGTTTGGCCATGGTCTGTCCTGGACCACGTTTGAGTACTCTGAACTCAACATTCAAGCTCACAACAAGATTCCCTTCGATCCTCCTATTGGCGAGACGATTGCCGCTCCGGTCCTTGGCAACTACAGTACCGACCTTGCCGATTACACGTTCCCCGATGGAATTCGCTACATCTACCAGTTCATCTATCCCTGGTTGAATACTTCTTCTTCCGGAAGAGAGGCTTCTGGCGATCCCGACTACGGAAAGACGGCCGAAGAGTTCCTGCCCCCCGGAGCTCTCGACGGGTCAGCTCAGCCGCGACCTCCATCCTCTGGTGCTCCAGGTGGAAACCCTCATCTTTGGGATGTGTTGTACACTGTTAGTGCTATCATCACCAACACTGGCAACGCCACCTCGGACGAGATCCCGCAGCTCTACGTTAGTCTCGGTGGCGAGAACGAGCCCGTCCGCGTCCTTCGCGGGTTCGACCGAATTGAGAACATTGCGCCTGGCCAGAGTGTCAGATTCACAACTGACATCACTCGCCGCGACCTGAGCAACTGGGACGTCGTCTCTCAGAACTGGGTCATTACAGACTACGAGAAGACCGTATATGTCGGGAGCAGCTCCCGCAACCTGCCTCTCAAGGCAACCCTGAAGTAAATACTGCATGATGAAGGGTGGCAGACTGCATTATTCTTTTTGGCGTTTCATGAGTAGCCTCGGATGGCTACAGGCATAGCACAAACAAGCAAGCAAGCACGTTGGGTGTCTTGATGTACCTATAACTATGGTCTAACGTCGCATGAGGAACATGACGATTATTCACGTTCTCCTTGGTCCCTTCGTTGTGACTTGCTCCGTGACTAGCCTATGCTTCGACTGACTCTTTGTATAATCCCAGTCCCTTGATATCTCTTGTTCCCCCAGTAAACTGTAGGCGTTTGCCCGAACCGGTTCTCTTCCATCTTGCCATAAACCTCGGCATCGTCTCGATTCTGGAACGCAGGTGCTACGTGGTATCGCCCATCACCACCACATCAACTCGCTAGACTTCGGGACCCTTGTACGTGGAGAACTTTTTGGGAATCGGAGAACGATCGTGTGTATCAGGGGCAGAGGTGCGTCTAGGGAAGAACTTCTGTTAGCTTCCAGCTCGACATCCTAACACTGAACCTAGTTTGATTTTTCTGGAAGAAGGAGGTACTCACTGTACAAATATTAGACAAAGACCGATGGAGAACATACTCGGGTAAGAAACGAATATTCTTATCAATGAAACGTCTCGAGGAAACGTCTGGGAAAGGTTTCTGAAGATGACTTTGAGCTTGTGGTGTCTAAAGCAACAAGTGATATCTACTTCCGCTAAGGGGGACCAAGAGTTGGTACGTTCGAAGTCGGTGCTGGGACGGAGGCCGGGGACACGTTCGAATATAGAGTCATTTCTGCAGTGGAGCAATTGTTAGTCCGTGACTTGAACAATGGAGATGTGGTCGGCCGATAGAGACTTGAAGAGAGGTGGAGGGTTACGTGGGGGTCTTGGAACCCATGAAATTCTGCTGGACAAGGTTTTTCTCTTGATAGACGAAGGCATCTCAGGGTAAGGGGCGGGAAATGGAAGAGATTGAATTGGAAGACTCTTCTAGAATGCTTAGTAGTACCCCTTTTCCAAGCACCATTTAACCTCCTGTCGGATATATGCTCAATACCAAAGAACCCAATTCTTGGCCTGGATCCTCTATAGAGAGATATAAGACGCCCAGAGGATCGTATCGTGTTGGAAAAGATTTGGCAAATAGGGAATTCGGAGGAGGCACTGGCGGAAGAGGATCGGGGGTCGGTGGGTGCTTCGGGATCGAGGGGACTCTGTTCCAGGCCAAGGTTAGGGTTTGAACTAGGCAACATGGTCAAGGCCAGGTAGTAAAAAGGGGTTGGTCTTGAATCATTGGATTCAGGTGTTGGCGGGAAACAGCGAGCCTTGAGCAAAGATAAGCCACTACTAACCTTGAACTCAGGGTTTGCCAGCCGTTTGGTACACACTGAGGTTAATGAAGAGTGCATCCTTCCTCATCTCATATGCCGTGAGCACATGATATGGATTTTTTCTCCATCTCTTCCACCCCCCCTTTGTCATCTTGCCATCCTTCATCTTGGGCCTTTGCCATTTCTCTATCCTCGGCTCGGGTGCCCCTATCTTGAGGATCTGCTGGCCCAGAACGCAGGCGAGGGGTTGGTCTTCGGGGAGGACGTGGAGTGTAGTCATCTGAGACAACTTGATTCAGTTTCTAGAGGAGTGTCGGATTAGCTGCATGCTGTCTCGGCAGTTGGAGTCGAACGGATCATGTTTTTTTTGGTAGCGGCGAGGGCAGGTTTGGAGGAGCATTAGGAGAGTAGCACTTGACATACCTGTGGGGTAGCTGACAAAGGTCTCAATAACAAGGCCTTGATCGTCTTCGTTGCTTTCGTAACTTGACGTGATAGTCTTGGAAGAAACCTTGGAGCGAGGTTGGTGGCGTTCCGAGTCAGGGGCGGTTCGGCAGACAAGGGGGTTAAGAGAACCATTTTGCGGATGATTTCCCACTCAACCGTCTGTTGTACTGGGGGTTGGGAAAAGACTGTACGACACTATCAATGGCTTGAAACGTATAGAAACGGAGCTACTTCCACTTTCATCTGCCTCGGCCCCTGAATTGTCCATGTCTCCGGAGATTGCCATGTTTGTGGCTCATCCCCTCTCCCTGTGTAGACCGTTCACGTATTCGGCTGGGAATGGTACTTGCTGTGAGAGCATCGGCAGATGATAGATTCTCTGAGTAGATGATTCACTGCTCTGGGGCTTGTTGGGTCGCACTCTTCGTCCGTCCGTGTACACTAGCATGAGAATTCTAAGTCAGCTGGGTTCGTTGCTACCTATCCAACGCTCTTTCCACTCAAGGGAAAAGAACCACGTTGTTCAACTGTAAGAGTGGGAGTTCGTGGTCTCGCAATCTCATCCCGAGGATGTCTTTGGGTTTGTCTGATCATCCAACTGCCGGACTTCTTCATAAGAGGGAAGTTCTTACCGACTGATCATCCACAAACCCGTCTCACGACGCCTATTCCTACTCGATCAAGAGCCCGGTGAAAAGGGTTTCGTACTCGGAGTCCGATGGCCACGTCATCTGGGATTCAAATCGGTCCGTAGTGTCCTCACGGTAAGGCAATGAATCAGCAAGAAAATCAAAAGTGTATCTATCCCCGAAGTCAGCAGGTATAATGAGTAGCACACCTCGCCTATGATCAAGATTGTGTGGCTTGTCCTAGCCGAGCCGTCAGCTTCCACAAGTCCTCGAGCCCCCTTTCCTCCTGCATTGGGGAAACCTTGCGAGGCGGGGGGAACACATTGTACTTAGGAAAAGGTGCTATTTAAATGCGAGGCCATCCCGATCGTGAAATACTCGTGAAGAATTGCTGCCCGACAAGTCTTGGTGCGCCATCTCAGTGTCTCTAGGACCATAGAGGTAAGAGTCAGCAGTCTCTCCCCCATTGAGTTTGCGTAGGACTAACGGGTAGTTGAAGCAGAGATACGGCGGAGAGCGAGTGGTCAGATGGCACCTAGAGAGGGAGCTCAGGCAATCCTGCTGTCACAGACTCCGCTAGATGACTTGAATCTGTACCTCTGTCGTTTTGTTAGGGCAGCCCACTGAGGCCCTGAGGGGACTCAGGTTCGCCTGGTGGTTCGCCCGGGCCAGATTGTGTTGCTGGTCTTGGGACCTGGGCCTGGCCTGGCCTCGTCCTCGGTCATCGTTCGTCGTTCATCGTTCTTTTTATCTCGGGCCCCGATGGTCCATTCTGTTCGACTTGTCCGCACGGCGCGAATCTGGCATTCTCTTGGTTTTGGCCTATTTCTAATGGGATGCTGTTAGTTTGATTTCTCTCCTCTCCCAGATAACCTCAATGAGAAACGATCCTTACCAAACTCTTGAGAATCCTTCCTCCATTCCTGCAAACCCGCACTGTGTCACAGAAAGGAGCGAGCGAGGAAGCATTGCCATGACTGATCTTACAACCGGGTGCGGATCAGGAGCTGGGAATTTCGCCAGCCAGGCACGAGCAGTTCGGTTCCACGGCCAGTATCACAATGACAACGGGACAAACAGTCGGGCAAAAAGGGGCATCCGAGGTTTGATAGGGCAAACCCCTCGGCAAGCGGTCACAAAAACAACTGCCGACGGTTGCCTGCATGCGCTGGCGAGGAACGCTTGGGAAAGGCCAGTGGGCATCGATGGATGGGGAATCGTCTGGAACTTCTGTAGCGGAATAGAGAAAATTGTTCTCAAAATTCAGGCTCCTACTTTTTGGTGGCTGCGAAGCCCTCACCTATTCGAACCCCACACGTGACTATCCTTCTTTGGAACAGACGTCTCTTGGACTTTTTGATGATGATTCTTTATGGACCGAAACACGCTGCTCTTTGATGTCATCAAAACATGGCATGGTGGAGGAGAGACATGCATGTTCCATTCCTTGCAGTTGACGTATGCATGCACCAGACTTCCTCCTACCAAACCCCAACGTGTCTCAGCAGAGCCGCATGGACTCACCAAGAGGCATCCAGGACCAAAATGTGAGTTGGGAACTCCCCGCGGCTGTTGAAACACAAGATTCAGCGTTTGGCGGTAAAGCTGACCAACCGAATCAACCGGGGCAGAGGGAGCTCATCCCGTCTCTGGCTGCACAGACGCTGCCCAACGAACAGTCTGCCTGCTCTATGCTATGACTCATGCAGCTCGAGTTCCCACTACGACCGGGCGTCTTTGCTTTCGACCATCCTATGACGAGTCCCACGTTAGACGCCGTAGAAGACCTCGCCAGAAAAACTAGCACATGACAATCGAGAGGACAGGGGCGGAGCAGCCGACACACGGTCGTTCGAAAACGAGGCGACGAGAAGTTTGTGGCAGACTGTGATACTGACAGCGGAGCAGGTGCTTGAGCCTCAACAACACTCGACCACCACCACCATCGCTGCCTATCATCACGACTTTGCTTGGGCTGGCCTCGTGTCTCTTTTGGCAGTCATGGACGACCAGCACCCTCGGTCAGGCTTACTATTATCAACCTGCTTCGACCTAAAATCTACAACAAGAGTCCCAGAGTCTTCAGCTATGCCGTTGACTCGCTAGTTCGAAGCCGGTCAAGTACCAGGACGGAAAGGGGCGGCTAAACAATCTTGACGAGGGCTGTCAACAAGGTACGTCACGCGTATGGCTAGTTTGTGAGACGTTGCATGTAGACTAATTCAGCATGGGAGTCGAATGGGAACACACCCGTTCTAATTCTTCTCACGGCTACGGGACGGAACCAACCGGAAGCGAACCCGAGGTAGACTCCTCGACGAATTCTTAACAAACGAGAGCTGATCATCTGATAGACTCTTCTCAATCCATCGCTTCATGTCACCTTGAAACTCCTTCTCAACAAGCAGTCGAGCCCATAATGTTGTACAAAAATTGTCCCCCTCCCATTTATCCCGACGCTGAGCTCTGATGCACGACCGAAACTTGTACGCCGCTGTACTTCCAGCCAGGTGTCTCTACCCCAAACCTATGCTTGTCCACGGTCAAGACCACAAAGACAAGGCAGCCACATCGTCACCGCCTCATCCAAACCGCGAGGCTACAGAAACATGTTTGCCTTCAGGGGAGAGTCAAAAAGCCTTACATATGCTCGAGCCCGAAAATCGGCACCCCCCTCACCGCGGAGGCCTCTTGCTATGAGAGCACAGAGATGGGGTGACAGGACGAAAGACGGATGCCTTGATGGAGCACCCGCTTTCGACAGTGAGTCACTGTCCAGTTGAGAAGAGGCAGAATCGGATGGAAGGGCCATCGGTTTTAGTCTCGTTGGCGCCTAAGGGGGCTATCGACAAAGAGCCTCATCTCCAGTATAAGTACGAGGCTTTCATCCCTGGAATGGCGACTATCATTCTTGCTCATCACAAGCAACTACAAGCTACTATAACCAAAGATCAAAACATCAGATTTTTATCCTTACTCCAAGGTCAGTCCATGCAACCTCGTCGAGGGGTCGAGTCCACGGCAACGCAAGCTAACATGGAGGTTACAGATAACCTCATCAGCGACACTCATCCAAACATCCGGCACCTCGAGACACCATGCGGCGCGAAGCACTTGTCCGAATGCCGGCCGGAGCTCAAAGACAAGGTGTCAGGCAGGAATGCGCGGCTGATGGATGTTCCAATGAGCCTGCTAGGTCTTCCTCCACGAGAGGGTATTACCATTTCTGCCATCGTCGTGAGCATTCCACGTCCAAGTTGAGTACGAGTCGTATCTAACGGATGATAGACGCCTGTCAAGCTGGACCAAACAACTGTGGTGACCAAACAAGAAAGGGTGAAAAGTTCTGTGAGAAGCGTACGTTGATGCCACCCAGACCAATGAACCAGAGGCTGATCAACTTAGACGCCGAATGTGCCGACCCTGATTGTCACGTCAGGCTTGAACCCTACGACCTGAAATACTCCGAGATTGGAGCAGACAGATGGTTTTGTCCGGACCGTTCGTGCCCCTCTTCATCCTGCCTGAATATGAAGACTGACAAGACATAGATGCCTGCACAGAGGGAGGCTGCTACAAGAGGCGTCGCGACTCTGTCACCCTGTTCTGCGCAGCACATGCCAAGGAGAACCAATGCAGCAAGCCAGGCTGCGAAGAGATCCGAGTTCCCGACGGCCTGCTCTGCAAGCAACACACTTGCAACGAGCCTGGGTGTCTTCTGGAAGTCTATCCACAGGGCCAGAACGAGAAAATGTGCTCTCAACACCAGCCCTGTGGCTTTGCAGGCTGCAGGCGCTTCACACACCTGGATGGCAATGGACATCCAGAGACGTTGTGTGCCTACCACCACCTGTGCCGGGCCCCCATCAACCCCCCCTGTGATGGCATAGTCGATGGCAACAGCGATTACTGCCCGCAGCACAAGTGCGGTGTGGTGGGATGCAACAGATGGCGTGACAACCGATTGATCCCAGAGAACCGGTGGTGTACCCCTCGTGAGTTCCATCCATCTTAGACAATAGCTAGACAAGATTTAGACTGACCATTACTTTTCAGATACTTGCACAACCGAGGAGTGCCAGCAATGCATCACCAACACGGATGACCCAAACTCACGACACTGCGCTATGCACACGTGCTCGTGGATGGGCTGCTCTGGAGAGGCCCGCATGAACAGCCGGTTCTGCTCTGATCACGTCTGCAGGCTACACAGCTGCGAGCTTCGACGGTTGGACGGATTCAACTTTTGCCAGAACCACGTCTGTAGCCATAGAGGGTGTCAGAATCCCGCCAGGCGCCCAGAAGGCGGTTGTCGCCTCCATGATGGTGGGTGGAACGACTTTTCTGGGAGTGACTCGGACTCTTCTCACCGCCGCAGACGGCAAAGACAAGGCCTGCCGCGACGCAATGACCATCGCCAAGGTCCTAGATGGGTCAGCCCTGGTCACCGCCGGCCACGAAGAGTGGAAGAAGAAGTAGAGTACGAAGACGACGGATACTACACGCTGAGTGGGAGGAATTCTAGGGATGTCAGTCCCGGACCTCGCTGGGTACGAAGGCGAGATGGGCTTGGCCCATTCGCTCCACAGTGGGGGTTCCAGGCGAATGTTCCACGAGTATTCAGGGACGCTCGGGAGGTTGAGGACATTCAAAGGGCGAATCAGCAGGCGGACAGGATCATCCAGAACCGGAATCGTCGATGGTTTTAGTCCCGTCACTAAGGGACTTCTCATCTGTCCTGGGGATTGGGTTGGGCTGGGGACAGATGAGAGGAACGTCAGGACAGTTACCAAAAGAGGTAGGTCAGGATTGTTGAATCTGGGATCAAGGTACAAGAGACTAATTGATTGCAGTTGTGGGGAGCCTGGATTCGAGGTCGACATTCAGACTAGGAGATTCATGTCTTGGCGTTCGTTTGCTGCGAGGGAGTTGAAGGCGTCTGTTCAAAGTGGGAGATGGGATCGAAGGGATTGATACCGTCTACTGCAACTATTCACGGGCAGATGAAAGGAGCGCCGGGACAGCTACTGAAGGAGGTAAGTTATGATGGACTCCTAGATCAAGGGATGAGAGACTAACTGATTGCAGCGGCGGCGGGCTTGGATTCGAGTTCAACATTTTTACTGTCTTCTGGCCCAATTATCCCATCAAGGACCGACATTTAACTATAAAAGTCAATATTCAGACAAGGAAATTCATATCTAGGTGTTGATTTGCTGGAACGGGGCAGAGCGGATTGAGGTGCCTGTTCAAGGTGGCAGGCATAGGAGGTTAATATCGTCTGCAACTGCATTCATTCACGGTCACTTGTACATGGGATGAGCTGGAGGATCTTTTGTCTTGTCAAACTTCCTGACATAATGAGACGAATGAAGTGCGCTAGTTAAAGGAGATTAGAGAGAGTATCAAATATTCTCCCTAGGCCTGAAGTAATACTAAAGGTTGTACTCCGTACATGAAATTCATTCCATCTGTGAGAGAAGCTTATTCCAATCCATCAAGACCCACTTTTAATCCACTCCACCAGTTTTTGGTGCGGTACCTGCATGAGGTCACATATCAACCCCTGACGGCCCCTGACGGTCCTTGACACTGCCAACTCAACACCAACACCTGCCCATCACCTGCACCCAAAAAAACAAGACCATATCAAACAGAATTGCATCTACCTCTCGCAACAAAGAGACCAGCCCCCATCTGGCCTCACGGTTACGGGTCACCAACGATCTCTGGCATTCCATGTGTCCTAGATTCAACTCCGAACTGTCCAAGCCCTCAGCGCATCATATGGGAGGCCGTCATACGGTTGATGCCGAGACGAGGATTTTGGGATTTTTTCGGATCGAATTGGATACGTAATAAATGCAGACCGAGTACCGGTGCGAAGGGGTGAAATCGAGCGTTCCTTTCCTTGATTGATCCTCGGGCCTTACCAGCCCAGCTCCCTGAGAGCTATGGGATGTTGCTATCTGAGGGACCTGTGACCATCTTTTTGCAATTAATGATGGAATTTTAGACGTAGCCATATGGAGAAGCTTATTGAAGAGGTAAAGAATGATTAATTATTTATCGACTGGTCAATTGTCAACTATCATCTGCTTGAACCACCAACCTGGGTTCCTCCACGCCAGTGCAGTTGACTCCCTTCGCACTCGCTGAATGACACCTGGAAGCATAGTACCTACAAGAGATCGAGCAGATCGAGCAGATCGAGCAGAGAGATGACTTACCGAAGCGACGGGGGAGTCGCCGCCCCCCTTACGTGACGAATCGTTGCCGGCCCAGAGAGTTGAAGTTTAGCCCAGACAGCAACGATGGCGAGGGTATCACGCACAAAGATGATACGGCTCTCTACATCCAAGGGCCCATTATCAGCCCGCTCCATGATTCTATGCACGACCTGCCATCGCACGAGCAGACGGACAAGATGAGCAGTCTCGTTCCAAGTCTCCTTGTTCGGGTTGGGGCGGTTGTAACACCACCTGAGAGGCTCGATCTCTACAAGGAGGAGAACCCATGTGCAGCGGTTTAAACAGGGATTGAAGGCGTAACCTGGGGGCTGCTTAGAGAGCCAGTCATCCCAGAGTTCGCGGAGGGAGGCTTGGAGGTCGGGGAGGGCCAGGTAGAAATCGTACACCTCCCAGTCTCTGGCGCATCTAGGGTAGACGCCATCCCTATCAACGTGTTGCCATATCATAGCCTCCATATCTAGAAAAGTCACCCTGATATCGTTCTGGCCAGAGAGTAGCTCCGTGCTGTCTGGTCTGTAAGTATGGGTTTCTGAGAGTTGTCGATTGGTGGTTCGCAGGGAAAGGTTCCAAGTTTTCATATGCCTTAAGTGTTCCTGGAACAAAGGAAAATAGGTAAACAGCATTATCTTTGTTTCATTGTATTGTTCCATCATTTTCTATGCTGTTCGTAAACAGCACAAAGAACAGGTCGACTTGGCTTGCACTTGGCGGCTCACAAAGGCCCTTCCGGGTGCTTCGATGCTTGAGAATCTAGTCTACCGGAGAATGCTGGATGCTGGGAAGACAAAGAAATCCGTTCAGGTACCAGTCAATATGGAATTTTGAGTCTCAAATGCCCACTTTTGGTTGCACAAGCTAACCACGAGTGAAGACATCGAGTGGTGAAGGATTGGGCCAACGTGTGACACTGAGGCAGGAAAGACAAATGTAAATGTCTAAACCAAGGCATTTTCACTGTTCGTTTTGTGCATTTGGGAAGTAGAATGGACGTGGGCTTGTGAATGGCCTCATCGACTCAACCTCGACCACGATGACCATGAAGGTGTGAGCTGATCCCTGTATTGACCATGCAAGAGAACATCAAGCTCCAGCAAAGACGCAACGCTGCCCAGTTATGCAGCATGTGGAGCTAGATAATTGTGGCTTTGGAAGAGTGCTTACGAAGAGGTCGGTGTGACTCTGACGGCGTGCTTTGCTAGTGAATGTCTTCAGCAAGCTGACAGACACTAAACACCAAAAACTTGCATCTCACTCACAAACATTGACAAAAGACAAACTCACGATGAGCACTCAAGACATGAAAGAAAACACGTCAACAAGCGTCGGGGGCAATGGCAACACGACAGACCTCGGCTTGCTCGCTGGCTTGGATGAGGAGGCATTTGGAGCTAGAGTCCCAGCAATCCTCTCATCCACCAGCCAAGCCATCTTCAAATCTCACCAGCGCAAACCACCCGGGACCAAAGTGATCCGATCACGCGCAACGGAAGCTCCAACAGTAGCTGCCGTCTCCGACATTCTCAAATCACCGATTCAAGACCAAGACGAGTTTTACCTTGCCTGGACGGCCCTCAACGAAGTCGTCGTGGACCTGCCTCTTGAGGATCTTCACCACTACCGTCCGGCTCTGAAAGCCGTATCCGAAACAACCGCCTCCGACACGACGGCGTCGCACTATCAAGGTGCGACGGGCCTACGCAGCGAAGCGGCATCGCTCATCCGCTTCATGGATGATCCGGCGGCGGTGTGGACTCCTCAAACAAAGGGCGACTACGTCGCCGAGCGCACTCTCAAAGAACGTGTAAAAACAGCAGAGGAGATGCGCCCGCACGTCCCGGGCCTGCTCGACTGGCTCGCCGACCCAAACTGGCCCCCGTTCCGTGGCTGTCGGGCCCAGCTGGCCAGGTTCCCGGAGGTGACAGTGGGGCCGATCAGGCAGCTCATCGAAAAAGAGAGAGGAGACGGAGGGTGGATTGCGAGTCTTCTCGACTTTGTGGATGAGTGTGTGCCCGTAAGCATGTGGGAGGAGCTCAAGCCGACAATCAAGGCTCTTGTGGAAGAAGCCAAAGGGGACGAGGACGAGTGGGAGGTTTCGGACTTGGCGAGGCAATGGTTAGAGAGGCTAGAGAAAGCCTGAGGCGAGACGTTTTACCACTGTCACATTTTGCAGCAACTCAAAACTCGCTTGTAACCGCGAGACAAGACGCCAAACAATGGACCTAGTGTCTTGTCAATGCGGTGAACAAAAGTCAGCATGACCAGAGGCTGGGAGTGTAAAATTCACAGAGAAAAGTCATTGGCTTTTTACTGTTTAATGGGCTCATCACAAGCCTTCAATCGACTCACCATTCTTATCATCAACCACCCCCTGTGCTTCTCCCCGCGCTTAAACCCTTGCGCCAATTGGACGCCTTGGTCCCCCCTCTGCAGCCCGCATCACCAACCAAGACGAATCCGCGACCGGCTTGGCCTGGTCCGATGGCACCTGAGACGTCTCATTGGCTGCTTGCCGCAGTAGTCTCTGATCGACGCCAGCCTGCGACAGGGCATGGTCTGTTGTGACGGGCTGGGAAACCCCTGTCTGCTCACGATGTGACGAGGAGGGGGATTGGAGAAGGCCTTTTTCTTGACGCCGTCTCGCTGTTTGGGAGGGAATTTGTAGTTTCCTTTCTTTACTCGCAGGCGAGCTAAACAGTTGCTGGATCAATTTTACATTCTCAATCTCAAACTTCTTACCAACAAAAAAACACAAGGCCCCATCTCCAACCAACACACATCTCCAACTTCAATCCTACCCAACCTCCACAATGGGCAACAACCTCTCTTCAACCTTTGTCCCCGACACCTCGGGCGTCGTCCTCAGCCCCCAAGACCGCGGCTCCGCCATCAAGCTCGGAATCTTCTGGGCCGCCTCCCTCTACGGATGTGCCGTCATCTTCAGCACCTGCGCCCTCGTCGACCGCTGGAAGGGTCCCTTTGACAAGAACTATGTCGGCTTCAGCTCCGTCATGGCCGCGCTACTACTATCGACTTGCTGGCCGGTCGTCATGACCTATCTATTATTATCGCAGGGGTCTCTGTGATTGTGGAGGAAAGGATAGGCGTGGGGATTTAATGGTTGAGGGACAACAGGATTGTACAACATGGCGCACTGCAGGAAGGTGTTACAAGGCGATGGAAGATATACAGAACGGCTGAAACGGGTCAGCCCAGGTTCGATTACATACCCAAAGCGAGTTTCCTATTTAATGCAAAATACCTCTATTACACCAACCTTGATCATCCCACGAGAGTATTGCGTCTACTCCTATCAGACCGAGCATCCTTTCTCCCAATGATGGATTCGAGCGCCTGTGTCAACGCCTTGGCGTCGTATTTTCCTCCTCTGCCTGTCTCATCCTTGGGTCCGTATAGTCTTGTCGCATCGATTCCAAGTAGCCCAAACTGTTGCTTATCCACCTTGGGCGAATTTGGACCTTCGATGTAGATGACGTGCGTTACGTACTGGGAGAACTCATCTTGTTCTATCTTTAGTAGACCTCTTGATTCGGCGCAGGCATTGGCGATAGCGCGGACAAAGTCGAGACCAGTAAAGGGAACCGTAGAGGGACCTGTCTCTCGGTCGGTAGTACCGTTGAGGATGAGAATCTTGTTCCGGATCTGAGGACTGGCAATGGCATCCCCCACACCGCGGAGGACAAGGCTTGGGATGAGGGATGTAAACAGGGATCCAATGCTGTACACTATGCTGTGTACTGAGCGAAGTGCATCCAAGACACGTGGGTTGGCAGGCATCTTGATCTCCTCGCCATATGGATTGATGTACCAGAGCCTGGATATTCTCGCCGGCAAGTCCTCTTCCTGTTCCTTGGAGAAGGCGATAGCAGGCCGTCGCAGCGCTGGTAGAGTTCCCGGAAGGTTGGCATCTTCTACATGATGATGATCCCACACCTCATGTCTCGATACTGTCGGGCTGTGAAGGCCAGCTGATGTCCCGGGAACAGCGGCAGTTGGCGCGCTGGGATGAGAGATATCGTTCTGGCCTGTGATTATTGTCCCATCCTCCAAGCCTGCAGCGATATGACTGGCAAAGTTGGTATTAAGAGCAGGAAGAACTGCTATCCGATCTGGCACTGAGCAAATGGAGCTCAAGAGATAAATGGCAGCCTCAAAGCTACCAGTAAAGAGGCGAGCCCCAGTGAGGAACAGATTCCCAATGCTGGCGCCAGAAAAGTCGAACCGACTACTAGGTCTCATGCGCTTCACAACTTCAAGATTGAAGCTATTGAGATAAGACCGGATGAGTTCGCGTTTCGGTGATGAAATGTCGTCCCATAATGAATGCGTGGCCTCTAGAATCTCGAACCATTCGGACCTCGCCTCAGTGTATGCCTTGGGCAAGCGATGATTAAAGAAGCGCTTTATAGCAGCCGTCTCAGGACTCCCATCATTCGGAATAAGACGAACCAGACGCGACCTCACGTCTCCGATACCTTGGCCCCGGTCAGTCTTAGCTCTGCGACCTGCATGCAAGGAGAAGGGGTCTCACCTGGCCCACCAAACACGCGGATGATCTCGCTGCTGCTGCCGCCATTGTCTGAGATGGGAATGACGTAGCTGAGCGTGCACTGGTTAGCCTCGCGGACACTCTCAAAGACGTCGACGAGATTGTTCGCGGCGCTTCCACCTGAAAAGACGACGAGACCAGAGGGGGGGCCGGGGTTGGGCGTAGCGGTGCGCCGAGGGGTCGTCAATGCAGAGGATCCACTGGAGCTTGGCAGTTGGAGGCCGAGTCCGTTTTGCTGGATGTTGATCTGAGCCATGGATAGTCAAGTCAGGAACTATTAATCAAGTTATCAGTTGTTTTTTGCTTCAAGTCGTGTAACTATACGCGGTCAAGGTGCTGGCTGACATGTGTCCAGAGTATGGAACTGGCTTGGATCAAGTTAGCGGGGCAACTGTAACCCCGATAAGGGGATCACGCCAATTGATGCATGGATGTCAATTGGAAGGAATGGTAGGAATGGGATAGCTCTATTCTTTACCTTCATCTGAAGCTCTCAATATCGTGTTTATCAACATACCCTACATTGCCATCCATTCACGATTAATTGTTCAGGCAATGTCCTCATACACAGTACAGTACAGTAGACACCGCCAATTGACCAAAGCGGAACCGGAACCGCATGAGGTACGAGTCATGGGAACATGCAACCTCCAAGATCAACGACACACAAAAAACCACCTGTCAACGCATGAATTCTTCTAGAAACCTCCCCTCCCCCACCATCCCATCCCGACCCGGGTCCGAAAAGTCGGAAAAGTGACATAAACGTCCGGCCCAAACGTGGGTCACTAGGCGGGGAACCACCGCATTATCAAGCAATAAAAGACACAATGGTGCACGATCGCACGGGGAGCTTTGCTTGTTACGGGCTGGAAGGGTGTTACCCGGAGCGGCCCCCCGTACCATACACGGCATTTGCCAGGCTCTTGTTCTCCGCGGTGAACGATCAACGGACAATTCATCACGTCAATGACTAGTTACTGGATGGACGTGCCATGCGTTGCGGACCCGCGGACCGCCGAGGTTGCGCCAGGGAAGTCCCCAGTCGCTAGGAACAAGGCGCTTTCCACGGAGAGGTTCCTTACAAATCCAACTATGGCATCTTGGGATTCTGGATCAAGGGAATGGGGTATATAGAGCTAGTCTGGTGATCTCCATCATCCAGAAGCAAGAGATTTCCTCATCATCACATCTCGACATCACATCCTCAACAATGGCTCAGACACAGATTCCCCAGACCGTCCAGCAGTGGAACGTCACCGCTCAGGATGGCAAGGATGGCTTCAATGCCCTCCAATTCTCTGAGCAGCCTCTTGCTGAACTCGGCGACAGCCAAGTCTTGGTCAAGAGTGAGTTTCAGGAACAACAATTGAATGCCTTGAGCCCAGCTAACTCGTTCCAACAGTCCAGGGCGCGTCCCTCAACGTGCGTCTTTTCCTCTACTGTGCAATAACGTTAAAGTTTCCCCTCACTAACAACGTCACAGTACCGTGACCTCATCATCCCGCTCGGCCGATATCCCTTCCCGGCTGTCCCCAACGTCATTCCCGGCTCTGACGGCGCCGGTACCGTCCTGGCCGTCGGCAAGAATGTGACGCGTTTCAAGCCCGGCGACAAGGTCGTCACTCTCTTCAACCAGGGACACATTGGCGGTTCTCTCGATGGCCTCTCCATGCGAACTGGCCTGGGCGGCGCCCTCCACGGCACGCTCCGCACCGTCGGCGCCTTTGACGAGCAGGGTCTCGTACCCATGCCCTCCAACCTCGATTTCCACGAGGCCGCGACCCTCACCTGCGCCGGTCTCACCGCGTGGAACGCCCTCTTCGGTGTCGCGGACAAGAAGGTGCTGCCCGGGCAGTGGGTGCTCACACAGGGTACCGGTGGCGTGAGCATCTTTGCTGTGCAGTTTGCCAAGGCCGCCGGCGCAAAGGTTATCGCGACCACCAGCTCAGACGAAAAGGCGGAGCTCCTCAAGAAGCTCGGCGCCGACCACATCATCAACTACCGCTCCACGCCGGAATGGGGCGCCAAGGCCAAGGAGCTAACAGGCGGTGTCGGTGTCGATCATGTCGTCGAGGTTGCTGGTCCCGTTTCGATGAAACAGTCGCTCAACAGCATCAAGATTGACGGCCTTATCACCATCATCGGTTTCGTTGGTGGTACCGACAAGGAGCAGCCTGGATTCCTTGACAACCTTACTCACCTCTGCACCACCCGCGGTATCTTGGTCGGCAGCCGGGTTCAGATGGAGGACATGTGCCGCGCTATCGAGGCCAACCCAGAGAAGCTCCGACCTGTCGTGGATCCCAAGATCTTTACCCTTGACCAGCTCAAGGAGGCTTATGAGTACCAGTGGTCGGGCAAGCACCAGGGCAAGGTGTGCATCAAGATTGAGTAAGCGGGAGTTGTCTAGGTAAAAGTAATATATTCATTGTCGCATATCAATTGTGCCTTTGTCGCACTTGGCAACGGTTCAACAGTTCGTTGCTGTGATCTTTACATCAGAACCCATGGTTCCATACACCAGACGTTGACTCCTTGTCATCTTATTGCCGGATTAATGCGAATTCTAGTGTTTCAATGGCTGAATCCCCGCGTCGCGTATGCGTGTAAGACGGGTGATCATCCGCCCGCATCTACCCAGCAGATCTAACGTGAGACTTCAACTGATTCGTTCATTAATTATATCGATAGACGATTACATCTGATCAGGCACACAACCTGTACCTGTCCCTAGCGCAATGTGTTCCTGAAACTATAGCTGCAGCCACACCTTTGACGGTCCAGACCATTCCTTAGCTGCTCACTAGCCAGCAGCCATTCCCGCGACAAATGAAAGACAAAGTTTAGTCAAAGGGCTCTAAAGCAGTAGAGCGGCGAGACCAGCCACGACACCACCGATCCAGCTGTAGCCATTGGACGAGGCCGCGTTGACGGTGACGGGTGTGGGGACAGGCACAGGAACCGGTGTGCCGGATGCAGTCTCGGTGCCAGGAGCAGGAACTGGGTTGGGATCCGGGCTGGGAGTCTGGATGACAGGAGGGACGTCGCTTGAGCCAGCGGCACCGCCATCACCACCGGAACCGCCATCGCCAGAACCGCCGTCACCTCCAGAGCCACCATCGCCGCTGGGTGCAGCGGTGTTGCCGCCACCCTGAGAGATGGGAATATCGATGGTTGTTTGGCTGACTTCGATGATGAGAGACGTCTGTGTCTCCACGATGGGTCCCTGAGGTTCTTCGGTGTCGAGAGGGTTGTAAATAGTCGTCGTTCTACCAGGAATGACAATGGTGCTGGTCATGCCGCGCGTGTTGGCACCGCCATCACCACCACATTGACTACCATTGGGACAGCAGCCGTACTCGCCATTGGTACCAACATCGCAGTATGCAGTCGGAGGGCATCCTCCAGCTTTGCTAGGACAGCAGGTCCAATCCTGCTGAATACAGCCTGTGCCGCAATCCTTGAGGCCTTGGTCGGAGCAAGGGATGGCGACGACCTGTCGAGCGGCGAGGAGAGGGCTTCGGTAAGCGGCCAGAACGCCAGTAGCCGAGAGGGCGAAGAGGAAGATCTTGTTCATGTTGGCAAGATGGAAATATTGTAGCGAGTGTCGAGGTTAAGTAGGAGGGCCAACGAGTGACTTTTTTGGTGGCGAGTGTATGTGTGATATATAGCTGAGGAGAGAAGAACGAAGGATGGATCGACAACCTGGAAGTTGGTAAACGACATTTATACTCAAGCCTTCTCTCTGAATCCTCTTGTTCATGTTGCCGGACGCGGCCAGCCCTAAGGCATCGGGTCATCGGGGCTAGCCCACGGCATCCAAGACATTCCAGCCACGAGGCACTAAGCCAAGCCCGCAACCATCACGGGGGCCTCATGGATCTACATCCAAAACGTGCATCGTGTCGATTTGATTAAGAAGGATCTGACACCTTGTCGTGTGTCCTTCCCGTGGCTTGTCTCACCAGGCGGGTTGCCCCAGAGATTGAACGACGGGAAGGGCTTTGCACGTTTTCTTCCTTAAGCGCCCAGATGTTTTCGTCGTTCTTGGCTTTCGTCTGCCTAGAAAAGCAAGCTGTACGCGGATGAGGCTTTCACTCTTGTGTAACTTGTAATTTTGTTTGTGCGGCATTTACAAAGGAGAGGGTTACGTACGCAGTACGAGGCATACGAAGGAGATATTTTTGTAAGCGTGCATAGTATTTGCTTGTCTGGTATCATTGGCGTCTGGGCATCTTAGTCTGACTGCATTTGATATGCAGGCTGAGTTTGATATTGGCTACTACTCGACCACGCTATCGAGATCTGACATTTATCCTGAGGCCAGCTCCCGTGTTCCTGATATTTTATGCCGTCAGCCCAGACGGGAGATTCACAAACCGGGCTGGTCCATGGAGAGCTTGGCACAACAAACACCTTGATTCACAGTTGTGTTTCTACTGGTGTCTCCCAAGCCTCTTCCAACTTCTTTGGCCTTGGCAGGCTTAATATCTAGAAATGCGTCATCCAATGTCATTTTGGGGGACCAGCTTGAACGCCCCCTGGCTTACTACAGCCAGTAAACGCTTTGGTACAACGAGTTCACTCGCAAAGGGCAACTCGATATCCATCTCTACTGGTTATAAAGAGGACACAAGTTGACTATTTATTACTTAAGATGAGGAATATACTTGGTATTAAATCCATGTTGTAAGAGATCACATAATATATATCAGGGAGATGGGCCAATGTCTAGATCTCAAATGACAGTTCACGACAAAGAGCCAAGGGTAGAGGCCGGGCTGGTTTTTATGTGCACATTGTATAACAAGGTACATTTCTGCCACCTTAGTTCAGTCTATCAAGCCCGACGTCTATTCACAACGGTTAGGAAACATCTCATCACGTCCAATTCTTCCCATCTTCATCCATGCACCAATCAAGCAAGTTCCAAAACAACGCTTCAAAGATTGACCTGCAGGCCTGCATGAAACCATCCGGAGCTACCCTACGTCAATAGGCTTGGCAAATTCCAGTGCCGAGTTAAGTTTAGAGATCTAGACCTTCTACGGAACAAGGTTTCAGGGCATCAAGCCCAGATCGGTCTCTGGCTTAAGCCTCATAACCTTATCGGAAGCTATGCAACCAGGAACTGCAGACGGCGCGATTTTCCCCTGGGCTGGGTCGGCTGTGGCCCAGAACCAGGACATTCCACCAACACCAATTCTTCATGCAAAGATGGCGGATCGTTCACCTATCATATACCCTAACGCGAGTTGTCGATGTTTCACTATTTCTTTTAAAAACCTAGTCTTTCTATTCATTTCAACTAGTAGCTCATAGTATGCCTGGGACAAACCCACCTCGGAAATAGATACAAAAGAATTTAACAGTATTCGGAAGGATACTAGCCCAGAGCCGCAATGCTTAGGGGGGGAAGCCTATTGAAGATCATCGACTATGAAAGATATCTCCGCCATTCCCAAATCACCAAGACTAACCTGCCACAGACCTCTACTCAAAGTACGCAGACTTAGGAGTGAGGCCATCAACAGCCCGACACAATGATTCCGCTGACGATTTCTGCTGCTCCATCTTTCTGTAATTGAACATACAGGTTAGTCATCGAACACGAAGGGTCAACTGTGTTCAAACTTACCTCGCAATAAGAGTCAGCTGGATGGCATTGAAGTGCTGCCTGCAACTTTCAAGCCTTGTCATCTTTGCCGCAGTTTCCTTTTTGTGATACCACCATTTAGAGCGAGTCCACAGGGACGATGATTTCCGTGGCACTTGGGGAGTCTGGTAAGAATTGTTGTTGTAGTCCAGTCCGGCTTGTGGAGGTGCAGTCGTGTTCTGCGGCCAAGTGTTCCCATGGTTGATACCCATGGTATTAGGTGGCTTCGGTTGTTCTTGGGCAATCTCTGGTGCAAACTCTTTCAAATAGTCCCTGATATCATCTCGGGCTTGCAGGAACTCCCTGTAGCTGCCAGTCACCGTGGGTCGCATCACCTTCATGATCGGGTCTCGTTCGGTTTCTAATTGTGCTAGGTAGGCGTTAATATCCCCGAGATGCACATCAGTCCGGTCAAGAGCCATCACCAAGTCTCGAACTTCGTTGTCAGCGTTCCGAGTGATAGTTACTAAGGCAGTGAATGATAGAAATAGGCCGAATGCGAACGTCAAGATTCCAAGTATGTTTGCAGCTGTCGTTAGCACGCTATCGCGGCATTCCGTGCCGGCTTCGGTGAGAATGCAATGCATCTGTACTGTTTGATAAGTATGTCTTTGGTCAGTGGGGTGCTTCAAGTCTTGTAGCGGCCAAGCCGCGAAGCTGGCGTGCGTTTCATATAAAAGATTATATAGGTTGGTTCTTTCAGAGTGGTAAGGATGGTTCTTTATGAGATTATACTGGAGGCATTGTTAAGAATGAGGTAACTTCTAGTTATAGAGGAGAACAACCACTGCGTAAACAAAGAACATACAAATTTAACAATAAACACGACTCAACAAGAGAGAACATAGTTGCTGCGCCAGGAATCATGACAAAGAGTGCTGTTCTAAGGACAGAGAACTCGGCACTATGACGGCATATTCCCTGAGCCGCGGCCAAGGGCTGCATAGATGGCCAATTTTCATCACCCATTGTTGTCGAATATCTACGAGTGCCGTTTTTGGTTGAGAGAACTGCTAATTGCTCCATGGCAAACAAGACATCGGGCATTAATAGGATTGGACCAGCGAGTCTTTCAACTCAGGTTGACAATTTGACCCTCATTTATGGCAAGTCTCATGAGAATGAGCTGCTCATGGTCAATTCATGAATACCGGGAAACCTCCCCTCACGTAGTCATCCGCACAGAAGGGGGCGAGTATCCTGAAGTTAAGCTAGAGGTTGACCCCAGTGGGCTCATGCCTAGGAAGCCTTTTTAAGTAACTCTTGATTGAGTTTCCTAAAGTTGCCAAGAAGTAATTCGTCAGTAATCATTTATCCCTCGTACATCTTGGCGACTTGAAAAAGTTGAAATTTCCGGGCAAGTAGGCTGGAGTTAAACGGGATTATGGAAAAATAAAGTCCGCGTCGGATGTGGCGAAGAAACCATCTCCAAGTCCGATTAACAAAAGTGAAAACAACGGGAATATTCATATGGATTTAACCTTGAGCCGAGTGGCTGCAACCAATTCGACGTCTGACAGCCTTACAACCTCAGTTGACCGTAATTGTGATGGCAGGTGTTGAAGCTTGGCGGAGATTCGACCTGTGGAGGGCTGTCTGCTTTTGATCAAGAATGCCAAGAGGCAGAAGATGGATGGAGGATAAAAGACCTTATAAGTCTTGCACGGACTCAACTATTGCCACAAGATAACAAGAACTCGCAGCAGCTCCCACACACTTCCTCCTTTTCAGCCAGGCCACAGCACATACATCATCCATTACACCATCTACACACCAACATGACCCTCTCCGAGGAACAGATCTATGCCACAATCCAGGCTGTGGTTGACGATTTCCGCGGTTGGACTCTCGCACCCATCATCCACTACCCGGAAGAAGCTGGCCTCGAGTACGAGGATGTCTTCTTCCCATCTGAAGATGGGGTTCCCCTGGAGGGGTGGTTCATCCCGTGCAAGGGCTCCAACAAGGTCATCATAGCCAACCACCCTCACTGGTTCAGCCGTGCTGGTATTCCCTCTCATCTAAAGCCCTGGGACTCGCTCGTCCCAGGCAACGACTTTGATGTCAACTTTATCCCCGATTACAAGATCCTTCATGACGCTGGGTACAACGTTCTTGCCTATGACCTGCGCAACCACGGCCACAGCGGAAGTGGTAACAACGGCCTGTTTGGTTTCTACGAATGGCGCGATGTTCTTGGTTCGCTCAACTACATCCGCAACCGCCCAGACACCAGCGACATGCCCATCGGTCTCTTTAGTCGTTGTGCCGGAGCCAACGCGACTCTGGCCGCCATGAAGCGTCACCCCGAAGCTTTCGAGGGCGTCCGTTGCATGGTTGCTCCCCAACCTCTGACTCTGCGACTCGTCTTCGAAACTCTTCTCCAGGCACTTGGAGCCCCAGCTTCTTACATGGAGGAAGCCGACCGGCGATTCTTCCTCAAGACAAGCTTTCACATCGATGATGTTGCCCCAGTGTCTGACTCCAAGCACGTCAACGTTCCGACCTTTTTGTACCAGGTCCATGATGACCCTGGCACACGGCCTGAGGATGTCCAGGCTATGTATGATAACATCCCCATCGCCGAGAAGAAACTGCACTGGATCCAGGGTACGACGAAGCGCTGGCATGGGTATACTTATTTTCAGGAGGAGCCTCAGCAGTTCTTGGACTGGTTCGCTCAGTTTATGGTATAGGCCACTGGCTTCTGGGAGGTATAAGACTTGCGAGCTTGGAATATGCGGTGGTGTAAGCACTCTTGGCCACAGCCTTACGATGAAGAGCGATAGTTAGATGTTCGACTAGCTGAATCTATTCATTGAGTACCATGAGCCTAGGGTCGTGCCGATGTCAAGGGTTGATGTGCTGTAAAACCCAGAGTGACGGGTCGTGTGTGATAGGGGTTGACACAGAGATAGGCCGATTGACGACAGTCGTATTAGTCGGAGACGAGAACCTGGCAACATGTTGGCCATCCAGTCTTAAAGGTCGGGCCATGATGGCGATCACCAGGGTTGGTAAGACGTGGCCTGATGTCCCGATTAAATTAATTGCGATCGCATGACGGGGAGCGTTGAGCCGTTGTTCGTCTAGATGAGATGTCGTCTTGTCATTCGAGTCGTGAATCTGCCAAGGCGTCTTCAGAAATGACTGACATTTCTTGTCAGAGATTGGCTGTCGGGGCATCGGACCAGGTGTGCGGAACAGAGTCCGTTCTCAGCTGGCCTGCCAGGCCTCGTCGATCATTGATCGAAGCTAACTGTGGTACCTTGCTTAGACGAGAGTTTAATTCCGATTATGCCTCGGTAAAAATGACCAACAATGTGACAGCTTCTTCCAGTGCCTTGTCGCAAACCCCCATGTGTGAGTGCTGTGGGCCAGAGTTGAGACAGGCATCGCGTCTTGCTTACTTTTACCCAATCTCCCGGGATCTGAAGAGTCTCATTTCATCTACTCTCGTTTCTGTTTTGTGACGAGTCGTTCAATTAACACTCATTGGTGGATTCAGAGCTGAGTTGGCCTTGGGCCTTGAGGGCGCTGCGGTGCAAGTCCAGGACAATGACAAAGGGTCGCGCCTTGTTTTCTATTACACAAGTACTGTAGTCTAAATGATCTATAAAAAAGAAGATTTCGAAAACGCAGGCGGGTATCGTATACTATTAAGCGGTGCTGGACGGCTCATCAAACATCTGGATCAGACAGTGCTTCTTTTTTTTCCAATAGTTGTATCCATTTCTCATACCGGAAAGTGCTCCCTCTTGAGTTGCCTCGTGGAACTTGACTCGCTCGCCATGTCTGGGTCGTCGTACTGTGATTGTCGCGACGGCTTGACAACCACCTCAGTCCTCACGGTCTTTTGGATTCCGTGCTCGTTTCGTGTTGGCAGCTCAATGTCTTCGGCCCCGGCTTCGATGTATGTCGTGTTCCCGCCGGCGAACATGGACGCCGTGTGCTTGCCCGTGACTCCGCGCCCTGAGCTCTTGCCCTGCTGTGTCGTGCGGGAGCGAGAGCCCGAGTAGTCGGGATAGCCTGAGGGGTTGCTGGCCTTGACCACCTTTGTTATGAGGTCGGCCATGTTCATCTCGATATGGAGCTTGACGAGGTATGCAAGGGGGTGAAATTGGACGTATCTGTCGTGGTGTTGGTGAGTGAGTAGGGGCAGCTGGATGAGCTGACTTACACAATGTCGTTGGGAAGAGACATCATGGCAATGAGAAGGACCTGAGTCAATTTTAGCATGAGCTCACTGTACCAGACAAGTCCAACGTACATCCATCGTCATGGATACGGCAATCATGCCCAAGTTAAAGCGAAACAGCCTCCCATACTTGGTAAGGCCATTCGCAATAAGCCGCGACCGCACCAGGTGAATAAAGTACAGGTTAAGACCGGCATCGACGAGCAAAAAGATGACCTTTTCGATGCGGTCCCAGACGTTGTTGATGTCCTTCCAGGTCTTGTTGATCCCCAGACGAGCTGGGATCCAGATGCAAAACACGCTAATGTTGACAAAGAGGATGATGATGAATGCGCCGATCTTGAGCTTTCTCGCGTTCTGTCGAACGACCATGAGGATGGCTATTCGGTTGATGATGATTTGGATGAGGGCCTGAAGTTGGATACACCAGAGAAAGACTGCCCTGCGTCAGTTATGGGGGTCATCGAGGCAAGTAAATGACATACCCAGTACAAAGAAGAAGGGAAAACCTCCCGGGATGTAAGACCGTAGATAACACCAGGTAATAGCACTCATAATAGAGCTGCTCGCCCATTCCATCCACAGCAGGATAATATAAGGGTTCAACTTTCGGCCCCTTCTCCACGATTTGATGGTTTGTCGCGTGCCCTTTGCAAACGTGAATATGCAAACACCCAGGGAAACTCCCCAGGCGATGCTCGCGATATTCATATCATCTATGCTCGGTTTGACTGTCCGGAAAACATGTTAGCCGCGGTGATCCCAAGACGGGCCTCCTCTTCAGCGGACCTGGTTTGTAGAGCGGGCCCTTCCATAGTTCGGTCATGATGGCAACGGGAGCCCGCAGTCAGCGGACGTCAGATTCGAAAGAGAGTACGTTTCGGTGTATTCTTGGAGATATTCGACAAAGCAAACACAAACTCAAACGGCAAACATGAAAGAGTGGCAGCCGAAACAGGGAGCGGCAGGATACATATTCCAAAAAGCAAGGCGCATCGACGCTAAAGAAGCTCCCGATCTCATGGCTGTTTTAAAACAAGGTCATGACCAGGCAAGTAGGTATAAAGCACAGACAGAGCGTAGTCGGATCCGCAGCTTCTTCTCCTCCAGCGGGCCGCGCGACGATCAATGGTAGGGGGAGAGAGGACTCATGGCCTGTTTGGAAATCTGCGGCTGAGGCGTTGGTTGGTTTGAGGGTGGGAAGCACAGTCACATCCTCAAAGGTTGCATCTGTGTTTGTCGAGGTCATCCTTGTTTGTGCAATTCCTGCGCCTGTCTCATTGACAAGGAGAGCCTGGGCTGCCCATTTCTACCTCTTGGAGATTTTTTTGATGGTCAAGAGGAATCTCGGGTATGCCATCAGAAACTCACTGAACGGTAAGAAGAGCTCAGTTCTCAGAAATGGGGTTCAGGCTGATGAGTGTGTCTACAAGGTGGATGCCGTGACAGCCTCGTGCTTCCATCAGACGTTGAATAGCACCACAGGCTCAGCAGGACAGGACCACAGTGACTACTTACCAATTGAATCACAGAAATAGAGTACATATTCCATGCGTGCTCAGGCAGTGGAGTTGATAGCTGCTACTAACTACTCAGTGGTAGCAAGTGGGCGCAATGCTCAGTACGAGTCATACCCGGGTGGATCTGGGCCCATCCATCTCGACGCGGGAGACGGGAGTCATATTTGACGGATCAAGATCCTTGACGTCGTCTTCTGCTGCTCGAGTTGGAGAAAATCTCTGGACCAACATCCTACAGTAGGAACAAGTCGAAGGATGTAGCTGGATGGAAATCTCTGAGGCTTCCCCCGCAAACAGGCATCGGATAACAGGCATCAATGCCCGCGAAACAAGACAAACAAGGGCAGGGTGGGCGAGTGACAGGGACCAGCAACTAAGAGATGCAAGGAACGAGACGCAGGAGAAAGGAAGAGAGCAAACTTCATGATCACAACTGCCTTGGCCCATACGGCTGCTCCAAACGTCTTTCTTTATTTCCCGAGAATGGCACAAGAGTAATTCCATCTCTCCAAATGCTACGCCATTCCCATAACCAGGGAACCAACCAGTCCTCAGCGGATCCCAATTCTGGGCTGACCAAGACGCCACCAACACATTACCCAAGAGCTGCATAACCAAATTAAATTCCCTTTCTGCAGCCAACACGTTGTTGCAGACGGAACCAAGTCTCCGGTTTCATGAGCTCATCCATCAGAGCAACTGCAGATAAGCCTCACAGTGGTTTGAGTTAGCGCCTGTCGATCCGGGCTGACAGCCTTAAACGGCGTCGATCTTAGGCCCTCCAGCGTCGCTTCGGGCGTCGTTAGCACGCGCTAGGGCTGTTTACACGCAACCGAGGCCTGACACAGGCCATGATCACGGCGAGTTACTCCAAGGACTAGAGATTGATCCGACAGCTGGAGCATCAAGCTGAGATCTGTTCATCAGGCGATGCCTCGTCTCCCGGCAGCAGTTCGTATAAGCGAAAGGCTCAACTGCAAGAATCTGTCTCCTTCTTTTCTCGCGGGGAGAGCGAGATCAGTCCCCTGGTGAATGCACACCATGTGGCATGATTTCGAGTCAATCCCCCATACATTGGCCCAATCCCTGTCCGCTCTTGGAGATGAGATTGGAGTCACTTTGTTGGAGAAAGCCCTGTTCCCCCTCATTCCCTTTTTTAAAAAAGACGGTTGCTCCTGAAGATCTCTTCCACAAGGGATCCCCGGAAGAGGACATCCGCATCTCGTCCGATATCTACCACCTGCTGGAATAACGTGGCATGTTTCCGCCGAGCTGAAACCTGCAGGGGTTCCCGATGCAAGGTCCGTCATCTAGGGAATTTCGCTTGACGGAGAAAAATCTGGATCTACAGCGGAAGCATAGAGTGTCAGTCGGCACGTCAACAATTTCCCATCATAGCTACATAGCTATTAGAGGAAATGAGTATAGATATAAGTTGCTTCATGTCAATATATATAGGTACGTAATTTTAAAACCTTAGACGCCAGAACGCCAGAGCGCCCAAAGGGCCGTCATTGCTTAGGTTGGAGTTAGCAACATCATCAAACTTCTGTGGTGAAGATAATAAGAATACATTCATCATCTTAGAGGAAGTTCACCTAACCCTCTTCAAATTCAAAGGGTATACTAAGCTACATAAACAGCAAATGGTTAAAACCACCACAGGATGGGGGCCAGCTCGCAGGGGTCTCAACTCTCCTGATCCCAGTTATGCTCTTCAATGATCTCCTTGTCTTTCCTCCATGGTATAAGCGGTATTTTTGCCGGCTTGTTCCTCACATGAGACCAAAAGAGCTTAACCAACGTCTTGGGTTCTATCCGTGTCAGCAAAGTATCAGACAGGAGTTCAAAGAGTACCTACTTCTCTCCGCAATGACATGCCCGGCCCCTTTGACAGAGACAAACGTAAAGTGCCCCAGCCTCTTCCACTCGCCAATAGCCAGCTTCCGATTATCCCGCTCGAGATTGAAGCTGTACGAGTCCCACTCCAGCGGCTCAACTTCAAACTTGTGATTAAGTCCCACCGTCACGTTTTGCGAAAGCCACTGGAGGCCGAGAGGGTTCGTTATCAGGTCTACTTCATGTGTCAGCGTCTAATAGATAAGAGAGATGGACGAGACTTGCCGGCATCGCCGCTAACGATCATAGTTCTTATCCTCGAGTACACGATCTCTCTGAGTTCCTTCCTCCAGGACCTGATGACTGTTCCTGTTAGCGTTTCGCATGATGAGTGACCAACTCTGCACTTACTCTCTTGGTATTGTGAATAGGGCCCGAGTATAGTTATGTTCCATGGCTCAAACCTAACGGGTTCGCGCGCCAACTTCCCGACCGTCACTCCAAGGTGTGCTTGCGTCTTGGGATCTTCCAGCCATTTTGCTGCTGGTGTCATTCTCATCCCGATATTGCGGGATCTGTCAGAATTGTGACGAGCATCTCGCATGTCCCACAGGTCAAACTCGGTCCGCAGCCCGTATGGAGTTGTCAAGCTGCGGAGGGCTCGCCTATATCCCTCCAACTCCTCGTGGCAGTCCTGCTTTATCCTCTCAGAGCACGCTACTAGATCGGCCTCGAGCGTTTTCATGTACTTTGATAGTGCATCCTCGCTGTCCTCAAACGATTGCACATTAATCCACGGGTTCTGGGCCATGTATGTGTACATGTGTGCAAGCTGTGAAGGGGGATCAATCTTGGGACTCTCCAAACCCATCATGGAGAGTCTAATCTGGGGATCGCCCTGTAGGCCGCCCATACCAAGGTACGTTAGGCCCACACCAATCCACGTGAGGGAGAAGTTCTTCCTGAGGATCCTCTGAGCGAGGGCGATTCCAGCAGTAGCGCCCCAGTCCGAAGTCCAGATGCCAAACTCGTTCTTTAGATATTGGGGAAACTCGACATAAAAGTGCTGCATGAATTGATGCAGGTATCTGGCATCCTTGCGGTTGTCCATGAAGCTGGCGTTTCCAAAGGAGAAGCCGGTACCAACTGGTTGGTCAACGTAGAGGACATGGGCGTACTCGTTGAGGCTGTGGGGATTAGGGCCTATGTTCCCCTGCCAGTCGATATTACAAGGGCCGCTTCCGTCAAAGACTCTGTAGATGGACGAGATACCGGGGCCGCCGTTGAGGAAGAGGACGACGGGCGCATCTTGGGGTTTGTGTCGAGCTTCAAAGAACCAGAAGAACATGTTTGCATATTCTCTGGTTGGGACTTCTCCCTTGACTGGTATGTTTACCTTGGCTGGGACAGATTAGTAGTGTTCGCAATGCAACACAACGAAACTGTTTGCGACTCGGCCTGCTCTTACGTTTATCCTCCATTGCTATTGATATATAGCCTGAGTAATCACCGGCCTTCCCCTCTTGCCCACATGTGTTATGTCGCTCGGTGATGTGTGCCAACGGCCTACCGGGCTCTGGATACTTGTCTCCAGTGTCATTTTGTGCGTTGACGGCGATTATCCACGCGGTAGCCGCGAAGAGAAGGGATCCATAGGATAACCACATTTTGGCGACCAGGATGCAAGAGGTTCGTTTGAGTGGTGACGTGGCCGCACGTCTTTAAATAAAGAATTTTTAAAAACATTGATGATCTTTGATGATCTACTTATTAGTATTTGAAGAGGAGGGTCAAGCTTTCTGATAAGGGTTTATGAGGAGGTTTAGGTTTTGGCACAGGGTGCACGAGTAGTCTGTCTTGAGGGGGAATGAACCTGTCACAGACCGTTTGTAATTCGGAAACAAGTACTTCTAGGTGCGCATATTGTACCTGTCTAATTGAAGGGGGGGGTCCATGGCATAGTTCTCTTACGGTTGGCTTCAGACTGTAGTTCACGGGGTCTGCTCTTAATCCCTTGTTGCATAGGTAGCTAGGTAAATACCAGGAGGCCACTCCTTCTAACCAGACGGCTGAGAAACGCGCTTTTCACCGCATTGTCTCTCTGATACTGACCCACGAGCCCATACAGCGTACTTGACTCACAACGCAGCAGAAGAACGTCACGCTGACTTGGTAGAGAAGATGGCACATCTCATGGTCAAAAGGGCCGAGAACATCTATATGTCTCCCTCTCATATGTCATCGATTCGCTTTCCCCAACGACTTTGATGCTCTTGGCTCAGACTTAAATACTCGTCGAATGTCCCGCCGCCAGCCGTGCGCATCAAGCTACCAACCCTATATCATTCATCTAGGCGCTTACCATCACCAACCTATCAGCAACCCCATCATCACAAACGACCATGGCTTGCCCATCTAGACTCCAAGTTCTATTCCTATTGCTCGTCATGGCTAGGCTACTTGAAGGCCATTCTTGGGCAGGGTCACTGATTTCAATGAGTAAAGTTTGCAGGCCTGCGTATGAGGAGTGCATCCGAAAATACCCCCCTGGCTTCAAGGGATACCCACATCCATGTACGCATACGCGCGAGGAGCGGGAATGCATGGATAAACACCTGAAAAAGATGGCCCTCGCGCGGGAGGCTGCAGAGAGGAAGGCTGAGCAAGCTCGAAATCTCACCATCAACATCGAGCAAGTCAACAAGGACCCCATCATCATCATCCATATACAAGTAACGAACAAAAGTCCTATGCCGGTAACATTTCTCAACATCAGCACTCCGCTCGACCCTGAAGCCTTCGGCCTGGGACTCTTTCACATCACCCCCGACAACCTACCGATGGTGAATTTTGGGGGCCGAGTTCTTCCACCAAGAGACAGCTCCCCGACCAACGAGACATTTGTCGAAATAGGACCCGGCATGACCTTGTATAATACCGTCACCATACTCGCCGAAGATCCCGTGGACAAAGAATGGTGGGCAAGAATGCTGAATGTGGCAGACAGGGTTGAGGTGCAAATGAAAGGAAAGTGGCACGGCATTTGGGCAACAACGAAAGACGAAGCTATGAGGGAGGTGAAGTTTTCAAAATCTTGGTTCGACCGTGACTTTGGAAGCTTTGAGTCGAATGTCATAGAACTCGAAATCTAGTAAGGCTACATTGCATCAATCGCCCAAGATTGTGAGTCGGCGCGCCAGAATTTCTTTTGCTTATCGCCCGTCATTTCATCGAGACGAGGGCGATAAGGCTGCTATGTTTTGAGGAGGGCCAATGAGTGATCCCTTAATGTTGAGCCGATGCTTTCAAGAGAGAGGGCATTTGGACAAACCCAACGCCGCACAACGCCGCAATCAATCGCATTATCACTGGCCAAACATAACCCGTAAAGATACTCAGCATGCTTCCGGTGCCCGCCGTCTAACTCCGGCTTCAGCTGACCCAATCAGGCAATCAAGACGGGCCAAGCTCCGGATCCAACCTCGGACGCCCGATGATCCGGGGAAGTGGATCCGATCGGAAGTCGGGCAACGAGCGAACACCGAGCCGGAAACATATTGACAAATCCAATCGTTAGCTTGATGTCATTACTCATCAGCTAGTTACTTTAATTGACTTGGTTTCCCGCCTCTAAACTCTTTAACTCTGTTGTACTCGAAAGTCAAGAGTTGGTTCATCTCTTGGAAATCCCAGGTGAGTCGTCATCTCACTCCGTCAACCTTCATCATGAGGGCCTTGGTGAGAGCATCGGCCGCTGCGCGTGGTCCAGCACGTCGTGTAGCATGTTGGTTGTTCTTTATACTGTTCTGCTATCTAAGTGCTGAATGGGTTTCAGATCATCGACTCGCTCTGTCCCAGCTACCTTCCTCGAGCTCGTTGCCAGCGAGGGTGTACCATCGTTACTTTGCGGGGACAAATACACTCAGCTCATCGGCCCGGAAGCTGTCGACAAACATGGACTCTCAATCTGTGAGAAACTTTGGTGGTCTTAAAGGACACCTCACCCACAATAAGCTCGAGGAACTCCGGGCCTTTTGGTTTGAGCATCTTACGAGTGAGGCCGATCGGGTTTTTCCTCGAGCCGAGAATCAGCGCCGATGGTACTTTGGCGGCAAGGAATTTGACGATATCTGCGTGTAAGTCACTCTCCCGTTACCAATTGGTTCATAAACTCACGGCCGCAGTGCTCGCTTCAGCCCCATCCTTGAAGCCATCAGGGCCGCGGAAATCACGTCAGTGGAGGACACTCTGGCCGTTGCCCAGCCACGCGACCCTCTGGACTGGCTGAGTTTGGTCATCTTGCTAGATCAGGTTCCCCGAAACAGCTACCGTGGCGCTGATGCGGCCATCTGCTTCACCTTCTTCGATCCCCTCGCGGTGCAGCTCACGCTGAAGGCTCTCGAAGAAGGCCTACCTTACAAGGCTCCCGAACTGCGGTGGCAATTTTCCCACCGAAACTGGCTCTACATGCCCCTCATGCACTCAGAAGACGTATCGGCCCATGAAAAGGCCGTGCTGGGGTTTGAACGCATGCAGCAGGATATCTTGAGCCTTCTGGAGGGTACTGGCGGGGCAGATGAATATGAGAAGAGAGCTAGAGAGGTTGCTCAGGCGGACCCCGAGACTGCCAAGGCATTTGGCAAGATCAATGTCGACTTTGAAAAGAAGCACCAAGTGATTATCGAGAGGTTTGGACGGTATCCTCACCGGAACAACGCGTTGGGGAGGGACCCAACAGCGGAGGAGACGGAGTACCTCGAGAACGGCGGTGACACGTTTTCGGCGTGAATGTACATACGAAACATGTATGACCTTGTACCACTCAAATAACAAATTCTATTAAATTAATCTCCCAGCATCTTCAACAAACCCCAACTAAACTCGTCACAGACTAGCCACCACACCACCACGCTCACCCCGCATCGATGCCACCATCTCGAACGCCACTAAACCACTGCCGAGTCCACTAGACCCCAGCACCCACTCACCCAAAAGCTGCAGCGGATGTCAGGCACTTTACGGAGTACAGTGCTGACCCATGGGACGGCATCTGGCGCTCCCGGGCAGTGGAAGGGACCTTTTGACAGCTGCCTTTTTGGGAAACCCATCACGAACGGAACCCGGACTGATCCTCCGAGGGGTTGTTGTTGTTTAAACTAGGCTCCCCCTGTTTGTGATCACCGGACTTGTTTACTTTTCTTTTCTCCCTGCAACAACTGCATTATTCTCTCCTTCGACGCCTCAATCATTCTCCTCGACAGCTTCACAATGGTCACAACCAGAGCCACCTCGCGCGCAGCAAGCGCCGCTCCCGAATCCCTCTCCCCATCTCCTCCTCCTCCGGACTTTGCCCCGGTAACGCCGTCGACAACACGCAAGCGAGCACCTCGAACCACATCCAACACGACGTCCAAGAAGCGCCGCGTCTCGATCGAGAATGTCCCATCCGCGACATGGCGGCACACGCCTTCAACAACCACCCTCCTTTGGCTCGCAGTCTCGGTTCCCCTCGTCGCATGGGACACGGGTTACGTTCTTGGTCGCCCCCGCACCATGCCTGGTGGGAACCTCCACTGGCCGCTGTGGGTGCCATACGAGCTATACGGCAAGGTCGATCACGTATACGGCTTCAAGTCTTGGGATGCGCACAACGGCTTCACCGGCGCCCAGAGCGCCCTCAACGTCGTCGAGTCGCTCATGTATGTGGTCTACCTTTGGCTAGTGTGGACGCGCGCCGACAGCAGGCCGGCGGATGGGGCTGCGAGGAGGACGCTCAGTGGCCGTGATGGCGCTTTGGCTGTGTTGATTGGCTTCAGCGCGGCTGTCATGACGCTGAGCAAGACGGCCTTGTACTGTAAGCGATGCCATGATGCATTGATGATCATATTTACTGACTGAACACGAGGGGCCAATGAATACTACAGCGGTTTCGATAATATCGGCCACAACACACCGCTCGACATCTTCTACCTCTGGATGCTCCCCAAGTAAGTCTCCTCCACTGCCTGTCACTCCACAATACTAATTCCACCCAGCGGCTTCTGGCTCATCTTCCCAGCTTACATGATTTGGGTGTTTGGGAATAACATCCTCGACGGCCTGGCCATGGCTTCCGGCCAATCCGTCAAGAAAAGCTTGGAGTAAGCTTGTGATGGGTCTGTTTTCATTCATTGATCGAGTCGGGCTATGGGATGATGAACCGACCATGAGGCATGAGTTATGAGCGACCGGGAGCCTTGAGCAGCTGATACCCTATCCAAGTTTCAATAATTAATGATTCGCTACTCATTAACGACACAATTTGTATACCACGTATCCAATGCCTCGCGGTGGGTATCTAGACACCCTCTTCACTCTCCAAAACAACAGAAAAGTTTCCATACCAGCCGGTTTGACTTTGGCCTCTCTTCGGGCGTCCTTGACCTCTCGTTAGGTGACTTTGATCCCTCTTCAAGAGATTTTGGCCTCTCTTCAGGTATCTCTGACCTCTCTGCAGGTATCTTTGACCTCTCTTCGGGCGTCTTTGGCCTCTCCTCGGGCGTCGTTGGCCTCTCTCTAGGTCTTGGTCTGATCAATTCACTCTCACCTATGCCCCGTAGCTGCTTCAAGCTTGCATTGTGTTGGAGTGTGTGTAGCACACATATTGCTTTCTCAACATCCCCCTCCATCTCTCGCCAATACGAAGCGGCCCTCAGGCGGTTTGCCAATTGTTTCAAGTACTGGACTTCCAGCTTGCATTTCTGTACGTAAGGGAGCAACAGCACAATCATCTCCACAACCTCTTCCTTGCCTGGGTCCTCTCCCAGATCCCAAACGAAATGTTCCATCAGCGACTTCCCGTCAAACCTTTGGCTCGGCCTCGCGCCCGCCTTGAGGAGGAAGGCGACCATTTCCGAGGATCGACGAAGCATCAGGATTTCCTTGTAGCCAAAGGATTTGCAGCCCGGTCTCAGTGCATAATCCAGTAGTGGCCTCCCAGGCTTGCGTTTCACCGACTCGTTGACTGCTTCGTTCTCCTTGACAAATCGGACGAGGCCGTGCCGCACAGCCAAGGACAACATGTCGCTCTGGCTACGCATGAGCTGGTGCACTGGAATCCAGGCAGGACCCCCAATGTCACTCTGCAAACGTAGGGCGTTGCTCCAGTGGTACGTACCAGGACAGTCGTACACATTGTTGTAGAAATAAGTCATGGTTTTATCCAGCTCCGTTACCAGACGAGTCTGGGCCTTCCCTGATGCCTTCTCGGCCTTTCGACACGTCCCCAAGGCATAGTAAACCAACCCCTCAAGGCTCGAAGGAAACACGGATGCCTCGTTGATGTTCTTGTGAAGGTTTTCCTCGGCAAAAGTCTTGATGCGCAAGACGAGCAGGCGGAGAAGAGCACTCTCTGGCTGAAAGACATCACCAAACCTTCCTGCCAATCGCGACGTGGCCTCCTTCAGCTTGACGCAGACCTCAGGCGACGAGGCGAACTCAAACACGGTCCTATGGATAAAGGTGACAAACGGATTTCCGAGCTCGCCTTCGATGCGGTTCTCGTAGCAGTCCGAGTCAAGCGATGGCATCCACGGATCAACCTGGACCATCTTGACGTGCTGCACTTCGATGATTCCAAGACACCGAGCATTTATGCGGACCTCCATGGAATTCATCCGCCGATGGGCTTCTTCCCTCTTGAGCGGTGCCACCGGCATGGTGAAGACAGCCTCCTCGTCGAGATCCTCTGCAAGTGCCAAGCCCAGGAGGCTGGTGCGCGCGCCCTCGGACGTTCCAAAAGACAGTATCTGCAAAATACGAGAGACCTGTGGTTTATATCTCTCTGGTATCCTGATCCACATGTGCAGATACAAATCTTCGAGGTCTGTTGGAAGCTCGAGTATGCGCTTCCGCAACTCGCCAATTGAGTCCCCATTATATAGCCCCTCAAGGAGAGACCGTACAACCAGGTACACCCAGAGGAAGACGCCGGAAGAGTTCTCTACTATCTCTCCTTTCAGAGAGCTCATGAGTGCGTCATCACTCTCCGTCACTTCCCGAGAGGACATGTGCTCACTGATCTCCCGGTCCACGAAGCCAGCGATGTCTGGCCGCGTGAGCTCATGGAGGCGAAGCCTTGGGTATCCAGCCAGGCGCTCCTTAAAGACAGGCCATGGGCGGCTCGTGAGGAGGAACTTGACGTTGGGGAACTTGGAGAGCGCTTCAAACACATCTACCAACTCCCCCATTTGATGATTGTCCGCGTCGTACTCGTCAAGCCCGTCAACGCTGAAGAAGAAGCGTTCATCCGGGCAGCTCTTCAACAGCGCCTCCAGCGCCCTCTTCAGCTCCCAGTACGTGGGAATGAAACTCTTTCCTCCCTCCGCATCAAAGCGAATCGCCTCGAAGCGCTCTAGGAAAGCAGACTTGATCAGCTTGGGCCGCTTGGACAGTACCTGATGGAGCAGCGACCTCAACACGCCGACCTCCGACTTCTCCAGCTCAGCACCCTTGTAGTAAAAGTAAAAGCTCGCCCTGTTAAGGCATTTCCCGCCTGCCCATTGTAACAAGGCCGCCGAAGTCTCGTGGCGATAGGCGGCGAACTTTGCCAGCGTACTCTTGCCGGACCCAGCCTTGCCGGTGATCCAGTATATTTCCGCGTCGTTCAAAAGAAAGGTGCGAAAATTGTCCCAAGGCTTCTGCTCCGCAACAGGATCACAAAAAAGCCATTCGTAAGTTCTATCATATGCCTGCTGTATGTTGTCTTCTCGATCCTGCATGGTGGCGAACCACAACGACACCAAGATCTTGGTCTGTGCATTCTCAATCATTCTCTCCGTGTCTGAAGGTGACAGCTGACTGCGTTGATACTTTGCTACCTTGACAGCTCCCATAAGTTCCTCGTGTCGATGATGAGCCACAGTTTCACTGTGCATTTGGTTGTCTAGTATGGTGTCGTTCTGCGTCTTGATCTTGTCAAGTTGGCCAAAAAGCTGCGGGACAACAGCCTGGGCTTGGTCGTCCAACTTGACAACGACATCTTGGAGCCGGAGAGATTGATAGTCAAGCTTCTTTTGGATCAAGGCGACAACGTGAAACTGAAGCTCCTCCCGAACCGCAACGAGTCTCTTCTCAAGTTTATCAATGTCATCTCTCTTCCATATGGTCATGAAGGTCTGGTGAAGGGTATGCCAAGGCTTCCCGCCTGCGCCCTTGGCCCGCAACTTCTCCAGGAGGTCCTTCAACTCCTGGGCAATGCGCACAGTCTCCTCACCTATGCGCAACAGCACCGAGTCAGCAGAGCCCGGGGGCGCAGGTTCGCACCCGCGAAGACGTGTCGTGATATCGTCAGCCGTGTTCAAGGCATCAGTCGCAATCTGTTCCAGCTCAGAGAGACCCGCAGGGCTGCCGGCGTCGTAAATCTGCTTGGAGATTGTGACGACGTCGTTGGTGAAGCCTATGACCTGGAAGATGTTGGCCGCCAGGCTAAGAGCCGAGATTGGGTCCATGGGGCCGAGTTGGTACGATAGTGAAAGCGCGCATGCTGAAATCAGGCTGTGAAAGTCTCTCAGCTTGTGATGGGCTGGGTTACCAGCCACGGCCGTGAAGGATCAGCCTGCCTTTGCCAAGCCAGGATAACCAACCGTCTGGGGTATCATTCGTCAGATGCGATTTGCTCGATTTCAACAAGACCACGGATAAAAGAACAAAGGTAATTCAATTAAGTACGGTAGGTACATTAGACCCCGGTAGGAGTTCTCTTTAAAAGGAGTAGATATTAGTGAAAGGGTTTAAAAGATTGATTAATACAATAAATTATGTTAAATTTATTATTGTATTGTATTATGCCCATTGTAAGAATATTCCGCTGCTCTCGCCTATCTTTCTTGACCCGCAGGGCCTCTGCGTTCATCGTTCATGGCCACAGGGGTAAACCCTTGCCCGTAGGGGCCTGTCTGACAAACTGCGAGCAATCCGCTCAATCTATATTTCAAGGTTGACTGGAGGTGCGGAAAAAAGGTAGACCCGCGCTGTTGCCTGGAACTAGGTATAGATGATGTGATATACTGAAGTACAATTGTAGATAGTATCTGCCACTAGCAACAAACAGCCAAGTCGATCAACCCCCAGCCTTTGTTGACCAGCTCTCTACCCTTTTCTTGTGAATCTTACTACAATCTCACTCCATCCCTGCTCATCATTTTCCGACACCAAACTCGACTGCCGTTACCGAATTGCCTCAGATGACAGTCAATATCAGAGCTATCCCAGCTGAACTTTTGTTCAGAATACTCCAGAATGTCTACCATTCTCAGAATGGGAGGTCCACCATCACCTCCTGTTTACTGGTAAACCGAGAGTGGTGTGATGTTATGCTTTCTATACTCTACAGACATATAGTACTGCTCCGCGGGTATCAGATGGATCGTTTTCTGGCATGCCATGATCGTCGGGCTATCCGCTCCATCACCCGGTCCGTGACTCTCCGACCTAGTCAGAAAGAGGGTGGATTCAATACGGTTTCGCATAAGCGGCTGAACACACGAATTCTTCTACTGGCGAGAGACGTCATTGCGCACATGGAAGCACTTCAATCTTTCTCCCTAACAACACACCCCGCTGAGCCCAAGCTCATGTTGTGGATTCTCAGGTCAACCATCTCGACCGTTCTCAAAGCACTCCCTGCAAGTTGCGTGAATCTGGAGCTTGTCACACGAGGTGGAGATGGGACCAGAATCGGGGGGAATGCCGGCGACCCGACGCACCTCTGCGAGGAGATACGCCGCCTGCTGCCTCGCATGCATCATGTTCACATCGACCTCGCCTCTATATGTGATGCCATGCTAGGCATGTGGGATTCGGGCCACGTTTTCCGTCCCATCAAACTCGCATGCATCCGAAGGCTCCATATTAACTGCGTGAGCATGGATGGGAGGAAAAGGTGTGGTGGCCACCACCACGATGGCGACGGCGATTGGTACTCTGGCCATCGCCCCCCTAAATCACTCTGGGACTCGATTATTCGAGGCTTACAGCACGTGGTAGAGTTGCAAGATATAGATACAGGCGAAATCACGGTTCTAGGATCCGTTCCAAGCGGTAACGACTTCAACAAGGACAGATATTGGACCTTGCTGCGTTGCCATGTCAGAAGAGGTCACAACGAAATCACAACCTGGGCCTTCCCGATCATCCACATTACACCGGTGGACGAAAACAACCTCGCCTGGTATATCCGCGTCAATGACGGAGCGTTTATAACGTTGGATAGACGTCCACTTTATGATCTTGTTGCAGGATTCCCGTGGAGGACATTGACTACAGGCCCGAAACTGCCCGCTGCTGTTGACCCCCATGCGCCGCGGGTCTCGGATGAGGAGCTTGGGATACTCAGTGAGGCCCAATGGAAGAAGAGGTATCCAAGGAAGATACCCATCCTTTGGCTAAATGAGAAGAAGACGGGGATGCGATTGATAGATGCTGAGGAACAGGAGGGCTCCGAGATGAGAGGCACGGTAGAGATGACGCCATCAGGCTTTGTCCGACCAACTGAACAGGGGTATTTTCGCAGCCAGGTGTTTACAGAGGAGGAATGGGAGCACATGAGGGAGAATGTACCGGAGGACGGACCGGAAGAGGAATCGGAGTAGGAGTTACTCTTGCCAAGCCAACTTGTGAGCTTTACAGTGATCAAAGTTATTAAGATCCCTGTTCGATCTGATAAGATTATAAAGCACCTCCACAGACTGCGGGCCATTTTAAACCCCCGGCACCCCGTGTGCCATGGAAGTTTGAGTTTAAGCGGAAGTTGTGTTCCGGTTGTATTATTTCTCCTGTTATTGCTCTGAAGCTCAGTCCCTCTCGAGCTCTCGTCGAGCCTTTGACCAAGCACGCCGGCCTGTGATTCTTTCTTCCTGATCTCTTAAATTGCGAGTTCCTGTCATTATGATTGACCAAGTCATAGTAACATCAAACGTGGGGATATACATTGGTTCCTGCATACTCTTTTCGGACCTCCCACCGGCCCTCCCACCAAAAGACCGCATTCTTGGGTTGTAGCAACATCGCCCCGTGGGGGTTGCTCTCTTTCCATTTAGGGCTTGCGGAATACATCACTTGCACCAAACTTGGAATCTTTGCCCGATGGAGGATCTCTGCCAAGTCCGATGCCAGCTCCTGAACACTTTAGTATGGTATCACGGCGGCCGCCTCAAAGCCGGGGGTTTTGCATGTACGAATGCCCTCGACGTATATAACCTGTGAGAGCATGCTCGGTTCCTGCATCGAGGTAGCTGCAGTACAGTCTACACCATTGATCGAGGTCTTGGCTTGAAATCCCTTTCACTATGCGTCCTCAGTTGCTTACAGCTGCCCTGGCATCTGGTGCCTTTGCGGCTCGTCCGTTCTTAAATGAGCCTGATATTGGTCTTGAAGAGTTCCTTGGTGAAATCGAGCCTGGTACCCTGCCCAACATTTCCGCCATCGCTACCCTTCACGACTTTGACTTTGCTGCTCGCAACTACCTGCCACAGAGCAACTACTCATGGTTCCGTCACGGTGCTGGCGGGGAGTGGTCTTATCGGAACAACCTCGAGGCCTTTCAAAGATACACGTTCAGACAGAGGGCTTTGACTGACATCACCAAGGTCAGGAATTCACTGCCGTAAGTCCTGATGGGTGAAGACATATCTGGTGATTTTATTGCTGACCGAGGCATTTAGGACTACCATTCTTGGTCATAACTTCTCGGCACCCTTCTATATTAGTCCAGCAGCCCAGGGCATCCGATGCCATCCTGAAGCCGAGTCGGGCCTTGTCAAGGGCGCTGCTGCTGGAGATATTCTCTACATTGTATGTCTTTTCCCACTTCATGCAGTGAAACCTTTATCTAACCACCATCCAGCCGTCAATTTATGCCTCCAAGACGATCGAGGAGATTGCAGCTGAAAAGGCGGAGGGCCAGATCCTCTTCCAGCAGGCAAAATGAACCCTGATTTCGGTGCGAAAGGCTCCAAGGCTGACTGCTGCCTGTAGCTATACCTTGACAATAACGACACCAACACAAAAGCGCTCCTCGCTCGCAGCGAGAAGGCTGGTGCTGCTGCTATCGTCTTTACCGTTGATGCTGTCGCTGACGGTAACCGACCTCGTCGTAGGCGATTTGAGTCTTCGTTCAACCCCGAGTAAGCCCGCTACCCTTCCAACGAACCATCACAGACTAACAATGGAAACCTTAGCGAGGAGCTGTCTCTTTTCAACGTAAGTGACCGCTGCGTGAACATAATCCTTCGTCAACTAACAAGAAACAGTGGGAATACTATGACAAGTTGGCCAGCCTTACCGACCTCCCCGTGGTAGTCAAGGGCATCAACAGTGTCCAAGATACCAAACTCGCCGTCGAGCACAAGGTGCCAGCCATCATCATTTCCAACCACGGCGGCCGCCAAGTCGACGGCGTCTCCTCAGCCATTGAGACCGCGCTCGAGATTCACAACGAAGCCCCAGAGGTGTTCAAGCAGACCGAAGTATGGGCCGACGGCGGCGTCCGCTACGGAACCGATGTGATCAAGCTGCTGGCTCTAGGCGTCAAAGCCATCGGCCTTGGTCGATCCTTTATGTACTCTAATGTCTATGGTGCCGAGGGCGTTGAGAGGGCGATTGATATCCTCAAGTACGAGATTGCTATTGATGCTGCCAACCTTGGGATTTCTGACCTCAAGAAGATTAACCCAGACTGGGTGAGTTCAAACTTGATCAAACATTTCTGATGTGGATGCTGACAGGTTATAGGTGAGGTGGAACCAAAGTGGCTGGTATAGCTGAACGACACAACCATAGCGAAGTGGTGGTTTTGGAAATGTAGCAAACAGCCTGTTGAATATGATGTAAACATTGAAAGCAGAGTAACTTGCGTTGCGTTTATGTTTGACTAGAACTGCGTAACTAGGTCGAGTTCTATATCACAGGATGAAAGCAAGGCATGGGTCTGCAAACTGTGCCTGTTCTGTTCACCTCGAAGAAACATTGCTCTATATCGAACAGCCTTGCCGGCATATAGTTGAACGCGCCAAGAGGAGCCATGACTTCACCGTCGTAAGCAATCAGGTCTTTGAAGGGGCCGTTGACCATCTGCTCTTGTAGCGGCTGGTTTCAATCTTGCAGCCTTCCCCAGTAGCGTCGGGCATCAGGGAAAATCCAAATGGAGCAACATTCACGCTCGTGGCCATGTATGTCGCAGCATGAACATTGATGATCCCAGGTCTTTTGGTAAAGCCCTTTGGTAGAGGGGGCCCAAGATACATAGGCGGAGTTCTTAGGTCCGTCTCGTCAACAACGAGAGAAGGCGCAATTCCAGGCAAAGGATACAGAGGACAACAAAGTAGAGGCAGATCAACACAGATTACATTGTAACAGATATCCCATGAAGCACTGAATGCGAAAAAGCAATCCCATCTTTTGTGGAATAATTCCAGACAAATACGCTAAAGTAATCCATAGCAAATTCCCATCCCTCAACGCAGGTAGTAAAGCTATCTCGTCTAGACATGTCGTTCATACATAAGAGAAAAAAAGAAGGGGGTATCTGCATTAAAAACAACAAGACAGAAAAGGAAAAAAATCACCGCTTGCTGAGCGGGCACAAGTACAGCCGTTAAAAAACTTCAACGACTCATATCCGTCAATCCTCCCAAACCTGCGTATTCATCCCAGGCCGACAACATCTCGTCATCCTCCCTCTCTACAAATGTCTGCATGACTGTCCAGTCAGAGTCTTCATGAAGGATATATGGCTCCTCCTCTCCGTTCGCGCGGGATGGCAATGTGGCGCTGCGGGATAGGCCGCCCTTGCGACGGAGATCGGGGAGCATGCTATGGCGTCTAGACTTGCCGCCGAGTGAGCTGTGACGCTCAACCATGTGTTCCACGTTTTCGGCGTATCTGGAACTGTCGGAGAAGAGGGCGCTGATGGGCCGTCGCTTGGAGACGCGGCCCGAGACGGAGCGCGCAACCATGGACATGACATCACGTCTCTTTTCACGTCGTGCCTTGACGTCCTTGGGTATAGGAGGCTCAACGTAGTACTCCACGATGGGAGGTGTATCGAGAGGAGAGTCAATCGTGTCGTCATTGCTCTCCATACTCTCGGGTGATGCCACGAGTTCATCCCCCTTTGACCCTGTCGAGTCACTCCTCTGTGGCCATCCTGTAGCATCGATATGCGGCTCCTCAGACTCCAAGTTCACGTCGTTAGTGCCATTGCCATACCCATGTATAACGATCTCGTGGTACATGGGTCGCGAAGGCGGCGTCACCGTCTGCGGAGGTGTGCTAGCCGGTGAAGACTTGAACATGCGCATAGAGCGTCGTATAGTCGAAGAACGACTGAGGGCCTGGGTCACCGAGTTTGACCGTGATGGGCGTGCAGGAAGTGAAGCTCGGCGTTCAATATTGCCAGAACCACAGTGACTTGAAGGGCGCTCCTTGTGAGTAAGAGCGAAATAGTCAATATCAGGCTTGATCTCAATCTTGCCACTTGACTCCTCCATGTGCGAATCCTCATGCACACTCCAGTCGAAACCAGTAACAATCTGTGTCTGCCGCCGAAGAATATGACCCATCTCACGAGGAGTACTCCAAGGCGGGATATTATCAGTAGAAATACAGAGGCTGTAACTAGCCTCATCGCGATCCTCCTCAACCTCGGGCGGCACATCAGTCGCGGTCCGAAGAACCTGACAGACGGCATAGATCAAGATCCACCGGACCTTGCGAGCGTCAGCGAGTGACACTTTTTCCTGCTTGTCTGCTTTATTCGGCGACATGATGGAATCCTCCTCGAATCTCCGGTAGGCTCGCACGAGGTCGTTCTGGGACACGCCCGGTTTCAGCAGGTTGGACGCATTGGTCAGTGCCGCATGAGCCGTGACCCGGCGATCCGACCGGAGGGTGACGCGTCCAGGAAACCATGACATCCGGCGGGAGCCATGGTTGTTGTCGGGAAGTAGAGGGAGAGGATGTTCGAGAGGGGTGTAGTCTCGTTGAAGATCAAATGATTGCACTAGTTGTAATGTGCAGATGCCTCCATGAGCTGTTGGGGGCATGGTAGAAGTAGAAGTGAACCCATCATCAACCAAGAGGTCATAAAGAGCCTCAAAATCCTCACGCATGATCCTATAAATGCGAGGATCGAAAATATCGATATCTGGTTCAACAGTAGTAGGCGGGTAATACCCCATCTTTGTCGTGTAAAATGACAAGAGAAAGCTTCGAAACCTCTCAAGGTGAGCTAGAGCGCCAGCCGAAACGCTCAGGTGCGCCTCGGAGAGTTCATCGTCGAGAAACGTCTTGAGCATGGTCGTCGACTGAGTCAGTCGGTATTCCATCTCTATCCGACCCTTGCGAATGAGTTTGCGCGACTCAGGGCTGAGTTCCTATTTGGTCGTCAGTGGCTTGATTCCAACATTCTTCACCGAGTGTGTAATACCTGAAAGATGGGACTGTTAAAGAGGCGATCACTCATTCCAACGCAGTGAGCAAACGCTCTGACGTAAAGCTCCTTCATCTCAAAAAACTCGGCCAGTTGCAGCATCGCCAAGGCGTGGTTAGGCTGGTTAGCCATGTCCAAGTAACCCTCCTCGTCAAAGTAGTCCATCATGTCCGCCACGTTATCATCAACGCCGGAGCGAAACTCGTGCATGCTGTGAAGGAGTCCGATGAGGGCGCCGCCGAGGCTTGATCCGACCATTGATCTCCGAAACACCCATGCGAAAAAGTTGCGAGTTGCCAAGTGGTAGTGGAATGCCTGTGTCTTGTCTGTCGTCGGTGGCGGTGGGATATACAGCTCGACTTTTCGTGTGGGGTTCCTTCGACTCCAGAGGATGAGTTCTCGTACATTCGGGGTCTGAATACCCTCCCAGAAGAGGAATCGCTGTATGAGAGGGTAACATTGTGTCTCCAGTAGGGCTGAGAAGGGCACCTTGAATGAAGGGCCTCTTCTTGACTGTCCTCTTCCATATAAGTGAACCAGACAGTTTCCATTCCTGAACCAGAGTTCCGGGTCCTATATCCCATCATTAGTCTTTGACAACCACAAGAGTAGATACCAACTCACCCGGCGGATGTTGTCCCAGTCAGTACATGTCCTTGCAGCACCATCCCACCGTTGCACAGAAGGAAGAGAATCAGTTCTGGCCTCGAGAAAGTCACCAAACTGCCTCAAACGAGGACTCCTCCTCGAGCCTGCCATTGAAGAAAAAAAGTTGTGTGAAGATTCACTCGTGTCGTTGTGAGGATGTGCTGAAGCTCCCCAGGTCGTATATGTAAGAAAGGATTTCCCCTCCCCCTGGTCATAAAAAATATGCAATGATTGATGCGAAAGCAATGCGCGGCTCAACAAGCAATGCTGCCAGCCGTGTCGACGGGATCTTGCAGGCCAAGCCTTCGTACCTGGGCCGCGAAATCTGTTTTTGGCGTTTTTTCCTTTCCCCAGAGCTCAACTCCGAGAGGCGTTCAATGGTTTGCCCTCCTTCCAATCGGCCTGCGATCTTTGGTTGGTTGAAACAATGGTTGCTTCGTGTCGTCGGGAACGGCAAAGGGGAAGGGTCAAAGGGTGTAAAAGAAACCCGACATGTCGCCTCTATTAGGAAACCAGTCGTCAAGCCCGGGGTTCCATGATGAGAAACGAGTGCCACGCAGGGAATCTCAAGAAAAGAGAGAATTCGCCAGACGGGAGATCACCTCAGGGGACAGGCCTGGGTTAATAGCTCACTAACTACTGCATCGCACGCGCGCGTCAACGCGAGGCACCCAAGTCCAGAACCCTGGGGAATTGGGTTCCTCTCGGCTAGGAAGCCCCCCGACGGTCGGAATTTGCGTTTTGGAGTATGGGCCCCAAGACAAGAAACTTGTGAGACACCCTTCAAGCCACCGGTATTAGCGCGACCCATTCATCTTGTGGGACAAGATGGCGATCCCTGCAAGCAGCTCGCCGACCGCCAGAAGCAAGAGCTTCAGCTGGCAACAAGGCTCTGATCGGCCGTGGAAACCACCAGATCTGGACCCCGCTGTGTCAACATTATGCTTCGGTCTCGGCGTGAGCTGATGCATGCATTACATACACTCGACGCTGTTGGCCTTTCTCATCCCACGTCGTACAGCAAGACAAGAGGTGAAGGATCCATTCACCGGTCCAGAAACAGGAGAGCCTCCCCCATTTGTCTGCCCATCTCCATGTGTGGCTGGCTGCTTCAGCTCCGATCCGATCTATCGGACTGCCTGTGAACACCACCCACGAAGCGGCACACGTCTGTAGGAGGTCCACGCAACCCTTGACTCAGCTGTGCAGCATGCATTCAGCATCATGCCGTCACCCTCTTTGAGAGGGGGACCCAACGTCAAAGGAAAACGCAAAGGCCGGTCCTACCGGACACCCCAGTAGCGGGGAATTGCATGATGATGGGCGTTGTGAGAGTCTTGGCTTTGGTTGAAGAAATCATGGCGTAATTTCGCTGTCCGTCCTGTCCTGAAAGAGCGAAGCTCAAATGTCCATGGTGAAATGAGCTCTATCAATCCGTGGTTAATCTAAGCCCATCTATTAGTTAGTTAGTCTCTGACGTTCCATTAGATCGGGGATTAATCCTTCGTCCAGCCCGGCGGGTCTTGAAATTGGAGCCTCCGCCTCCACCTGAAAGGACCAGGGATCCGAAGCCATGGATCAGCCATGCCCCTGGATGCTTTGACGTTCATCATCACAAGAGAGCCGTTGATCTTGCTTATCTCTTTGACTGCGCGAAGACTCCCACACGGTACCAGTCCCCACTACTAGGTCACTATCTAAGACACTTGCTAGCTTAGTGGCAACGTGTTAGTTCTATATCTCAATTTGAGTGAGGGTACGGAGATATTGATCGTAATTGGCCAAGATCCCTGCAAGATACCCAATGGGAGTCTTCGCGCAGTCAAAGAGATCCCCTTCCTTTGGACCCTTTAACATCTCGGGTGGCAAAGTAAACAAGACGACACACACCTCATGCAGTCCAGGCACCCAGGAAACTTCAATACTTCAGCCCTTTTCGGTAAATCCAGCAAGCCTCGTGGACTAGTGAGTTGCTTAGGCCAAGGGGCAGATGGTCCAGAGCACGGGAGGCGAGCTTTGGCCAACACGCGGTTGAGAAATAAATGAGGCACCCCAAGACCAAAGGTACTTCTAGCTCTTGTCAAATGCTGCTTCTTTATGACGCAATAACTCTTGGAAGAATGGTAGATAGGAGGAGATGATATTATCGTCATAGAAGGCAACGCTCTAGAAGTCTTCCACATATTATCTGCTCATCCTCATTATAGCTTCATAGCTTCCCTTGGCAAAGGATACGCTAATACCAAGTATTGGTGGTCCTTCTTTTTCTTCCTTGATCCCCGTGCCAGCTCAGCTCGCCTTAGTCTTGACATGGTTGCAGGCCAAGGATTTAGCCATTGGTGGTGGTCCAACCCTCAAAGTTGTGCTTTCATCATGACGCGACGACCGAGAGAGTCAACAAAACAAAATGGATCGACCCGCCGTGTTCAATTGATCATCCCCTTGTTAGCTGGCCCCGCAGAATGTTGTGCAGGTGTCAAGGTGAGGAGACCGGAGCCCGAAAGCGAGACAAAGATACACGAGTTGAGTGATTTGAAAGCATCTGGTCTCATCCCATGGACGAAGAAACGCCGCTATCGGCTTTGCCTTTTGAGAAAGAAAAAGCTCATCAATAGCTGCTTCCAGCAGGCCGTTCTAGACAGCTTCCCGTTACCGTTCCCACACTAGGCTGGACACCTCGCAGTCAAGCTATCGAAAGGCTGGAAGCGCCTCTTTTCGCCGCCGTAAGCCCGTCAGAGAGCGGATGCCAGAAATCAATTAGAGGGCCTGTGTCAGAAAAAAATATGCTTGTCTCTTGTTCAGTTGTGTGTTTCACCAACCGAAGCATCGACCGCCCTTTTCCGGGCATCGTCCCCCCAATTGAATAACGCCACTGACTCGGGAGATGGGGTTTAGTACCTTGAAAACGGGCTGTAGGGCGGAGAGCGGGACTGAAAACGCCTGCTTCTTCTTTTTTTGTGAGACAATCCATTTGTTGCTTTTTGTCGATTCGGCAAGATTTCACGTGGGGGAATGAATGCCATGTTTGGAGGCTCCCTGGTTCGCATCAGCTTTGTCTTGTTAGAAGATCAATCCGTTTTTGGTGAACATGTCTTTCAATTAAGTCTTCTCATGTTTTTGAATGAAATTAAATCAAGACAGCGGGATATGTCACTGCGACGGAAACGATAGACACGTTGACAAGAACGCTGTGAAAGAGTGAGAGTGAGGGTGTGGTGATTGAGGTGATCAGCTGACCTGATTGGATCTTCACCGAAAGCCAGCCGCTGCTCACCTCACACCGACCACCTCACCTGGCCCCGATTTCCAGACAGCTCCCTTCACCCAATGTCGAGCTTCGTCAACTCCGGGACATGACCGCTGCCATGGCGCCCGTGATCCCCTACACGTACATACAATGTCCCTGCTCCGACCTGTCGCCTCCCGACCTCCCAGACAGCCCTCAGCCACAGGACTCCTCCGACGATGAGCGAACATTTGACCCCCGTGCCCCTCGATCCAACTTCAGCCTCTACCCCCTCGAGCACCTCCTCTACTGCGAAGATTGCCAGCAGATTCGATGCCCACGATGTGTCAACGAGGAGGTAGTCACGTACTACTGCCCCAACTGCCTGTTTGAGGTTCCCAGCAGCAACCTCCGCAGCGAAGGCAACAGGTACACACCAACCCTCCCAAGTCATAATATCTCCGTCCTAACGTGACTTGCACAGGTGTACACGAAGCTGCTACCAATGCCCCGTATGCATCGGCCCCCTCCAGGTCATGGCGCTGGCGCCTACAGACCCAGCCCATCTCGCAACAGACGCCTCGTCCCACGGTCACGGCCCGTACGCCCTCTTCTGCCAGTACTGCAACTGGACCTCGACCGAGATCGGCATCGACTTTGACCGCCCTAGCGGCATCCACTCGCAGCTCTCCAAGATCAATAACGGCGGCGACCTCAAGCTCACAGCAAAGGAGTTCAAGGAGCGGCGCAAGGAGAACCCCGAGGAGCCACCGCCGGCGGATAACGATGTGGACACGGATTTGCAGTTTGCCAACCTCAAGTCTTTTTACCAGGCGCAGTTGGTAGATGCGAATGCTTCACTAGGTGGCATGTCTCTGCTCAATGACAACGTCGGCTTCTCGTCCCCAGCTGCCCTATCTCGGATAATGTCCATCTACACAGGGCATGGACACACTCGGAAGCGTCAGGGTCCTTCAGACGTGATGCGGGAGGCTCTCAATACAGAGGAAGGGCTCAAGTTGGCGGATCTAGATGAGTCTGCCGAAATCAAGAAGCTACATCAGGAGGGATGGGATACGACTGCTTCCAACGAGCAAAACGCCCAGCAGGTAGAGGTGAAGCGGTTCCAGGATGGCCTACGACCGATACCATACCTCCTCAGGACGAAGCGTTCCAAACGTTGCTCGGTGTGTCGACATATCATCTCCAAGCCAGAAAACAAGGTCACGTCGACGAGATTCAAGATTCGCCTTGTCGCAAAGGCCTACATCCCGACAATCAGCATCCGCCCTCTCAATCCCACAGCCGGGCCAATTCCTACCACCCATCGTCCACAGATCTCCCTAGAGCCTCCTCTAAAACCTCTCAACCCCTATCACTACATTCTCACATTCAACAACCCCATCTTTGACGGCATCAAAGTCACGCTTGCGACGCCAAACAGCACACCTGGAAGGTTCTCCAGCAAGGTGACCATTCTGTGCCCTCAGTTCGAGGTTGGGGCCAACACGGACATGTGGGATGACGCTCTCAAGGATGATGACCGAGACAAGAGGCGGAAGGGTGAAGACAGCAATGGTCAGCCTGAAGCTGGTAAGATCTGGGAACGCGGCCGGAACTGGGTGAGCATCATCTTGGAAGTGGTTCCCGCACCACTACGCCCCGAGGATTTGGTCGGTGACAAGGTGGACAAGAGTCCACTGAGGGAGGACGAGGATGTTCTGGAGATACCCATGTTTGTCAGGATGGAATGGGAGGCCGACTCTCAGCAGGACGTCGGTACAGCGCCTGGGAAGGATAAGGACGCTCGGGAGAAGAAAGAGCTAGCATACTGGTGCGTGCTAGGAGTTGGCCGCATCAGACAAGATTAAAGATAATGAGTCAAGACACTAAAGACAGACACACATGGCATGAGGCACATAGATCTAGATACCCAATGTTGGACGAGTCATGGACGGAAGAAGTGTTTAAGTTGTCTTGTCAAATCATACCGCAGCTTGTACCATTCATCAAGCTACTTCTCTTTAAGACGCCAAGCCCTTTTTTGACCAACCAATGTTAAAATCACTCCCAGCCCTGAGAAAATTGTTCATGACACAGATTAATTCCGCAGACTTAGTAGTCGGCGGGGCCGCTCTGAGGGAACTCGAAGTTGACGTTGCGGCCAGTCAGACGTCGGTAGACCTCAGAGTAGGTGTCCAGGCGGTAGTCAACACCACCACGCTCCTTCTCGTCGAGGATGACCTTGAGGAGCTTGGAGCCGTCCTCCTTGGTGCGGACGCGCTTGCCGACAATCTCAACGGGGTAGGTGAGATCCTCGAGGATGGCGTCGTGGACAGCAGTGAGAGTTCGCGAACGGGGTCGCTTCTGCTTCTGGGTGTTGCGGGAGCGGGCAGATCGCTTGGGGCGGGGGAGGATACGGCGCGAGGCGAGGATCAGGACATGGCGGTCAGAGAACTTCTTCTCGAGCTCACGGGTCAGGCTGAATATTGTTAGTTATGGCTTCAATCATACAAGAGTAGGATATCTTACCGCTGCTGAACACGGTGGAAGCCCTGCAGGGAAGGGACGGGGACAAAGATGACAATAGCCTTCTTGCCGTGGCCAACCTCGATCTAATCAAGATCCCAAGTCAGCATGCGAGCTCCAGGACAAAACCTTGGACCGCTTCCCGTCCTGTTCCACAGAAGTCAATGATACTCCGGCTGGCACGCCCGCCCCGGCGACACAGGTTGCGCATTGAATCTTTTCTCCAGGAGCAAAGATTATCTCGAAGGCGCGTCGGGGGGCGAAGTGGTGGGCCATTGCAAACAGGGTTTCTTGTGGGAACAGGAAGTTCTCGGACAACCTAGGTTTTTTTTTCGTTGATTCATGGTGTTCTCACCTCACGGGCAGAGACGAACTGCAGAGGTCGCAGGGCAACCTTGAGGTCGGCAGTGTTGGTCTCGAGGTCGTAGAGAGCCTGGGCGATGCTCGACTCGAGCTCGGAGGGGTTCTGCCGCGAAGGGCTGTTGGGAGCGATCTTGTTCAGGGCCTGGGCGCTCATTTTGACTGACGGTGCACTGCGTTAGTTGACGACGACAAAGGGTGCTTGGTGTTGCGAAAGGCCGTTGCAAGTTTTGGAGTCTGTGAGGGTGGGTCGCTAAATTGGGGTTTTCAAACCCTCGAATTGTGCTCGCGTGCGGTGGGTCTTGTTGGTGCCTGAGGCTTCAACTTTAGCTCACACCGACCTTCACCGGGACATGTGGGGCCGTGTCACCGAGACTGATCTTATCACCAGGGATCTACGAATTCCTACCTCACTTACACAGCATCTTGGACAGTTCATCACATCTCTAGGCAACGACAGTATGCAGTACCGCTCATTCTTGCTCAACAAGTTCACAACATGTACAATTGAAGGCTTCCGAACTCCGAGGAATGATTCTCGTACCTCATACATTGAACAATACTCGTTTATACCCCAGGACAGTTAAGCAAGGGTCTAACTCTATCCCAATTCCGGTATTACACGCATATCTCTTAACCCTCTCCGCCCTCAGGGTCCTCATCCTCATCACCCAGCTGCTTGTCGACATCCTGCTGCACCTTCTCGCCGGTCGTATTCCTGGCGATCTCAGCAGCCTTCATGCCACCAGCCGTCAGCCACAGGAAGTGGTTTGTCTTGAACTGGTCGATCTGGTTGAAGAACATGTGGAACCTGCATGTCTTGTTAGCTTTCGTCCGACCACAGGGTGCATCATTACTCACGAGTTCTCCTTCTCCTCTACGCTAAAGATGCGTGTGTAAATCTGCTTATCCTTGAACTCCTGGATCTTCTCCTCGTAGTTTCCAAAGTCGATCGCTTCCCTTCCGAGTGACTCAGTCGCCTTGCGGTTGTAGTTGTGGAACACGGGGCGCTCGAGCAATAGACCCAAGCCGGGAGCCTTGGGGATCGCCATCTTCTGGTTCTGGTAGCTCTCGTCCATGCGCTTCAGGGGTGTGCCACAGCGGACGATCAGACTTGCCAGACCGACCATCTTGCGGATCTGGTGCATCATGAAGCTCTGTCCGTGGACCTTGAGAGACAGCCACTCGGTATTGTTGATGATGATCGGCTTGGGGTTGACCACGAAAGACTTGATGTGTCGCTTCGCGGAGGCGTCAAAGTAGGACTTTTGAACGGTGTAGTTGTGGAAGTTGCGCGTGCCGTTGTACTTGTTGAGGGCCTCCTGGAGACGTTCCAGACGCCCGGTGCTGATACGGTATCGTCGTTTCGCGGCAACATACGCCGCCTTGATATCTCGAAGAGCGAAGTCAACTGGACCAAGCTCACGGTTCTTAGGTTTGTGGCTTTCCAGAATACTGTCGGTCTGCATAGCATCGGGGTCGGTAGCTGCTTCGGTAGTCTCTGCGGTAGTCTCTGCAGCGGTTTCTGCCGCAGGGGCTTCAGTGGCGGGCTTCTCCTCGGCAGCTGCACCCTCCTCAGCCTTTGTGGGCTCCTTGTCTGCTTCGGGTTCTGCCTCCTCTGCAACGTGCATCCTCTCCATCACAGCGGCCTTGGTCTCGGGGTCAAGTCTCGCGAGGATAGGCTTGATCTCCTTCTCCTCAACCTCGGACCAGAAGTCCTTGACATCCTCCATACTAGCAGCCAGTTCATCCTCCACGCCATGCTCCTTGGCCAACTCAGTGAGCTTTCGGCCCAAGAAGGTCTCGGGGTGAGGTGGCAGAAGACAGTAGCTGGGCATGAGATACTCATACCATCGCGAATCGCAGGTCTGGTAACAACTGAAGGCATTATTCGTCCTCTGAATACCCCAGATACGGATCTGCTCTGGCAACTCGGCGTTGATCTTGTCGATAATATCCTCGTCTTCAATGATGAGCTTCAGACTGATGACATTGCCGGCAGCGTGCACGCCCTTGTCGGTTCGGGCGCATCGCACAAGACTCGACTTCTTGGGGTCGTCGGCGTTGGCCTTTGAAATAGCACCAGCAGCAACAAAGGCCTTGAACAGGTCGGCCTCGATGGTCTTCTCGTTGCCGTTCACCTGCATGCCCTTGTAGCCAGTGCCCGCGTATCCAATCATGACAGCGACCTTTCGCTTCGGTCGTCGCTCTTCGGCAGCAATCTCCTCCTTGGAGAAGGGGTTGTTGCTAGACTCGCCATCCGCAGAATCGCCCTGCTTGTTCAGCTTGCGGCGCTTGTACTCCTTGTACTCGTCGTTCTTCTTGCGCTTGTCGCCCTTCTGACGGCTAGCATCTTGTTAGCCACGTTGGAAACTGCGCTAGAAAGAGGTCCCCTATTATCACATACCCGAATTCACCACGTCCCTTCTCGGCGCGCCCTTTGCCAGGTCGTCGATGGTCGTGTCGGGGATTGCGACGGTTGCCATCCTGGCGCGACTGGCCATTGTTAGAAGCGGCATTGGAGTCGCCCGAGCCCTGAGTAGGCTTGGATTCGCTTGCGCTGCTAGCGACAGCAGCCTCGTTGTCTGCCGCCATATCTGCATTGGTTGCGACAGCAGGAATCGTACGAGGAAGATAGTCGATGGATATACTTTTGAAGCTTGTCTGGAGAGACGAGATTTTCGATGCATGTGAGTGGGGCTTCCGTTGCGGCCCCGGCGGGGGTTAGCGCGGGCACTACCCTGGACCTTTGGTAGAAGTGATGGTTGAAGATCATGAACAATCACTGATAAGAATTGATGGTTGATTGATCGATATCTGAGTGTGTTTCTATTAGGGAGGTTCAATTAATTTGTCGTGCTCGTAGAAATAAGTTTCCATGTTGGTTGGCGTAGAGTTTGACTCGGTGTTGCTTCACATCATTGAACACTCATGGTCTTTTGTAGTGAAGCTATGGATGTTGAGCTAACTTCCATCTCATTTACACAGCACAGCTAGAAATGCACATAGCCTTAACCGTCACATGACCTTAACTGTATTTTTTACCTTGGTCTTCAATTTAGAAGGAATGTCACTATAGTCTAGATGCCCCTTCTGGAGAGATTCGACAATATCTGTAATGGTTTCTCTGCACAAGTATAGTACCTGCGATGAAGTGAACGATAAAGACTTGGGAGAAGACATTGCAGTACACATGAACGAATGATGGGCTAATAGTGAAGTATTTCAAAAACACAAGGTTTTCTGTCCAACCGCTGAGTATACTTGAAGAATGCGCATGTTCACATAATCCGCGCCTCAAGTTGTTTGTAACGATGTCGCACTTCAACAAGTCAAATTATACATAAGATACACTAAACAGGCCAGCCCTGAAATCTATCTATCGGTCTATCGGTTAGAGCTTCGGCCAGTATCATCAGGCAGTCCCTCCGTATCGCCAGGCTCCTCGTAGGTGCCACCAGGCTTAGTCGCGCCTCGGGTACGCTCATCAATGATGTTGCTCTTGTCGATAGCATCGGCGTCATCGCGCTCTGTATACGATTAGAATAGTCTAGATGGCAATGTTGGGGCGTACATACCGAGTTGTGCATCGGTATCCGCGTTGTTCGCATCAATTGGGTCCTCAACTGTGTCGGAGTCGGCCTGCACAGGAATGGGCTCTGCCTTTTCGCCTGGGCGAGAGACATAGGAGTTCTCCTGGAACTCGCCAGAAGGAGCGTCCTCGTAACTCCGGGAAGACATGTTGGTGTTGTTTGAATTGAGTGTGTTGAGATGGAAGTTGAGGTAATATTTGAAGGTTGAGATGCGTGTTGGAACTGAGGGATGATAGAGAAAGGCTTCTACTTGTTACTTAGGAAGGCAAGTTGTCTTATTATACTCCTCAGTCTCAAGCATTCCGGAGCGATCAATCTCACTAGAATCGACTGTGCCGTCATCAATCTGAAGGAGCTCATCTATCAATGACGACATTGACTGTGAACCCGTTCATGAATCATCTCGACACGGCATCTCACTAGTGAACACCACCGACGCGATCCCTAACGCGATGCTTGATCTTCTAGCAATGAGGCAGGAGGAATTATCCGATCCAGGCGAATATCGCGACGAACCTGGATCTGTCGCTGGGTGGCTGGACAACGACCACGGTGAAGTCCGCCACTTGCATCACGAACCGAGCTTTGACAGCAGAACGTTGCGAGTATCATTGTTCATTGCTTCATCTGGTTGAACGGACTCAAACTGTACCTGCCGGCCTTCATGGGATCGTTTGTAGTTTGATCCGTGAACCCGTCTTCGGACTAATCGATGATGCTAACAATAGTTCGCTCCTGGATCGAGGACCGATGATCTCGACCAATGTCTTAATAATGAGACTTGTGACGGGCCATCGGAGCAAAATGAACGATCCAAGCTCAAAGGACCGCTTAAGCGCGCAGTCTATGCGTGGTCGTATGAAGTCATCTTCTCGAAGCTCAGGGGCAGAACATGTCATTGAAGCCGTCACTCAAAACGAAACTATCAAGCTATCGGGCCCCCACAGCCTGAATAGTTCCGGTAAGCACCGCAAAAAGGAGGAATGGAGCCTGGTTGAGCCTCATCAATTTAATCAAGGGGGACAAAAAGGCAAAGAGAGCAAAAAAAGAATTTGATGAGACTGGGACTCGAACCCAGGAGGATTGCTCCACCAGGAATTGTAGGTTGTTAAGGTTGACCTTAACCTGGCGCCATAACCAACTCGGCCATCTCACCAGAGCTTGTTGATGATGGTTGAGCTATAATCAGACACTATGGACCCTGGGCTACCACGAGACTCGCAGGGGACGACCCCTGTTCAACTTGAAGTCGAGATAGGCCTTCTCCAGCAACCTAGTTGAAAGATACGTATCAAACATGTCGTGATCAATCAGTCAGATGATGCTGCATTTTGAGCCTCATTATCAAGATTCTCACCTGACTCCTCTGGAATGCTGTCTCTGCATCAGAGGATGGCTGGCGTTGCTAATGCTGAGTTTAAAATGATCACGATTGGATATCAGATTGCGCCAGAGTCGGGGCGCCTCCGACCTCAAAGTTGCGCCTACGAGACATTGTTGAACAACACACAGGTTGAGTCACTTCCCGAGACCGCTGTTTCTCCAAGGAAACTCTAGCATCATCCTCCCATCAGAAACTTTTAGCTGCATGGAAGAATCCGTTGACACGGCACACCGCGTGTCAGATGCCGAATCAAACGGCATCTTCAAGGCCGAGGTTTGCTTCGTCTGACATGCCGTCACACCGACACCTGATGTCGCAACGTCGTTGAAACCAAGTTGCAACCGCCAGACGAGGCAGGGAATCGCGAGTGGCTGAGGTTTGTCTATTCAAGATGGTTCCCTTGGGCCAGGCCTGCGATCTGTGCGGTGCATGTTGCGAGCCAAGTGGAGGAGGAACAAGACTTGGCCTGTTGAATTAGGCCATGGCATTGACGAGCAAGGGCTTCCAGGGGCCTCTGCTCAAAAGCAAGGCGTTACCGACGAATGAGGGCGCAGGTTCGCATCACTACCTTCCGGAATCGACGGAAACCAGGGGCGTTAGGAGTCGTAGATTGGTGTTGCGACAGAATCCGAGAGATAGCAACAGAGGTCGAGATCGCGAGCTCGGGCCCGGCCAAATAAGGGGAGATTGGCACAATAAACAGACCTCAAGGTCGCCCAGAGCAGAATCATGACATTGCCGGGGGTGATGTGCTCACAGATATGGTTCTGCGCCACGGTAGCACATGCGATGATGTGCTCAAGCAGCCGAGTGAGCAACCCAGCCCTTCTACGTAATCCGCAACCGGTTGGCTGGTTCATCACCGCCAAGCTCAAGCGCCCTGGCCATGAATCACGAGGGATCACCCCTTGTTTGTTTGATTGTTCAGCATCGACGCTTCGACGGAGGTGATGAGTCGCAAAACCCGATGAGGCGATCCCTGGGCTCGGAAGTCGGACGTGGCGAGATAATGGATGACAAAAGGTACAACACGGGATTGCAAAGACCCAATTGCCCTGGGGAAATCACGTCATCGCGAGCGGCGAGATCTAGAACGGGGACAAATGCCGTCTCGTCGGGCTGTGGAATTTGTCAAGAAAGTCTCGGAATTCGAAAGCGAGGGAGCGAATGCTGAAGGTGGATCGAAATGAAGACGACATGAAAAACGTGGGCTCTTGCGTGCGTTGATGGAGTGAGGAGGCAGGTTCTCTGTTGGGTGTGGCTCTGTGGCGTCCACTTGATGAGTTGAGATGAGGACATGCGTATGTAAGCAGTCTATGAAAATTGATAGCATCAGCTGAAGACATGAAAAAGAGGGGCCTGGAAGGAAAAGAAGAAAAAATAGAGAATCAGCAAGCAGAAAAGAGGAGTCGAAAAGTCGGAATGGATTCATGATTGGACCATAATTGCAGTAGAAGCGAGGATACCGCGGTCAATGCCGTCCAATCTAAGCAGGGTCATTTTGTCTGCCGTCTCAGACAACACTGTGATTGACCATGAGTACGAACTGTGAGTTACAGTGCGTTTTGCTGCGTCCGTTGGAGGGTCTTTGAGGGCCCAGAGCCCCGTCGATTCCCCAGTTACCTGCATGACTTGGTACAAGCCCGTGCGAAAACCCAAGGTAGGTGAGCATGGTTCCCCTCAGGATGCCATCGAGGAGGCCTAAAGGGGTAACCTGTCATGGCCTCGATAGTTTTTCGCGAATAGTTGCCATGATGCCCAAGTGAACCTTGATGGCGGAAGCTCGAGTGGCAAAATACCAGACTTGTATCGCAACGCAAAAGCCACCAGCACGCCTTCCACACCGACCGACTGCCGTGTCGGGGATCCACTTATACCGTCAACCTATCCGGCCGATCGGTCTCTGATAACGCCATTTGGGGCCCAAATTCGAAAGCGCTCCTTGTGAGATGATTGACCAGAGGGAGCAAGGGCCAGACGCCCAGGGCTCAAATCAGTGCGGACAAGGTCACTGGGGGTGTCCAGGGAGTCCCGGAAGGCATTGAGAGAGGCCCCCATCATTTTGGAAAGACACGGTTGTTGTTTGTGAGGGAGGGATTGAAGATGAGATAGGATGAGGTCGGCGAGCTCAACAAAGAAGCCCGATGTTAGATAACAACATGACCTATCGAAGTGGCAGAAAAAAAGCCCAGCAGGAAGCTGCATCTCAGGCTCCTCTTTTCCCCGCCCTCCGGTCGGCTCAGTAAGGAAAGAGTAGGGCAGGCACGGCGAGGCGAAAGGGTACCTGCCAATTCGGAGTGGACGGTGACTGGAGGACCCAGCACCTCCCGACGACCCGAAGGGACAGGACACCTTCTCAAGGTTGATTGCCTCCACCGAACGTCACCCTCCATTTCCACCCACTTACACCTTGCAAAACCACGACCTCTCGTTTTTTCTCACCGGGCAACGCAACGCGACCACGACAGAAGCTCTCGTCGAATACCGCCAGAATCGGTTTCATCTCCCACGGACGCCAATTAGCGCAATCAGCAAAAGCGACCGGCCGCTGTCGCACAGCCGCTGACTGGGGTTTCAAAAGGTCTGGGCTGGCTGGCGCACAAATCTAGGGTGGACCGCAGGTAGCGCTCCAAGGCTCAGCACGCCATCGCCCAGCGACTTTGCCTCAGATCCCACCCCAGAAGCCCAGTCACTCTTCCCCAGACGGCAGCAGGGAGTTACGATATCTAGCCCTCTCATCGCGCAACTCCCTTTTCCCCAAGGACCTTGATTTGGCTTTCCCTGCGCCATGAACAGCCCCTCGCTCGTCAACGGCCATCGGCCCTCCTCCGACTCATCCACTGCCGCCCCAGTCACCTCAGCCGTATCTCTTACCTCAACTTCCTCGACTCCTTCGCCTTCTGTTTCCGCCTCTGCTTCCGCCTCAACAATAACATCTGTACATCGCCATGCTCCTGTGCCGTCCTCGACTTCAAGTTCCACCGCCTCACCTCTTCCTCCTCTGGCTGCCAGCAGCGACTCTCTGAAGCTCACCGACGACACCGAGCAACTCGATAACCATTCCCAACAACCTTCGAAGGACAACTGCGACCGAAACCGATCCGCCGAAGAAATCAACCCACGCTTAGTCAAGATGCCTTCTGAACTGGTCGGTAAGACCGTCAGTCCCTTCCTGAAGGAGCACATCCCCGGCCTCTATGCACCCTTCGGCAAGGCCAAGCAGGCACTTCCTCAGACACCCAGCCGCAATCCCACTGTTCGCAAGAAGGATCCCAATAGCAAGTACTGCTATCGTCACCGCCCCGATTCCAAGTGTCGACGTGCTGCCGACGAGACCAAGATGGGCTTCATCCAAAGTGTAAGTGTTGCTGCCCTGCTTCCCACTTCGGTCGGAGCTAGCTGGCGCCCCTGGATGACTTTGCTGACAGCTCCTGCAGGAACTCAACAGTCTCTCGTCAGCCGATCAAGAAGCCATCACGCACGTGTGGTCGCTCTTCTCTGCAGCCCCCTCAAAACACCGCGAGCTGATGCTCCAGGGCATCATCACTCAATGCTGCTTCCCTCAGCTCTCCACCGTGTCGCGCGAGGTCCAAGAACAGCTAAAGATCGACTTCCTTACCGCCCTCCCCACCGAACTCTCCTACAAGATTCTGAGCTACCTCGACACCGTATCCCTCTGCAAAGCGGCGCAGGTCAGCCGACGATGGCGCAACCTGGCTGACGATGATGTCGTGTGGCACCGCATGTGTGAACAACACATCGACCGCAAATGCACAAAATGCGGCTGGGGCCTACCGTTGCTGGAGAGGAAAAAACTCATGGCGTGGAGCCGCCACCAACAAGTACACCGACATCTGCGGGCCGCCGACGTGGTTGAGCTTGACGAGGACGCCGAGACACAAAGCAGCGAATCGCGAAAGCGCCAAGCCGACGATCACGATCACGACGATGATGACAGAGGCGCAAAGCGACCCCGAGTAAACGGCACGAGCAAGTCGCGACAACAACTTGAACAAGAGCGCAAGTTCCGACCATGGAAGGATGTCTATCGGGATCGTTTCAAGGTGGGGTACAACTGGAAGACGGGTCGTTGCTCCATCAAGACCTTCAAGGGTCACGAGAATGGCGTCACGTGTCTCCAGTTTGACGACAACATCCTGGCCACGGGCTCCTACGACACGACCATCAAGATCTGGAACATTGAGACGGGAGAGGTGATGCGCACGTTGAGAGGCCACACGTCGGCAGTGCGAACGCTCCAATTCGATGACTCCAAATTGATCAGCGGTAGCTTCGACAAGACGATCAAGATCTGGAACTGGCAGACCGGGGAGTGTCTCAGCACACTCCAATGTCACACCGAGGGTGTTTTATCGGTCCACTATGACGGCTGCACCCTGGCTTCAGGCTCGATTGACAAGACGGTCAAGGTGTTTAGCTTTGATACCAAGCAGACGTTTTGTCTACGGGGCCATACCGACTGGGTCAACCACGTGCGCATCGACTCGCCCTCGCGAGTTGTGTTTTCCGCATCGGATGATCTCTCGGTCAGGCTCTGGGACTTGGACTCGAAGCAATGCATCAAGACCTTCCTCGGCCACGTGGGTCAGGTGCAGCAGGTTCTCCTGATGCCGGCGGACTTTGAGCCGGATGAGATGCCCCACTTGGACAACTCGGATGCGGCGTCGGTGTCGAGCGGCCGGAGCAACACCCCGGTTGCGGCTCCGGAGCAGCCCTCGAATGATCGGGCGGCCTACGGACCGGGCTTTGCGGATGAGTCTCGACCGCTGCCTCCACGATACATGCTCACTGGTGGCCTGGACAACACAGTTAGACTCTGGGACACGGCCACTGGCAAGTGCATCCGCAGCATGTTTGGTCATGTCGAGGGCATCTGGGGTCTCGTCGGTGACACCCTGCGAGTAGTCACGGGTGCTAATGACTCGATGACCAAGATCTGGGAGCCTCGTTCTGGCAAGTGTGAGCGCAGCTTCACCGGACATGCTGGCCCTGTGACATGTGTCGGCCTCAGCGATAGCCGCATGGCGAGTGGTAGTGAAGACGGCGAGGTTCGCCTATACAGCTTCGAAGGCGAGCGCGTTGAAGAACGTGGCACGCCTTCGTAGTCTGCCAATGGGTGCTGGCTGTTCCATCCTATCGCACTTTTTTCTTTTTCTTTCTTTCTGTCTATAGCGGGAGTCTTTCGAAGGTAGCGGATAGTCATTTGGGGACTTGGTCGCATCATGAAAGGATTGGTGTTTGATTTGACGCATGCATTTCTCTGGAGACACGGAAGGGCTCGGGCAAGGAAGTGCACCTCGGGTTGATTAGTACCGAGGCACGGGGCAAAAAACAAGGGATGACGAAAGGGTTGAGGACCGGGGAGTTATTGGCACGGATAATTGTTTGTTTTGTTTGTGGGTACCTACAACGGGGACTGTCCCTCGATGAGAGGATAAAGATGGGCCTCGCGGATGCATCGAACGGGAGGGATAAGAGGCTCTGTACGTTAGGAGTTGGAGATTATGCAGTATGACCAGTGAAGAAGTTGACGTGAAAAGATGAAAACATTTGAACCTTATCCTTGTGTAACTCATTGGATGTGACTGTGACGGTGACGGGTCCTTGTGAGCTCTCATAAGGCTGACTGTGATGGTCATGTTGCCGCATCTGTGAGCATTTCCCTTTCAAAGCATACAGCCTGGAGCTGCGTAGATTCAAGGATGGAGCAATTGATTCATTTCCAAGGGTTGAGCGCCGTAAACAAAACGCATGAATCCGTAGCCTGTATGTACACCGGCAGTTTACCCTGTCCAGTAAGGCTGTCATCCCCATGACCACTGCGAGCATCAGGGTTCTTCAAGGGGAGAGATCCAAAGCAATCTCGAGTTGGGGGCTCAGGTTATATCCTTGAAGTCGCCTAGACGCAGCCGCTAGAATTCCAATCCCAAACGAGTCAAGCGAAATGGCGTCATGTCCTCGAGGTCATCTAGAACCGTCCAGTTATGGATCCGTTCCCTCGGCCGTTTTGACAGACACGTTCCAGCTTTTTTCTCTACGTAAAAAGATCCAATCTCATGGGGAGTAAGTAATGCTTTCCTCTTTTGGCGCCGAAGCGTCCCAATGAGATGGTCGGCGGACGTGTCGCCGCCCGGGTCGGGATACGGCTGCGGCTCCGCGGGTGGAGCTTGACCGGAGGGCCGAGTTTGTGTGTTGTGTTGTTGTTGTTGTGAGTCGGGTAACGTACGTGCCTTGCCTTAGCTCGGGCGGCAGCTGAGACAAGGAAAAGAGGCAGGTCTTCCCTTGTTCTCGTGTCCTTGGGGGAGGTAGAGAAAAGGGTGATCCGAGTCTCCGAATCTCCGAGTCCCGGATCAAGCTACTAACAACGACCAACTCCGACCTGGAAACATGGAAAGGGATGGATGGATGGAAGCGGAAATCGGGCAAGAAAGAGTCGAAGGGGTATCTTATCTGATCTCATCGGAACCGACTGATTGGATTTCGGCAGAGAGGGTGAGATGAGGTACTCATTCCGCAGCATGTCTCGAGTGCCGACTTGTACACGGCGTCCCAAATCTCACGATCCTGGACAATGAAGCCACTCGTGCTTTTTTGACAATGCGTTTTTTGCTCTGTGCTTTTTCACACATACACAAGGTACAGTACAATTACCGAAAGGAAAACCCGAGTTCAATTCCATTCCCCGGTGAAGCACTTCCGACGGAACCTCTTCCTTCTCTTTTACTTGAGGTTCCCTTTTGGGTCCAGAAAATGATATGGAACAAACCTCGGCAAACCTCGGCCATGCACTTCCTTTTCGCTTTTTTTTTTTCGTGCAACGGATGATGGCCGTTTTCTAAAAGCAAGGGGGTGTGTTGGTTAGAATGGGGGTAGTGGTGTGGATGTAGTTGTTGGGGGAGAGAGAGAGGGAAAGGAGTCATTGGATGCGAAACGCTTCCGATTGATGTTTTCATTCTTACATTAATACATTGTTAGAGGCGCGCATTCATTGCTCTCCTATCTTAATATTTGCCTAGTTGATAATTCAGGGCTATTGTTTGTGAAGAGTTCGGATTTCTCTGAGGTGAACCCCAGATTTACATTGATTAGCTAATTCCGTAAGGCGAGGTCAGCGGAAAAGGAAAGCGCAACGAGAGGTCGAGACAGAAAGGTGAGCAGAGCAGGTGCGGGACCCCGCAAAATCACAAGCTCGGCTACCCGTCGGTAAAAGAAAGAAACCGACGTCACTTGGAACTTCACCGAGACAAATCTACACCGTGACCTTGAATTATTACGAGGCTCGGTCAGCTGAGGGCATCATCACAAGCTCATCTTTTACTCAAAAAGAATATCTTGGATAATGTGTATGTTGGCATGTGGTTGTATCGAAAAAGAAACAAGAATCTCTGCTTCGGCTGCATGGATGCGTAGCCGCACACGCCCTCCGCACCCCGGTCCTCCGCCTGCCCGGAGCCTGTGGGGCTCCTCTGTTCGGCTTTGGGATTGGGGGGGGGGGGGGCAAGTCATCCAGAGACGTCAGAGTTCGCGGGTGTTTTTGGGACCTGCGCTTGGGGGAGGAGGAGGGACACATGTGAGTGAGGGGATGAGGGGTGAGGGGAGAGAATATGGCTTCAGATGTAGATGTTTCTTTTGCTACCAAGACTGTTTTTGAGCTTCTACATAGCTCGTTATCATGGTCCGGGCACCTCTATGAGATATCCATGTTTACTGCATCTTCATCTTCCTTTCTTTTTTATCCGTCCCACGCGCATGCTTCCGTCCCTGCATCCCTCTCCCCCTCAACTCACACGCCTCCAGCTAAGCTAGACCACGGCCAAGCTCCGAACCCATTCATGGCTTTCTCCGAGGTGCTGCTCCTCCCGATGAGACTGTGGGGTTATTCGTCAGGTGTGTCGGTAGCTACACCATGATTCCCCGGCAAGGGATCCATTGTTTTTTCATATGAGTCTACCTTTTGACCTTTGCGCGACGGCGTCTCGGCCGGAGAGTCTGTCTCCATCCACCCTTTTTCTTTTTCTTAAATTGTTTCCCTCCCTCCGTTCTTCGCTCCTCTTCTTATCCTTCTTAGCCCTCTTCTTCTCTCCTTTGCGTTGTGACTCCTTCTCTTCCCTCCATCTTTCTCTCGTAGCCTTACATCCCGTCGAATCTCCGAACACCTCTCCTCCGAACCTCGGTCTTAAGAATCCTCTCGTCTGGAAATTGAAATCAAGAGTCAAGACTCGCGATCTGGTGCCGTTTTGGTAGATCTCAAAAGAAAAGAAGGAAACGAAAAGAACGCTGGGCGCATAAAGCTCTGGTTCCGTCGCAATGGCTTCCAAGGGTGAAGGCAAGAGGCAACCGCCCTCGGCGGCCGTCAACCTCATTGGTATGTCCTAATTGAACGATAATTGCTCTCACAGAGCATGGTTGAAGCATAAACTAACGCCAATTTCACAGCTGGTGGTGGTGCTGGTATGATGGAGGCCCTCGCGTGCCATCCCCTCGGTAAGCAGCCCAAAACCCTCTTGCGCCTCACTCGCGCGCAAGCTCAATTTACACCCAAACAAATATCTAATGGCTTAAAAAGACACAATCAAGGTCCGCATGCAGCTGTCGCGGCGCGCAAGGCAGCCCGGGGCTCCTAAGCGCGGCTTCATCAAGACCGGTGCCGACATCATCCGCAAGGAGACGCCCCTCGGCCTTTACAAGGGTCTGGGTGCCGTTCTCACCGGTATCGTGCCCAAGATGGCCATCCGGTTCACCTCGTTCGAGTGGTACAAGCAGATCCTCGCCGACCCTACCACGGGCGCCGTCTCCGGAAAGGCCACCTTCTTCGCCGGTCTGGCTGCCGGTGTCACAGAGGCCGTCGCCGTCGTGACACCCATGGAGGTCATCAAGATCCGTCTCCAGGCCCAGCACCACTCCATGGCCGACCCCCTCGATATTCCCAAGTACCGCAACGCCGCCCACGCTCTTTACACCGTCGTCAAGGAGGAGGGATTCGGTGCCCTCTACCGCGGAGTCAGCTTGACTGCCCTGCGCCAGGGTTCCAACCAGGCCGTCAACTTTACCGCCTACAGCTACTTTAAGGAATGGCTCAAGGTCTGGCAGCCTGAGTATGAGGGCGCCAACCTGCCCAGCTGGCAAACCACCCTCATCGGTCTCGTCTCTGGTGCCATGGGTCCCCTGAGCAACGCCCCTATCGACACTATCAAGACTCGCCTGCAAAAGACCCCCGCCGAGCCCGGTACCAGCGCCTGGACCCGAATCTCTAGAATCGCCGCCGACATGTTCAAGTGAGTTTTCAAAACATTCTCTCAAAGATATAGGGAACTAACAACCCCCAGGCAAGAAGGTTTCCACGCCTTCTACAAGGGCATCACCCCCCGTATCATGCGTGTCGCTCCCGGCCAGGCCGTCACCTTTACCGTCTACGAGTACCTCAGGGATAAGCTAGAAAAGAGCAACATCTCCCTTGTTGGAGGCAAGTACGAGGAATAAAATGGGAGGAAAAGGAAGAAAAAAGTCACTACATACCCAGTCGAGCCTGATCTCTTTGTTGTACTGCAACAAAGAAGACGTCGACTTCCACACACACATCACAACACACACACCGACCAAAAAGCCGCTTTTTTTTTATTACCGTCCCAGTTTCTAATACCTCCACAGTGCAAAATGCTGTGAAAGATGCCGAAGAGTCCATCTGAAGAAAAAATTCGGGGCGGGCGGCACATTGATTGGCGAGACGAGAGCGAGTTACATGACATGAGAAAGACACAACCAAAGAGGATGAGAAGGGTTCAACGATACAAAGGAGAAAGAAAGGATACCATGCATTTGAGGGGGTTGAGGGGCGGCTTGGGTTCTCATTATATGCATGCATCTTTGGATAAATACCAGCATTTGTAGCTTGGACAATTGACGTTTCTTGCATCAAAGATTGACTTGTTTGACATACCTTGAAAATGTGACAAAGTTGTATTTTATCTAGTTTGACGTCTTGGCGTGCTCATAAACATGATGGTTGTAAATGTGTATCTTCTGTCTGTTCATCTGAATTCTTTCATCTGTTGATTCATCACGCCGATTACTTGCGACCAGGTCGCTTCGGTCGGCTGAAGCCCTGTCTGGCAGCAACCTTAGGATGCAAATCATCCAGCACAGTCTGCTCCGTAATCTCGCCAGGCTCTTCCACCTCAAACTTCTTCTCCAGCTTGAGTCCGGCTTCCCGCTCGGCAACCTCCAGCACCGCCCGCTTCATCAGGGGGTACATCATCCTGAACTTGATGGCCTTGTTTCCGGGCGTCACGGGGCAGGTGTAGATGAAGAGCACGGGGCTCTGCTCGGCGCCATCGTGTGTGTGGGTATATCGGTAAAAGGTGAACCGCGGCTCGGTCTGCGAGATGGCCTGGGTCAATTCCGCGATTGAGCTTGGCGTCGGCGATTCGGGAACCAGCTCCACCACCTCGGTCTCTGGGTTGATTTTCTGCCAAGTCTGTTAGTATTCGCCATGGGATAAATCAATTGCCCAAAATAGCTCACCAGCATGACAACCGATCGTCCGTCGTCCTGTCCGACCTCCTTCATGGCAGCAACTGCATCTTCCCCGATGGGCATGGAGAAGCTCTTGCTGAGATGAATTGCCTTGACTCCTGTTCCAGACCCGGCCTCTTGCTCAGCACGCTTGACCTCGCCTAGCGCCTGCTCTTCCTCGGTAAGAGGGGCATCCAGCTTTGTATGCGCATCATGCTTCTCGAAACCCTTCTCGCTCAGCTCCTCGGGGATTGTCACAAAGATGGTTTCACGGAAATGTTCCGATCCGAGCTCGCGGACAAGAGTCAAGCGCGTCGATGCAAAAAGCATCTTCTGGCGTACGCGCGCAGCATCGGGGACGTAGGTGATGGCGAGGAATTTGGGTGCCGAGTCGTAGCGGCGTAGGATGATGTAAAGAGCGACGTCAGTCTTGATGTGCGGCTGCAGGCTCGCTAGGTTCTCGCCGAAGGATGAGGAGGTCGAGGGAAGAGTGGCGACAGGGACGAGGGACTCGTTCTCGATCGAGGCAAGGAGGCCAAAGGTATCATCCGATGCCAACAACGAGTTGAACTCGTTCTGGAGCTCTTGGGAAGCTGCTTCATGTGAGATGATGGACAGGTAAGAGGGGCGTCCCAGCCATACCTGCAATACCAGACTGCATCTTGTATGTGTCCCCTATTTACGGGGAGGTCTTCGATAACGCGGGTACAAGTCTAGGTAAATGTCAATGTTGATGGTGGTGTTGACGTTGATGTTGCTTGGTCGTCAGCTCCTACCCCGCCACTTTCCCCTTGGACGCTCGGAGCTCTGGTGGGGCCGTCGAGGCCGCACTCACTTACCCTACGCCGACAGAGGTCAGGAAGCAATTCAGTGATTCACAAGATTTATTCGTCTTCTCTTTGTATGCTCTACAGCCATGTGGCCTTTCGTACAAGTGAAATGGGGTTAAACCTCTTACAAAGTTTGACAACTTGTCTAGGACATTCTCGATCAGCGCTCCCAACATATCAGTGTTAGGCCACGGCAGACCGCCCAAAATCTTCCCACATAAACTACCACCAGAGCTCCTTGCAACACATGACCCCTTTACCCGAATGTTGACATGACGCCTCCTCCAATACCCCTTCATGGGACCCGACCTAAACTTATGCAATCATAACAGCAATCAGGAGCAGCTCGCCCAGCGCCGTAAGGACCGGGACCTCGAACTGGCTCGACTCAGACACAAGGACCTGGGAAGGCACAGGCCCGTCATTTCTGTTTGGCGTAATCGAGGGAACAGGTTCAGGAAGAGTTTCGGTCAGAAGGGTCTCGCTAGTGATGGACTCTACAGAAGAGTCGGGTGGAACACCGGTGACTAAAGTCGAGCTGGACGAAGGTGCTGTAGGATGGTTTTCCTGAGGCAATGTGCTGGTTGAGAGGAGAGTAGTAGGCGGCGCCGGAATAGTTGACACTGGCTCACTCATCGAAGTGCTGGGCAGTGGTTCATCAGGTGTTGAAGCCGATGGAGGCACGGGGGCCGACGTCTCCGGAGGGGGTAGGGGAGCATCAGTTGGCGGAGGAAGTGCCTGTGAGACCCCAACCCCGGGAGGCGATGTCTCTGTCTCAGAGACTTCTTCTGCAAGGGCGCTCGATGCAGCGAATTGCTCTGGTAATGGGAGCACAGGGGCATTGTTGGACGGAACCACTGGATTCTCTGGGTTGACTGGCTCTGGAAGAACCTCATCCTGTAGAAATACGGTATCGATGATGAACAAGGTAGAGATTCTTGGCTTTCCCTCCGGGCAGATCCCACCGCACATAGGAGAGTTGGGATTCTCGAAGCAGGGGTAGTTGCAGGAGCCTTCGTCAACAGCATGGATCGCATCGGGGTCATTTCCGCAACGACAAGCACTGGAGCATGTTAGAAGCGGACACGGGGATATACTTGAAGGGAAAGACTCACTCGGGAGATACTGCAGCAAAGATGTGGCCTGCACAAGCTGCCTGGCAGGATTCATGGCTCAAGACGCCAGAAGGAAGCTGGACGGGTTCACTGAAGCCTGCCGCGTCGACTGTAGCGCAGCCCCAGTACTTGAACGGCTCGGGTTCGGACCCGTACGAGGCCTGGCCAAGGACGGCCATGGCCCCAAATGCGGCGATCAAGAGGTAGCTGAACATCGTGGGTTATCGATGGACATGAGACGACTGGAGGACAACGACGAGGGATTGTAGAGATGAACCCTTGGGGATGAAGGAATGTTGAGGGACTGGGAAAGGAGAAGAGGGTTGGGAAGAAAATTCAGCTGGACTACTCAAGAAGGAGCTCGAGGGGTTAATAGGGATTCGGCTCTGCTCGAGGAAGGAGCCGGGGCCGAGTGACGTCCACCTGGTCCTGGGGAAGGCGCAGTTGCTGAAGCCATCATGAGAGCACCTTCCCAACAACGACCCTGACTCGCCCTCGTGGCGGCCACCGTCAGAGCCCAGGTTCTCGGAAACCAAGCACGTGGCATCCATGTTTGAAAAAGTAACCCGGTTGACCAACATCTACCTGCCTAGGTATCATGAAAGGTGAGAATATGAGGACTCCGGATGTCTCACTATGACCTCTTTTCCAAATCCAGCCCCTCAACGCCCTAATAACGCCCTAATGAACCGTCCCGTCCCATGTCTTCCATTCTTATCGTCCAGTGAGCCCAATCGCCTTGTATGCCTCGAGGGTGTTTAAGGCTTATCACCAACTGCCACCAGTCGCAGTGCCAGCATTGTCCTCGAGGTCGCTTTCCACCTGAGACAGCCGCCTGTCTTCTCCGAACAGGCTATCTGCCCTGATTGTCATCGAATCCGCCGTCGATGCTCCACTCGCTGCCGACATCTTCCTGTTTTCAGAGCCACCTGCCATCAAACTTCTCGCCGCCTCTTCCAACACCGCCGTCGTGCTCTAGCTTCCGGTTGTCGGTGCCGCCTCTGTCGGCCTTTCTTGCAGCTCCCACGTCCCGCCGCAGCGCTCAGCGAGCTTCTTCATAGCATTCGCGTCAATCATGTCGAGAAGACCTGCCACCTCGGAAACATCGCGATCAATCCGGTCTTCCTTTGCCTGGGATTGAGTATCGCCCTGGTTGAGAGGCCCAAAGACCCAGAGCTCCTTGATTCTGCGGGATAGTGCAAGAAGCTCTTTGATGGAGGAGTACTGGAAAATGTTAGATCTCCGGTCAAAGAACAGGCACTGACGCAAAAGGCTGACTTACCAAACCGTCAAAGGCCATCTCCATCGAAATACCCGCTACGGAGATTGTTTCGGGGTTACTGTTGCTGCGCTCACCCTCAGCCTGGATGGTTGCGAGCATCATGAGCGTGCGATAGTGAGTGAGGATATCAGCGATGAGCCTGTTGTGCGTGTCTCGAGACTGTCAACGATGGTTCTAAGGCCGGCGGCTTGAGATGCTCACCCATGAGATTGGCACTCGTAGCTTGTGATCGTTCCATGATGATGAGAGTGCCTTAAGGGTTTGAATATGTGTAACAAGTCAAATTAAAGAGGCAAGGCACCGAATGCTGCTCAAAGAGTGTCTCATTGATGTTGGCGCAGTGTGAGGTTGGTTTGTTGGAGATGGTGGATCTACGAATGGGGGTGGAGCAGAGCTCCCAAAGTGGGGCAAAGGGTACGGTGACACCTTAAGGACGGAAAGCGCAAATACGGGAGCTCTCTTCCAGAAACTGCCTGGAATCCATTCTTTTTATAAAGCTTCAAGGCGATTAGAAGGAATTGGTGGTGGTGCTGAAAAACTTCACCTAAGCCCCAACGCAAGAAGACAAGATTGCAAAAAATATTCATCATTACAACACGCTTGACATTAAAAGCACCCATCTCTACTTGCCACGTCCCTTGCATATAGAATCAGTCCCGTTCAAAATCACGAAGCCTGTCTCCTATAGAACCGGCGAGCGTTTGCGATATAACCTTTGCATCACCATAACCCAGCTTCGTGGTGATTTCGGTAGCCTGTCTGGAAATGGCGGCTAGGGTGCCCTCAACAAAGCGGTGCTGGAACAATGTTAGTCGTCGCGATGCTATATTGGTAGATTCAATAGGGATGTACCTGGAAAATTGAGCGCGACTTGTCGTGGTACACAAGGAAACGGTATTTGTTCCCCTTCTGCTGGCCATACATGTAATCATTGTCGACGGTGAGCTTGAAGCCTGCGTCGGTCCTCTCGATCTTTGATGACTTGAAGTTGTCCAGCAATTCCACTGAGACGTACAAAAAGTTGGTCTTTTCAGGCTCATCGGCTGTTGGATGTGAGAACAATGCCGGATTGACTCCGAGGGTAGGTCCATACATACCACGAGTGTTGGTAAACTCAATGCAGAGGTAGTCTTTCCTGAACTCCTTGAAGCTCTGCTTCTCAGGTGACGGGTGTGATTCTCCACTCCTCCTCCCCAGGGATGGTGAGGACGTCGGACTTTTGGACAGGCATGTTGTATGTTGAGGCAAAGAGGAAGTGTTCTGTGTATTTGGAGAAGTGCTGATGGGATTCACCAGAGATAATCTGCGCTGCTCCCAGCCTTATAAGCACCGAAAGGAGAATAAGGAGCCAGTAACATGTTGAATTCCATGTGAGTCCATGGAGCCATCTCACCCTCAGTCCTGGCCACTATTCTGAACTATTGAGTCGTCCCAGCTCAGCTGACAACCATCTAGACCTGCCAAGATAGATAGGTAGTTGAGAGCCACGGCCCAGAAGGCTCGGATTGGGAGAATGGACTGAGCGCTCAGTCTCCGAGTTGAGCTGAGCCTCCACATCTTTTCAATAATAGCTTCTCGCGCCGCAATTGACTGGCGAGTGAGCCTCTCTTTCCTGCGGGAAGACCCTTCTCGGCCCGCGTGATGGAGGCAGCCCGCCACATCGGGCATCGGAACTCGACGCTAGCGAGTTCTAGCTCCAACAGACAGGGACGCGAGCCGTCCCCGCGAAGAGATTGGGAAGGGTTGGTAATGTTTGAAACAAATGATAGGTGCCATGAACTCGTGTTACTCTGTAAATATCTGGTGGCTTGCGTCAAACTAAGCCTCAAAGGTCCATCATGGAATCGTCAAAGCGAGACGCGAAAAGCCCAGCACGCCTTCAACAGGTCTGCACGTGGGTCATCAATTGGGGGCACTGAGCATTCGTAGGAGCATCATGACGTGAGCGCTGAAAGGAGAGCTCTACAGTACCCATTCACCAAGACAAAGACTATCATAAGGCCCCAGGATCAGAGTTATGGAGGAGATCGATAGCTAACAAGCCAGACAGATAATGATACATAGGTTCCTTATCAGCAACGAAGCATACAAGTTCAAGATTCCAGGACGAGATGCAGGTGTGACAGCTTATGTAACGCGTCTACCACAAGCATACTTGGCCTCAAACACATCAACTCAGGGGCATTCCTGAATACGAGGTCAAGACACACAAGTCTCTATTAACAGCCCAGCACAAGCGCATCCCGTGCAGAACTTTCTATCTCCCACTGTTACCCCCATGATAGTGATAATGCTACAGAAACCTCTACTTGATACAGACATTGCAGATTGCCCGTCCCAATCAATCCCAGACGCCCGCCCCATGACCAAATAAACAAGAACCCAAAGGTAATAAGGGCGAACCCCTTTTTGAACATCTTCGTGCTTTCGTGCCCCCCATGTTTTCATCCTGATTCCCGAATTGGATGGATAAATAAAAACTGCATGTGAAAGAAAAACGTGCTCCTCCTATCGTGACAGTCTATAGGCCGTGTGAATCGAATCGCATCGCATTAGCTAGGCTCCCTCGGATCAGGGCTGCCCGGTCCAGTGGCGGTCCTCTCCCTTCCATCCGAGTTGAGGCCAACCCTTGGGAAGGGTGGAAAAGGGAGGGAGGACGTATTGGCCGTCGCACTTGTCTGCTTCGCAAGTCATGTCGCACATGCCGTAGTTTTGACAGTAGCACTCGGCAGCGTTGGGGCAGTGGACCGCCTTTTGGCCAAAGATGACTGATTCGAGTGTTAGTCTGTAGAATGATTTGCTCGTGAGCATTGGGAAACTTACCGTGCCATGAATACTCTAGGACACGGCCGCTCAGATCGTCGCCCAAGGGAGACACAATCAACCACTCGCGGAATCGCACATACTCAGCGCGGGGACGCTTGCGAATGGCCTCACGGCGCACGGCGAATTGCGAACAGCAAGTTACGCCGACCTCCTCGGGGACCTCGAGGCTGGGGAACAGCTCCTGGAAAGCAGCCTTGTATACGTGACGAGCGTGGACTGGCTCTCCCTCCTTGGCAGGAGCTTCGTCCTGAATGGGCTTGATCTCGGCGGGGCAGCCAAGAACCCAGACACATCGCAGGTTGGCGTAGCCGACCTTTTTGAGGTTGTCGAAGCGAAACTTTTGGAGGAGGGGGAGGGCGTCGTAGTCGGGGTTGTCGTTGTGCCACTGGAAGCGCTCGGCGTGGTGGAAGATGATGTTGCCGGGCAGAGAATCGTATCGGTCAATGATGTAACTGCGGCGCACGCATTAGCAGACTGCATCCTGTCAAGTTGGGCAGGTGGGCGTACGTCAAGAAGACCATGGCCTCGCGCCCCTTGTTCATAGGCACGGTCAACTTGGCTTTGTTATCGTCGACGACGTAAATGTTCTTCTTCCACTCGGGAAGGTAGTGGTCGAGCCACGAGACGTTTTCGTGCTTCATGCTCGCCACCACCATCTCGACATCGTTGTCGCCGAGGCGCAGAGTAGTGGAAGTGTCGTATGCATGACTGCGGGAGTTTGAGGAGGGAGGGAGGAGGTCGTCGCGGAAGTAGAAGAGGATGAGGAAGAGCATGACGAAGAAGGCGACGACATTGTTGCGATGCGAGCGCTGCCGGGGAGTCCAGCGACCGGCCATGGTGGAAAGACGGCGATTTCAATATCGTCGTCGTATGAGTTGTTGGAAGCTGTCAGATGAGAATCGCAACGTCTCGTCTGCTAGCTGGCGACAGAGACGAGATCGTGGAAATCTGTAAAGCAAGGGTTACTGCTGATGGGATGCTCTGGTTAGGGGGGTCCCTCTTCTCCCTTGAGAATGGATCCATCCTGACAGGCCAAGCCCCAAGCTAAATCGAGAAGAACTGGACCGCTAACGAAACATCCCTGCAGCGTGTGCCTGACACTGCGTGCGTCAGTCAGGTCAGGTCAGGACAGTTCCGTCGCGTTTCGGCTTGGGCGCCTCAGTGGCTTGATTCGACGCGGCCTTGCTGGAATTGCCGGGTTTTAGTGGACGCCTCTTTTTAGGTGGTGTAAATAAAGCTGCAGCTTTTACTTAATGTCATGAGGGAAATGCACGATTATTTCTGTCAGCTTTGTTCCAGTGCCTTACGGAACGTGCAATCATCTTCAAGGTATTTGGCGTGGATCTTGAATACGAGCCAAGGTTACCTCATCAGTCGTCACCAACATCATGATTTTAAACTCCATCTAAAAGCGGCCGCTTCTCAACCCAACTTAAAGACCTTTTGCCACGATTGCTTGGGTTCCTAGTTTTCAAATCGGCATTTTTATCCACCAGAACTGTCGGGATTACCAGCTGAGAGTTCTCATTGATAGCTGGAGCAAGGGCTCCAGTATGGAAGTGGAGGTGGCCGTGTACGATATTCCTTGGTGGTGTTTGCAGGCTTAATACGAGTATTCCCGAGGACCCGAAGAAACAATTTACGATGAGTAAAGATATTCCACAATCGATAAATATTCCCTAAGGCCGGTAGGAGCATTGATTAGATGGGTAGGTAGAGAGGCGGGTGGCTCGAGTACCATCTCGTGGCTGTGCAATTGGCGATGCGTCAACGCAGTGAGGGAAGTATCAACGACAAATCTAGCGGCCATACCCTCTGAATTGTTACCTGGATGGGTTTCTATATGCATGTTCTCAAAGATAATTGGCTATGGAAGAAGGACAGATGATATAAAGAGGGCTGTGGTAACAAAGCTGCATACGCGTAATCAGGGCCGGAAAACACGGCATCAGCCTGCTCGTATAGAAGACCGAGCAGCCAGCAGGGCCATGTTTCGAACAAGAAACAATTAATGCGTAGAAGAAACATATCTAGTTCATCAAGAGCACAATTGGGGGGGCACTAGGCTATCCATAGGACAGAATGTCAGGGGGTCCATTAAGAGTAAGGTAAGTGGTTCGGCGAGAAGGCGAAGTAGGGTGAACAACACTCGCCAGACAACCTTTATTCCGCTGTAGGCACGATTTCTTATGACTTATGATGGGATCTACGGTGTTTTAATGGTTCCTTTGGCTTCACCATTCACCTCAGTGAATCGGTATCCATACCGCGCGCGAGAGAGAGAGAGAGAGAAGCATGCTCCAATTATCCCTGTCTGCGGAATTCGAGTGATGGTTTAAGCATTTTCTGGATATAGATACTCTAATGTCATCTCCTCGATTCCAAGGCACTTATGAAAGTCAACTTGATTGACTGAGCGGGAAGCGAGCCCTGAAAGCCAACGGCGTCAACACTTGCTATGTGAGAAATGCGCATCGCATACCATAGCATCAAGAATTTAGGACACATGCAAGAGCTTTGGCGTGAATAGTAATAGAGCTTAGAATGTTATGGTAAAGTTATATAGAGGGTATTGCGTATGTTTCCCCATATGGATCACTAGACTGATGAAGCTGCCTGGGTCGCAACCTAACCTGTAGCCAATAGCAGTAGGTGCCGTTTCTTATGCTCATCAGAGGCAAGGCACGCAGCAAGTGAGTCTGGCTGGTATATTAGCACTTACAGAGAACATCGTTCCTTGGTTACTTGGCTGTTGCTGACGAGTGTCTCCCCAACACTTGAGTGTGTAGACGGAGAATCACTCAAATAGAGTATACTCTGACCTTGACGTATCCCAGAGAAGAGCCACTCGATTGATCAAGATATAGCCGGTCGCGGTGTTCGATATTGATTCATGCTCCAATGATCAACTATTGGGTAGAGGCCGGCTCGGTGCATTCGATACCGAGATGGAAAGATCAGTGACAACCGGGTGATGTTGGACCACTTCTTCAACAACGATGGCCTCGATCACAGCAAATCCTTCTCCTTTGATATCTGCGTGCCTGCCTTGAGTGAGAAGAACAGAAGCATGCCTGCCAGGCTCATGACTTCTGACTGTCATCTTGAAGGTCGACTCATCTTGACTCTGACTCTGGCGGCACCATCGGCAAAGCCATGACTGGTGGGGCCAGGCAGACGGCATGTGGCCTTTGTGTGCCCCGGCTTTTGCGTCAACACAAGGAGAAAGAGCCATATGGAGGCAGTGATCAGGTGTTGCTGCAGTGGATGATGCTAGAGTATCTGCCGGCAGATGATGGTGCATGTCTCAGGCGAGAACCGGTCAACGGAGGAATATTCGCTTGCAAGCATCAACCGCCGGCGAAACCCAAGGGTTTTATATGAATACGAGGCGTCTTGTGAGCCATGAGGGGGACGATCCATTGTGCTCAAACACTTGAGTTCCCTGCATGGGACACGCAGGTTAGGACATGAGAAAGTCCTGGGATTGGGACACGATCCATGTCTGGGGGAACGGGATGTGGGCTCGCCATATTTCTTGATCATACCACAATAGAGTATCAGAATCAAGGATGGGCTCCCCTTGAAGGCCATGGAGGCCAAACAAGCAACTGGTCACGGACATGTATGATCCAAGCTCAGCGGGAGCGTTGACCGACCCAACACCGTGCACCAAAGATATCTTGTCCCTTTGACACTCGAGATATGATCTCCAGACTTTGACTGGGTGGTGAATAAGGCGCTTCCACGGGTGGCGATCATGGCAGTCACTTGATGCTGTCGATCCAGATTTACCGTAGGTCGTTGTCTAAGCGCGGAGGCTAGCAGTTCACGATGGTTGCGCGCGCCAAAAAGTCGAGTTGTGCGCTTAAGCGTGAGACAAACCCTACACCAGCCAATACCTTGTCGTGGTGCTACACACTTTGTGCATCTCGGTTGCAAAGACGATTGCCAAGCTGAATGCCGCAACTTCAAGGTTAAGAGTCGAATGCTAGTGATTACTCGGCTCCTTCCCGAAGGCACAGCAGCTTCAACATTTGACAAGACAAGAAAAAAAAAGTCTTGGTGATCGGCCGCTTTTCCGCTAGTGCTGAGGTCAACCATGTGGTTTCTCCGCACAATGGTTGATTTGGACATAGACTATGACGGCACTAATGCAAAAGTCCAGAAAGAAAAAAAGGTGTCACGATGGAACGGTCAGATCGAGCTTGGCGTTTTCCTTTCTGGCTCTTACATGGCTTGGACAACCGAGAGCTGAGAGTAACACTCGGCTCGAGTCAGAAAGGAGAACCTGTCACATCACATGCTTCATGGTAGGACAATTGACGGTGAGGGGAAAGATACTTGAAGTACTATTCGTAAAAGAAAGGCTGGGCTTGAATCCCAAGACTGTAGACGAGATTGATTCAAGCCAAGCAAGGGCTGCTAGTTCAGCTCTTGCTGACTGCATCACCGCCTCTTGTTAGCAGCGCGGCATGAACTCGAGTTAATATGCCACAGGCCTTGGCGAAATTTGTGGGCGAGGGGGGTCCCCTGTCTGTTTTCTTTCGCCTCGCCTCACCAATGTTGATCCTCCGCCATGCCATGACTTGGTCCGTGTCGGTCCGAAGGGTGGATGGCTGCAGAAGATGTGACCTGCAAGTGTCCTTTGAAAAGAATGAAGGGCAGAATATCAGGCTACAGAAGAAGTAATCTCGCGAGCATGTATGTACGTGTGTGTTATGTGTGTACGTCAGTTTGTCGATGGCAAATGAGACAAGTCTTGCAAGATGCAGCCCAGCAAGTTTGTGGACTCTTGTCTTGTCCATGCAAAACAAAATCTCACCCGCATTGAACGCGTCCAGGGCTACCAACAAGACAGACCAGGATGGTACTTTTGATGACAAACAAACCATCAGAAAATAGAGCAAATCCGCTAAAAAAGAATAAAAAAAGAGACGTCCGCCAGGACCGATCAACAGGCGGACTCCGGAGAAGGAGATCGAAGGGGGGGAAAAAAGCTTGGTTCTTGTTAGTCCTACGCGCGTATGCCCGCGGTGGAGACGCTGGAGATTTTTACTGAAATTAGTCAAACCGGGACATGGATGTGTTTTTTTACGAGTTACAAGAGGATGGACTGTATGAATACTGTGTACCTAAGCAAGATGCACCTACGTGGACGAGTAGGCAGAGGCCAGACCATTCAGACGTTGGCATTGCCACAATGCCTAGAAAAAAGACGGGAGTGAGTGCCTGAATCGGAACATATTTTTCATTACAGATATGTTATGCGCGCCAAGTGAGGCGCGCTATTATAGAGGCATAGTAAGCATGAGATGTGAGCCCAGTTCCAAAGACCCTTTTCACATGAGAAATACAACACCACAAACGTAACCTCTGGTAGCCTCGTATCGAGTGGTTCCGGTATACCGGGAAGAGTCATGGTTAGCAGGAAAAGCTAAGCAAACTTTAGTCGAGAGCCTAATTATACCGCTTCTTCCCTGACTAGAGGGTGGATGAGGACGGACGGTACGGTCAGGATCTCGAGGCTGTCATTGGACATGGTTCCTTGTTTGATCTGGAAGGGGGCTGTGCAACGCATTTCCCTTCTCCATCGCACAAAGCAGACCGCGGACCCATCTTTGTTTTGGCAAGGGATGGATGTCGATTGTGGGCTTTTGTTACTCATCCTGGATCTCCTGGCCGTTCTCCATTCCACTCGCGCAACGCAACGCAACGCAACGACACGTCACGGGCCTCCTTTCCTGAGACAACCAATCGAGGACAAGACGAGAGTCATCAGAAACCCAAGGTGGATTCTCTGGCCATGAGAGCGCCCCTTGTTTCGCCACGGAACATCCAGCAATGAGGCGTCCGTCCCGTTTTCAAAGAAAGGCAGGATCATCGATGAGGTGAAAATAAGGTGAGCTCATCGGCCAGGGGGGCCAACCAGAACTCCAGCTTTGCCTTTTTCCTCTTGCAAGAGCCCAACCCTATTTCCCCTGAAACCCGCATCGCATTCCTGGGGGTATCATACACTGTATGTGTCTCCTCATCACGATCCAATCCTTGACTCGTCGGATCGGCCTGCGGTCTTGCCCGTTGGATGTTGTCTTGCGTGCTTCACTGCTCTGCAACCTCCCAGCCCCAATCTTAGGTGCGTCTCGGAATGGATCATGGCGTTAGAGTGTCCAAGAAACAAGAGGGTTCAGTTCTTTGACCATCAGAGGCGCCCAGACATTCAGCCAAGCCTCATGACCAAGTCTTGCTTCCCACACGCCAAGATGGGGACAGGCTCCATGAGGTTTATTTTCTTTCTTTCCTTCTTTGGGGACCACCGCGACAAAACAATAGCCTCTATTGGCAAAGGGGGTCGGAGGGCCCAAGTAGCGTTTCATGTCCTGCTTCTAATGTCGTAGTGGCTGGCCTCGACCTCGGCAAGCACTTACCGTAGCGCTGACAGCGGCTCTGAAAGGTGAGGTGAGTGTGTGCCCGGTACTGAGGTGTACTCCGGAGCCGAAGTAGAGGTCGCACGCACAGCGAGAGCAAACGCCGTTGCGGCTGGCGGTTGGTGGTACAGACGGCGCACAGTACGGCCAAGTACCTGAGTTATGTACCGTTCCGCTACAGGGCCGTTAGCGCTGCTTCCATGCCCAGGCGGGCCCTGCCGCAGCACCGTAAACCGCTTCAGGGCTTCTCAGGAGCCTCCAGCGCAAAACGGGGCCGCCGGGTACTGTTCGCCTGCACCAATGAGAGTTGTAACACGCCCTGGATCGTTGGGGGCCGCGCAGGGGTCCGTCCGAAGGGGGAGCCCCGTAGACGGTTCCTGAGTGGCGATGGTACATGGGGCATCTCCACTTGGGCTTGGCTTCCATCGGTCGGTGGTCTCTCCAGGTTGCTCCTTCTCATTCTCTTTTCCCGACGAGCTTCATCCCGCATCGGACGACGAAGCGACCCCGTTCTTTCCTTTGCTCACTCCCCTTTGTCCCTCATTCTCATTCATTAGCACCTGGAGCCCCTTCCCTTCCCTTGTGCTTTCATCCTTCGTCTGATCTCCTTCTTTTTCTTCGTTCGATCAACCTTATTTCTTTTAGCTCCTGCCCTCCCTCTCGACCATTACCTCTCTTTCCTCGTTTCACTTTATTTCGACCTCGATTCTTTTTCCTTCATCCCTCAACGCCCAGACTTCCAGCCCAAGTCTCTCCATTGCATTGCCTGCTGGCAGGATCAACACTTTCGCTCTCCAGTATCCGAATCACCGAACAAGCAGCACACTCGCAAACAAGTGATCCTTTTCACATCATGGGTGACTCCTACTCAGCCGGTTCTGGCGCTACTGTCGTCACCCGACCGACAATAGATACCAGCAACCTCAACAACGAGAAGCCTCAGTCCCCTAGCATCGATCCTTCACGCCTTCACAGCATGGACGCCGACCCCAAGCGTCTCCAGAGCCTTGATATTCCTCCTCTTGAGCACTCTCGCTCGCCTCCATCACCCAACATTGCTGTCAACCCAGCTCTCTTCCGCAAGCAGACCTCACTCGATCTCGACGACTACTTCACCGGTCCTCGTGATATCCAAAAACATTCGAAATGGCCACTCATCATGCAGATGCATGGCTCAATTCTGCCCAAGCTGATTGTACCTCTGTTGATTGTTGGTGGATGGTCGACCGTCATCACCGTCATTTCCAAGGAGGTCCACCCGTTGGGAATCAACTCGGTTCTGCTTACTGTTCTGGGTTTCCTCGTCGGTCTGAGCTTGTCTTTCCGCTCTTCAACTGCGTACGAGCGATATGCTGAGGGTCGCCGTTACTGGGGCATGCTTACCATGGCCTCGCAGACACTTGGCCGTGTCTTCTGGATTCATGCTAGAGACCCCGAGGATCAGGACCCTCGCGAGATTACCCTCAAGAAGATTGGTGCCATGAACCTCATTGTCGCCTTCGCCGTCTCTCTCAAGCACGCTCTGCGATTCGAGCCTTACAGCGCCTACCCGGATCTCGAGCACCTCATCGGTCACCTCAACACGTTCGCCAAGGAGGCCACGTCGTGCGACCCTGATGCTAACTCTACCAAGAAAAAGAACATCTTCAAGTCGACCGGAGAATACCTCGGCGTCTCTTTCGCCACGAGCAACCCTCGCAAGGCTCTTAAGAAGACCAGCCAGCCTCTTGGCAACCTTCCCCTCGAGATTCTCAACCACCTTGCCATTACCCTCGACAAGATGATTGCCAATGGGCAGCTCGACGTTCCCATGCAGCAGACAATTGCCTACAACCACCTTACAATGATGAACGATGTTCTGGTTGGCTGCGAGCGCGTTACCAGCACTCCTCTCCCGATTGCCTACACGATTGCTATCAGCCAGATCACCTTTGTCTACGTGATGCTACTCCCCTTCCAGCTCGTCACTCTTCTCGACTGGGTCGCCATTCCCGCTACCATTGCCGCCGGCTACATCATCTTTGGTCTTCTCTTTATCGGCCAGGAGATTGAGAACCCCTTTGGACATGATGTCAACGATCTGCCTCTCGAAATCTATTGCGATCAAATTGCTTGTGACTTGGATATCATTGCGTCTCATGATAAGCGCGAGCCGGATGCGTTCCTTCTCAGTCACCAGAACATGCCCCTGTACCCTGTCAGCCTTGCTTCTGCCCGGACTTGGATGAAGCGCAGCGACGAGCATCTCCGAAATGCTATCAAGGACAAGCCCAGGACCGTCTTTGAGTGGCGCAGGAAGAAGGCGACTGGCGCATCGCTCAGCAATGAGGTGCGCGGCGATGACAACGTCTAAAAAGATTTCATTTACATACCCTCACTCACTCATGCATGTTGGCGGATTCTCGATGAGATTGTAATACCGCAACCACGGCGCATCAAAAATTGGCAATTATTCTATGTCTCGATTCTGTTCAATAATTCGGTTCGATTGTATTGTTTGGGGGGCTGGGGTTTCTGGAGCGAAAAGGTGGTCCGGCATATGTCATAATGACCTGCTCATTCGAATGGTCTTGGGAGCGTATCTATTTCGTTCGATCAGTTGCAATAAAATGTGCGATTAAGATGTATCTGGTGTAGTATTTGAGTGAAGTTGGGTTCTGGCGTGAGTCGTTGTATATTGATGGCATGACATTGTCGGTTACTGACGAGGCATTGGTGCTTGATATTTGACTCTGTAGTTGTACTGTCGAGTTCTTACATACTAGACGCCTCGTAATGGCTTGATAATGCTCTATATATACGCAGTTGAGCTCTACAATACTCTTAATCTCTTTTTCATCATGGTGGTTGATCAACTGAGGCATGGAGGGGTAATCCTTATCCGGAGCGGAAAAACTGCTGACCGTGCCCCGCGGTGGTGTCGCAGAACTGGGCGAATCGATGGCGCGCACTGCATGAGAAAGCGGCTGCCAAAACCCCAATGGCTCAAAGCCTTTTTACCCTCGAGCCCACTTGAGTCACACTGCCTGCAAGTGCAAGTGATGGTCGCGCGCTGTTTGACTCCCTCGACCATTTTTTCTTCTTCTTCTACTATCCATCGAACCTTTTACTCGTACGCCTGCTGTTCGCGACGACCATCTTTGGCCTTAAACCGGTCTCTTGTTCTTTGGTCAACTCCCCGCCAGCGACGACCCCTTCTACAACACCCCTCCCCACGATACTTGAACTTTTACTCCACGATGGCGTCCGACGGCAACGCGCTCGCCGAGCAGCTTCAGAAGCTTGGCATTGACAAGGTCGAATCGTACCCCAACTGCCACCCCGATACCAACCCTGTCGACATCTACCGCTCTCACATCACGGGCCTCCTGCAAGAGATCACGGGCGTTGACCCCAAGATCATCTACCCCGCCATCCAGTGGACTCAGACCCTCGACAAGGGAGATGCTATTCTCGCTGTCCCTGCGCTCCGGGTCAAGGGCAAGAAGCCCGGAGAGCTGGCTGAGGAATGGGTTGCCAAGGTCAGTCGCATACTGTTGTAATTGGTTTATCTGTTAGCTGACTCGATTATACGCAGTTTCCCGAGTCTCCCCTGATCGAGAAGCCTACAGCTAGCGGCCCTTTCATTTCCTTCTTCTTCAAGACCGACAAGCTCACCAGCCTGCTTCTGCCCACGATCCGAAACCGCTCTGATTCCTACGGAAAGAACCCCTATAACGGGCTCAAGGATCCCAGCGACCCCAGTGCCGGAAAGAAGCGCATGATTGTCGAGTTCTCCTCCCCCAACATTGCCAAGCCTTTCCATGCTGGTCACTTGCGAAGCACAATCATTGGTGGCTTCATCGCTTCGCTGTACGAGTACTCTGGCTGGGATGTCGTCCGAATGAACTACCTCGGTGACTGGGGTAAGCAGTATGGTCTGTTGGCTCTGGCTTGGGAGAAATGGGGTGATGAGGAGGCTCTCAAGGCTGACCCCATCAACCACCTTTTCAACCTCTACGTTCGAATCAACGTGGAGATGTCCGACGAGAAGGAGGCCATTGAGGCCAAGAAGAAGGCTGGTGAGGACGTCACTGCCCTTCTGGATGCCTCGCTCGACGAGCAGGCCCGAAAGTATTTCCGACGAATGACGGATGGCGACGAGGAGGCTGTTAAGCTGTGGCGACGATTCCGAGATCTGAGCATTGTCCGCTACAAGAAGACCTACGCCCGACTCAACATTGAGTACGACGTCTACTCAGGAGAGAGCCAGGTCCCCGAGTCTGACATGGAGGAGGCTGCCAAGGTTCTCGCCGCGAAGTCGCTTACCGAGGATGCTGACGGTGCTATTCTCATCGACTTCTCCAAGCACGTCGCTGGCAAGCAAGGCAAGAGTCTCGAGAAGGTCATTCTGCGAAAGAAGGACGGTACTGCTCTGTACCTGACCCGAGACATCAGCGAGCTGCTGAACCGACAGAAGAAGTACAACTTTGACCACATCATCTACGTCGTCGCCTCGCAACAAGACCTGCACCTGAAGCAGCTGTTCAAGACGATTGAACTGATGGGCCACGACGACATTGCCAAGAAGTGCCAGCACATTAACTTTGGCATGGTACTCGGCATGAGCACTCGAAAGGGCACCGTCAAGTTCCTCGACGACATCCTCCGGGACGTCGCTGAGAAGATGCACGATGTCATGAAGAAGAACGAGAACAAGTACTCGCAGATTGAGAACCCCGAGGCTGTTGCCGATATTCTGGGTATCAGCAGTGTCATGGTCCAGGATATGTCAGGAAAGCGGTACGTAGCCCCTTTATTGTTGACGAGTGTTTGCTAATAATGCTAGAATCAACAACTACAAGTTCGACATGGACACCATGACCTCGTTCGAGGGTGACACTGGCCCTTACCTCCAGTACGCCCACGCTCGTCTCTGCTCCATCCGCCGAAAGGCCGGCCTCACCGATGAGGAGTTGGCTGCCGCCGACTTTACTCTCCTGAGCGAGAAGCACGCCACCGACCTCGTCCGTCTGCTGAGCCAGTGGCCCGACGTTGTCCAGAACACTCTCAAGACTCTCGAGCCTACCACCATCTTGACCTACCTCTTCAAGATGACCCACGTCCTCAGCTCCAGCTACGACCACCTCCGAATCGTCGGCAGTGAGAAGGAGCTCCAGAAGGCTCGTATGGCCCTCTACGACGCTGCCCGAATCGTGCTTCACAACGGCATGAGCCTACTTGGCCTCACCCCTGTTGAGCGGTATGTACCCTGAGTGATGTTGAACATTGTACATGATGCTAACTTGAAACAGAATGTAAGGTAGACAAGATTAGAAATACAAAAAAACGGGATATAAAAAAGGCGATGACGATGGGATGCTGGCGCCGAGGTAGATCTCGATAAAGCCACAATAGATGAGAGCATGAAAAGTTATTAATATACCCATACAATTACAAGTGGTACTCTTGCTTGTGGTGTTGATGTCGCTGATTCGCCAAATCTCATCAAGAAATGCAGGTAAATGAATCTTGTGCCCATCGTATTCACCTGGATTTCCTTCACAGCCCCTTTTCAGGGGTCATCACCTCACAGCACTAGACGGACAGCCTCATTCATAATGTCTTTTAGCTACCTGAGCGAGATGAGATGCTTGCATCTCTCATCAATGTACGTAAAAGTCATATATACATGCATGTTCCAGCAGCGCTTATACACAGTTCTTGATAATCTCTAGAGTCTCATCATCGTCTTACAGGGTAAATCTGAAGCTCGGGTGCCAATCACCCATGTTCCTCAGGTCCTCCTCGGGCAGGCTCAACCTGTCATCGCGGTCTCCAGCATCACGCTTCCTGTTCTCGCGCCACATGAAGCCAAACATGAGGGTGGCGGCGAGTGTGCCCATCCACATCATGCCGAGGGCGGTGCCGTAGCCAGTCTTGTAAGTAGGAGACTCCTTGACGAGAAAGATGTTTGCGCCGATGATGCCGGCGACGTTGCCGAGGGTGACCTGGAGGGCGGAGCCGAAGGAACGCTTCCAGTGGCCCGAGAGATTGTTTTGCAGCCAGGCGAGGCAGATGGGTGTCGCGATGTAGCCGCCGGCGTTGATGAGGAAGACGGCGGCAAACTTGTAGTCGCGAGACTTGCCGCCCTGCTCGAGAAGCATGGCATAACCGATGGTGGCGATGCAAGCACCTGTGAGAACGAAGCCGTAGCGGTGCTTGAGACGATCAGATCCCCAGGCAGAGAGGAGCATGACTCCGGCCGAGAGCACATAGACAGGGATGGTCTGAACTTGAGCCTCCTCAGCCTTCCAGCCAAACTCGAGCAGAATGGTGGGCATGAAGAAGACACCAGCGTAACCGGTAGTGCCGATACCCATGTACATGAAGGCACCGAGCCAGATCTTCCAGTCCTTCAGGATCCTCTTGGTGGCGAACTTGTTGAGTGTGTCCATGCGGCAAGAGTCGCCAGTGTCAGCAGCGAGACGGCGTTGGACGAGAGCCTTCTCCTCAGCAGTGAGGAAGCGAGCCTGCTCGGGCCAGTCCGCAATGAGGAAGACAGCAATGATGGAGAGGAAGGCGGTGATGGCACCCTCAATGATGAAGATCCATCGCCAGGCAGACATGCCCTTGTCGCCACCAAGACGAGCAATTCCATAGGCCAACAGTCCTCCAAAGGCACCTCCAATGAGGGTGCTGGTGAAGAAGAAGGACATGCGCTTCTGGAATTCATGGCGCTTGTAGTACATGGACGTCACGTAGATGATGCCGGGTAGGACTCCAGCCTCAAAGGCACCGAGGAGGAATCGCAGGGCAACAAGGGAACCGTACGAGTGGACAAAGCCCATGCACATGTTGATGATGCCCCAGCAGAACATCAGTGCAGAGAGGTAGAATGACGGGCGAACCTTGCGGATGATCATATTGGATGGCACCTCGAGCAGGATATAGGGGATGAAGTACACCTGGCATGGATATTAGTGTCTGTGAATCTCCGAGAATCGACAAAACGTACAAAGAGAGCAATGTTGAAACGGTTGCCCGAGAGGTCAATCTCTTGTGGCAGCCCCTGAATCCTGGCATTGCTGATGTTGATCCGGTCGAGGAAGGACATCATGTAAATGATGAACAGGGTTGGGTAGATGCACAGATCCAGCTTCCTCAGCAGCTTCTTCTCCGCTACGGGATCAATGGGCGCATAGTCCTCCGACTTGGGTGTGCCAGGAGGATGCGACTCATCGGCCACAGTGGGCGTCTTTTCCTCAACAACTGACATGTCGAATCTGGATGGGGGAGACACGCTCAGAGAAGGTGTAAGGCGAGAGGGAACAAGAGGGTATTAGGGTAATAGTGAGGCGAAGGAGCAGCAGAGACTCCAGGCAGATTGAGCCGTTGATGCGTCAAACCAGGACGGGGGTGGGCAAAGATCAACTTGGCTCCGATAATCTGATCGACCGAGATGATCAGATATATTAATCTGCAATGAGACTCAGAGGGGATGTCTTGTTTTGAAGAGATGAAGCTCCTTGAGGGAAAAGAAAAGAAGAAGGGAAGAAAACGGACTTGTGAGACAATATATGCATCTCGGACGAGCCAACAGATTGCAGCTGTTTTCCTCACAGCCTCCAGGGGCATGATACGCGATGCGAGGTTCGAGCAAACAGACCCCGGCTGTGACTCCAAGAATACCCATTCTCACCTGTGGTATAGGACGGGGTCCTCAGGTTGCGTCCTGCCGGTAGCTGATGGCACGTTTTGCAGGTGCATGTTTCCCGCAGGTCCAGCATGTATGTCGACTCTGCATATCCCCCCCCCTCCTCGCTTGGCTCTCACTTACAGGCAGCTCCCTCGTAGAGGTCGGGATGAGCACCGTCTACGGCAAGCTCTAGATTGAATTAGGAAATAGAAACTGCTCAAGGTCATCGTCTCTCGTCGTGGTTGACCGTTGATAGAGTCTTACGAGTGGACTGTCGCTGTGGGGATAGGATCATCGCTTGGCAAGGCAAGACGGATAAAACACCCATGGCTTGGCTAGATGACTGGGGGGATTGGCTCCTCGATGGTCCAACGAGAGCCGGTCTTCGGCGTGTCGACGGGATGACTTTCGTCAGGGGTACCCCGGCCGAGCTCTAGATCCATGCTAAAGCCGCTCCCGCAACGGGTCCCGCGACGAGATGGGTTCGGGAGGGGGGCAGCAGAGATCCGACCCGGCTCACCAACTTACGAGTCCATGCGTCGGAGGCTGATGGAGAGGATTGCGCCTTTGGGTGGATCGCGAGTCCCCATGAAAGAAAGTGGTGATAGTGAGCTCGCGGGTCGAACGATGTCGTCTAGGCCCTGGCGCGCAGATGGAAGCACCTGTGCTGGCCCTCGGCGCGTGTGCTGGACAAAGCATCATCTAGATGCCCTACCACGTGGCCACAGACTGAATATTTTTGATGCCAATTTCATGGGGATCAAATGCATAAGATGATGGACCAACACAAAGTGCTGAGCCAGTTGCAATCCTGACTGTTGGCGGCATGTAAGGTTGAGGCTCCATCATCCTTGCTTGCTCCTGAGGTGGGTGTCGAGATTCAAAAGTTCTGGACCTGACGGTAAATTTCTCGTCAAGGCAGCACAAGAAAGAAGCAAAGAGAGCTCACAAGCGACTCGTCTGTTTCAAGAGATGGTTACCGCGTAGAGTAGCATCCACAGTCAGCCGCGCATGGTCTTCAAAGAGAGTCGTTGGAGTTGATCCCCCGGCATCGTGTGATGGATCAGAGGGACCCTTGCTCGGCCGAAACTTGACCCACCATGTGCCGGACGCCAAAGTGCCAATGTTGCGAGTGCCGTCTTAGCGGCCGTTGTCCCGCACCTTGGCGGCCAGTCCAAAGACACCTTGGCCATGCTCGACAGGCCTATCCCGGTAGTGGATAACATTGTGGCAACGTCAACCAACAGAGAGTTGCATTGGGAAGCCCCAAGAGGCTTAGAGCCTGGTACAGGGACAACACCACGTCCAGGCTCGCAAACGAAGGAACTCGTAATAGAAATCCCAATCGAAGCCCTATCCAAATACAGCCCAAGGGCCTTCCCCCCGAGACTCAGGCGCGATGGCCGCCATGGGGGACAAGATGAGCTCTCCACATACTCCCTTTAGAAATGATCACCGATGATCCCCATAGCGGGCCGAGCAAGATGGAGTCTTGTTGCCTTAAACTCGACGCTAGATACGCGGCGAGTGGTCTTTGTGTTTGAAGGCGATATCTGCGTGACAGACTATAACTTCACACAGCTCGCAACTCCTTGCAGGTCTCATCCGTGACCGCATTGTCGGGACTCTGCCAGCCTTTCGGCATGGGTCAGGGGCACGTTCTGCAAGAGAACCAACACAAGGCGAAATTGGTGGTCAGACTGTTGGTCAAGCACTTTTCCAGCTCTCGAGATGCCGGCGGATTCCTTCATGATGACTTGGCCCATGCTATCCCAGGCCTCCCTGGCCCGCTTGCAGTCGAGGTTACATGCGCAGAAAACCACACTTTGACCATGTCACGTTCTCGTGTACGTAAATCTCGACCGCTGCACCGCAACGAGGTGATCGCCCCTTTCTGGGCGGGGAAGAAGCGTTTCGTCTGTGCTGGATCGGCTCGCGACTGCGAGACATCTGGCGTGATCGTCTTTGTGGTTGATGAGAGCTTCTCTTGTGGAAAGAATGAGTGCAGATCCGGGACAAGCAGTATCACCATGCTCGGCACGAGCCATTGGATGCTGGTTGCTCAAGGCTGCCTGCTATCAACCTGGGATTGTGAGCCATGGACTTGGTACTGCGAGAACCAACATGAACCCAATGATTCGGAAGAGATTCCAACTGTTGGTAACCCCTTGAAAAACTCTCTCGTTCTGGCTGTCCGCAGTTCAGGGCTGCAAGGGCCGACTCTCTATATGACACCACACCCAACCTCTTACGGTTCTAGACGCACAGCACCCTAGCTTGCGGTATCTGAACGTGTTTAACCGGAAGAATCATGGTGAGGTGCCGGTATTTGGGCATAGTCACCAACTATGTCTCCTGGCTTCCTTGGCGACCCCTCACGGAGTATCTGACTCTTCTCTTGTGAGTCTTGCCCATGGCCATGATGCGATTCGTGAACTGTTTGCCTGACCGATCGTGTGGCTTCGGGTCAGTGTCTCAGGACACGCACCTCAAGTTCGAGGTAAGTTCGAACCTTGTGTGTGACAGCAGGATGCATAATCCTTCGTGATTGATCCACCGCCTATGCAAGAAGGGATCACCACGGAACAATGTGTGCCAGAATTTGCCGACGCAGGAACATCCACATCCTGTGAGCAAAAAGCAAGCTCTCTTCGACCAACAGGCGGATTCCAGAGCGGCAACAAAGATTCATCTCCGAAGGGGCTCCGGACCCGAAGACCTCTACCGGGATGCGTCCTTCATCGCGTATTATTGCTCTGGTCCGTGGGGCCAACTCCTCAACACCATGCCCTGGTCTCCTGTTGGCCCTCGCGGGATGGACCATTCTCGAGCTGCGTGTTTTCAGAAACAGCCCCTGGCGTATTCACCCGCCTCATCATTCTGAGGAGCCAGTGGTATCCTTGGACTGGTGACTGCTATTGCATGGCCAGGAGGAAGCATGGATATGCCTAGGCCTCCTGCGTCTGGCCCTCATGTTAACGTCGCAGAGGAACTGTCGATAGACGAAGGGGTGTGTACGAATTCACCTGCACAACGGCTTTGTCCGGCACAACGGATCACAGTCCGCCCCATGTTGGACATTGCTCGGTCAGTAGTGGTGAGAGATTTTCTCGGGCCTATATCACCCAAACATCGTCTCGCCGCGCCCAGGCCGGGGAGGCCAACAATCACCTAATGCCTCTCCCTCCCAGCCCGTCGTATTGGATCCTTAAACAGGGAGTACGTTGTCTGATTCCCTTCTCCTGGGAGGTTCCTGTCGCCATATATCTTTGACGCCCCAACGAGCTCAACCTGAGACTGGCCCTAGACGACTTTTCGACGTTTGAGACCCGTATGGCATCGACCAACACTGCAACATGGCGAACGACACTCCAGACCCAAGCTTGAGCAATGCGCATATGCTCTACATTCCCATCGCGATCTTTGGTGTGCTGTGTCCGTTATTGGTGGGTATACGTATCTGGTCCCGGCGAAGGAAGGGAGGACATCTCGGCGCCGATGACTACACCATCATTGGTTCTCTGGTAAGTTCCCAGTGCCAGATGTGGCGCAGAGGCTAACTTCAACTTCTGCCAGATCTTTTCCCTGGCGTCAAGTGGACTTGAGATTGCATGTGAGTCTGCCAACTGGCAACCCCGAGTACCTCGCTGACGTTGTCCAGCATGCCATTACGGATTCGGACGACACTCCAAGACCCTCTCGAATGAGAACAAGATCGAAGCCCTCAAGGTTTGTCACAAACCCCCACCCAGGAGATGATACGCTAATCGAAGGCCTTTTCTGCTCAAGTTCTTTTTCGTTTGCCAAGTGTCGTACAAGGCATGTATCAACTTGACAAAGTGCTCGATTGTTCTCCTGTACCTTCGAATCTTTGGCAAGGTCCGCTGGTTCAAATGGCTCTGTTGGGGTTTGGTGGCAATCGTTGCCATGTACGCCGTCTCTTCGGTCATTGCCACCATTTTCCAGTGTACACCAGTTCGTCGGGCATACAACAAAAGTGTTCCGGGAACCTGCATCGACAACGGCAAATTCTGGTATGCCAACGCCGGCTTCTCTATCGCGACCGATCTGATCATCCTCTTCATGCCCATGGCTTCCGTGTATCAGCTGCAGATTCAACAGATTCAGAAGATCGCCCTGGTCATCGTCTTTGCGCTGGGTGGCTTCGTCGTCATCACCTCCTGTCTTCGAGTTACCACCATCGACATCGCCGCAACAACAACCGATGTCACCTTTGACGTTTCTTCTACCATGTGGACGGTCATCGAGATGAATGTCGCCATCGTCTGTGCTTGCCTTCCGATGATTCGACCAATAATTGTCAAGGTGTTCCCCAAGCTCATGCCTAGGAGCAGCAGCAACAACCAAAAGTACGGAACTCCGAGCTACGGAACCAAGTCATATGCGCACAGCCAAGCGCGAGACAAGAATGAATGGATCCAGATCGATGCCGGCCGAAACGGGATCCCATTGACTTCGATTCGGAAGGCTGGTTCGACAGGAAGCGAGGAGAGCATACTTGGTCCTCAGGTCGAGGCTGGCACGAACCTTGGGCCACCAGGAGCACCATGGCCGATAGAGGAGAATGGTCAGATGTCGATCCAGAAGACGGTGCAATATAGCGTAGAATATTCGAAAGGACAGCCGCAACAGCAGAAGGGTGAGAAGTAGGTAATGGTGGACTAATGGCAGGCCTCTCAGGGGTCATTGCGAAGGGTTTGGTAACGATGAAGCTTCACGATTTATTTTGTTATAGCAACGTTTTCCGTAGAAAAAAAAAAGGTACTTCTTTTCGTCAATATTTTGTGTATGCCGGTCTGTGATGAACGTGTGAAGCTGCGACGCAACCCAGTGTCGCTAGGGTGTCAAAGCTGGGCCTTGGTCACAGTTGTTGTCACGTTTACAACGTCGTAAAAAGTCCATCTCAGGCCATAGCTCATGAGAGCGAACTGGACATTGAGGAATGGGTGTTTATTCCATCCTGCAGATATCCTAGGAGATGGAGCTCTTCTCGGTTTCGGGAGTTGAATCCATCAAGGGTCATGGTGAATCGAACCCTGTGGTTTAAGCTTCGGGGCTTGTAGGCCCTCCATATTAGAGACATGCGTGGTGCTCGTGAAAGGCCAAGAAAGGACGTCGAAAATGGATCCTCGTCTGGGGACCCCGGTTTGTAGGATCGTCTTGTGTTCTCGCTTCTTCTCGCCAGGAGGCGGATCAACCTGGGTAAGAGGAGCCCCCACGAAACCGAACGGCGCAAAGCGGGCCGTCTTGTCCGCCTATCCCATTGTGTGCGTGAGCCTTCCCAGACAGGGGAAGTTGGCCGCGAGCTGTCGCAAGCTGTCCGCGTCAACGATGAATTACCATTCCTTCAAGTCACGGACTGGAGCAGAGTGAGGACGACGTTGATAACTGGGTGTTGGATATCTCATAGTGCGACTTGTGGGTCGAGATGGAGCTACTCCAAGGCATCCAGCAATTAATAGGGGTCTAGAAGGGCCATGTGGCTGATCGGGCAGCCATTGGCGTGTCTCTCAAAGAATGGTACGCATGCGAAACCGAGCAAGATGATGAAGCTATTGGTGGAGCATGAATTCTCTGAGAGTCGAGAAGCATGCCAACGAATCGACAAGGGGGAGGGTTGATGTTGTAGCCTCACAGGCAGGCGCTTTCCCACATCCCGAGCACGTGTTTGACCATGTGCTTTCCCCGTGACTCTAGCATTGAGCGTGGTCATGTGACACTGAACCATTGCCACTCAATGAAGATCCAAGCAGATTTCATCAACCAGCCAATGACAGCGCAGCTGATCAGGCAGCAGTCAAACCCATGGAAATGGGCCGCGAATAGGCCGCGCTCAAGATCCGCTTCGCAGGCAACGAGATAAGAGCATCTCTCAACAAAAATCACTTGAATCGATGCCCTGCCGCTGTCGATGCACTTGCTTCCTGTCATTCTTCGTTTCAATTGAAGTGCATTGCATTGTCCTTGCATGTGACCTTTCTTCCGGTTCGCGCCAAGCATGTTTTATGCCGATGCGTGGCTAGCTTTGACCCCCTAGAGCTGAGCCTCACTAAATTGCGACGAGGCCCCGCATCATATCACGTCGCCATCGTCAAATATCACTACAAAACTACGCTCAATAATCACCATCATCGAGTTTTGCACTTTAAGAATCCGAGAGAATTTAACGCCGTGCACTATTACACAGATGGAGTCGTTTCTTCCGCTTGGCGGCTTCCAGCTGCCATTCCAAAAGCGCCTCAGCAGACTCTACAATGACACAAAGAAATCAAGCGACTTTGTCAAGGAACCTGTCCAAAATGAGGAGGACCCTGAGATCAAGGCATTGCACCGAAAGCTCCGGATTCAGAAAGACCGGCTGGTCACCTGGGGGTTGGAATGGTCAGATCCGACTCAATCAGCTGAGATTGATGAGTCTCTATCCAAGGCTGGCTTGAGTGAGGTTGTGGGAAGCATCATGTCGACTATTAAAGATATCCTGGCAGAGGCCGAACCTCTCTGGCTCAGTTCAAAACGCATCATTCAAGGGCCTCAGACCTCACAAGACTCGAAGCCACCGCTGGTTCAATGGGACAAGAACCGCTTCGAAGATTTGGTCAACGATCTCACTACATCAATCGACACTTTATACGACCTTTCTCGAACTCGAGCTTCTGGTGGACCCCCAAGACGATCATCCAAGGCCCCCTTCAAGTCTCCTCAGCCAGCCGAGGACTTCCGCCCATTCGAGTCCACACGCATGCAAACTCCGCAGCAGATTGACCCCCTCACCCTAACACACCTGCGACCCAGGAAGGGCAACGAAGCAGCTGTCCCTCGAGAGGTTGTCTTTATGAGCAAAACAGCTTATGCGGAGCTCACCCACGGAACCACACGTCAACCGTGGGCTCCTCTACTTCTCGAGTATGCCACTTTCGACTCTATATATGCCTCGACAGGCATCATGCCGCCAATGGCTCGCTTCGAAAGGCTGTCGGCTGGTTTACAGCAAGACTCACAGCGATCACCGGGGACATGGACCGGATTGCCTCGTCTCTTGGGATACTTTGAAGACCTCGAGAACTCAAGGCTCGGTCTTGTTTACAGATTTCCCCCTTCCTTCAATGCTGTTTCGTTCGAGAGACTCACCAAGAACCCACTCTATAACCTGCCCACTCTGGGAGACTTGCTCTCTGTCCCTGGATCGGAACCCAAGCTTGAAGCCAAGTTCAGGATGGCTCAAAACCTCGTCAACACCGTCTTTGACTTGCACGCCCGTGGCATTACGCATGGCAACATTGTGGCAAGCAACGTCTCGTTCTGTGATGCTGTGACCACGGAACCCAATGCCGTCAACGGCGAAGTTGATGTTCGACGTCCTCTACTCTCTTCATTTGACCTTTTCCCAGATGATGCCCCCCTAACCTCATCTCCACTATCACGACATCCTCTAGATCCCCGCACTGCACCCACATCCCCTCTGTCCAAGTACACAGACCAAAGGATCCTTGACCTTTACTCTCTTGCCATGCTGCTTCTTTCGATTGGCTTGTGGTCAAGACTGGAGGAACTTGCTCCCGAGTTTTCACCCAGTATCCCCGTGTCAATCTTGGACCAGTTGGCTGTGAGATGCGGTAGTCTCTACATGAAGGCCGTTCAAGCATGTTGGAATGCAGTCGACGACGAACTTGCTGGCCGGTATACTGGCGAGCATTTAATGTCAATGGTACAGGTCAGGGCAAGTCGATTCTTGGAGGCGTGCTGCATCCTCGATGGTGTCAGTGGCCTAGAAGAGAGGCTTGACCAAGAATTGAGCCAAACAGACGCAAGTGCCTCCAATATTGGGTTCTCTGCCGACCAGCCTCCCATGGGAGACACTTCTTCCAAGGGCGGCAAGGATGCCAAGGACTCGAAAGGGTTGATGGGCCCATCAAAGGTCAGCGAGAAACAAGCGCCGTTATCGGCACCCTCGCACGTCGCCAAGGCTGGGAAGAGCTCTGAGAGGTTTGAAGCGGATGCAGACATTGACGGTACGTCATCTGTACTACCTGTACACATTCATGCGGGATACTGACCTTGACTCAGACACACTTGATAAGCCCTCAGCCAAATCAGAAGCCAAGCTTCGACTCTACCCCCATGTCCCGCTCGCACCTGAGATTGTGGAGAGATGGAACAAGATTCTGATGCCTCAGATCAATCACGCCCTTCGCCATTTTTATCGCAAACACCCGGAGTCGGTTGAGATTTCACTCGAATCTGTTGGGCCGAGCCCACACAAGACCCAGCCAACAGTACTCGTCGTGTGCACCTCTGTTGGCAAGGTCCGGGCGATCCTCAAGAAGAGGATCGGCGACTTGTTTGACGAGACAACTGGCTTCGCGTTGAAGGTCTGTCGCGGCCATGTGATGAGATCTCGCCGGGAGCCATATTCTATCCTCCGGTCGATGGCCCGGAGAAGTGCCAAGGGCGCCGGTTTAGATGCGGAAGACGCCGATGCCATCAACCCGGAATACCAAGAACGCCCAGGGAATGGCGCCAGCATTGGGGCTTGGATTGGAGATCGTCATTTACCCCCTGTCAGCCTGGGAGGTCTTGTGATGGTGGACGACAAGCCCTACGGCATGACGGTCCACCATATGCTTGATGACCCAGACCGTGATTTTGGGGCCACCGACACCACAAGGTCTAGCGCGTTGCCCGACCTAGGCTGGTACGACCAGTCTGGAGACGATACTTCCGCGGACGATGGTGATGGTTATGAGCTTTCCGATACCGAGTCAGAAGCTTATTCGGAGTCTGATATCACGAGCGATTACGATGATGACGAAGATGACGAGGACGATGAGTATAACGAGCCTGGTGACATTCCTGGGATTGAGCCTGGGTGCGGTGATGGGTACATTGTTACACAGCCTGCTTTTGACGACGTGGAAGAGGGTTTCTATCCCGACCCCGACACTCAAGATGAAGACCATCTCGACACATTTAGTGTAGGAGAAGTCTATGCTTCGAGTGGCATCCGCAGGAAGGAGGCCAACGGACTGGTCCACGAGGTAGACTGGGCACTCTTCGAGTTCGCCCATGAGAGACTGCCCGAAGACAACAATATCCCTCGCGCGCAGAGCAACTCGTCCCTGCAGAACCTGGGCCGAAATTACAAAGACGGGGCGGCCCTGCTGCGGCCGACCACCGTCGCACCCTCCACGTCCCTCCCCGGCATGGAGGTGCAGTGCATGGCCCGGACGAGTGGCCTGCAGACCGGCAAGATCCTCCCTGCCCTCACTAGTGTCAAGATCTACGGCCGTGTCTCCCCGAGCCATACGTACCAAGTCACCAGCGTCGAGGGTCCGGAGGATGAGACGCACAAGAGGGGTGTGCCTCTTGGCATTCCAGGCGACAGCGGCGCTTGGATTGTTGATCGCAGGCACGGCCAGCTTTGTGGGCATGTCTTGGCTTGGAGTCAACGCAAGAGAGTTGCCTACATTTGCCCCATGGACGTCTTGCTTCTAGATATTGCAGAGACTCTTGATGCTCACGAGGTTAAGCTCCCCGGAGGCGAAGCTGTGGTGAGTCTTGGGGGTGTGCATGGTTATGCCTCAAAACAGCAAATGCCACAACCAGGTGACGAAGACTTGGAAGACTTGGTCGAGGAGGAGGCTGAGGAGCAAGACCTCCCTCCACGGCTCATCACCTCGGTAAGCACGGCAAGAGATGTCTCCGGGTCGCGGAAGGGAGGCATCTCGAGCTGCAGCGTCAGCGAACGAGGATCGTCCAGCCCCATCAGGCTAGAAACATCCTCCGAGCTGGGGAGTCTCTCGAACCGTCTCGACGAAATGAGCATGAGCGGCAGCTTTGGGATCGGCGTTGGCGGTTGATGGATGGCGGCGGGTCTTGCCGTCTCGGTACTTGTCTAGTGCGTTTTGGATTGCTTGGAAAGCGAGATGTAATAACTTCAATACCCTTGTGCGCAAAAACCTGGTTGGAAATAAGGAGAGTCAAGTAGTCTAAGATTGGTTTTGGTAGTCAACTTGAGCCCGGGTGAAATCGAAACCTATACAGCATCATGCTTTTAGCTTGTGCGTTACATAAAGTCATCCTCCCAGTCCTCGTTGCGGTCCTGGTTGCTCGAGCCAGCCATGTTCTCATCGGTGAAGAGATCATCGTAGGCGTGATCCTTCTGCCACTTCTTCTCCTTCCACTCCTGAGCCTGGCGCGCCTCCTCCTTTCTCTGCCGAGACAAGTCAGCCATGGGTACGCTCCGGGGTGCGCTGTAGGGATCCTCCTCACTCTCTGCTGCTGGGCAGCCTGATCTTGCCGACGCAGCTCCTTGAGACGGTCATCCTTTTCCTGCTTAAAGTCGGGCTTCTGCTCCACCTTTGTCTTGTTGAGGCGGTTGACGATGGGGTTCTCACGCTGCGGGACGAGCACCCTCTTGACCTGTGCAGGATGTGAGTCTGTGGACAAGGGGGGAGGGGTGGTGGTGATGCAGGGTTCAGTCGAGACACGCACTTTGCGTTGATCCTTGAAGCCGACCTGGCCGACAGCCATGCTGCCGTCCTTTTTGAGGTTGGACCAGGGCGTGTAGATGACGGTGATGTTGTCCTTCTTGTTTCCTGATTTGCCCGTCAGAATATGGACCGGCAGCATCTCCAGGGGTTCCTTGTACCCTCGATCGAGTTCGCCTTGGTCAACTGGGCGAGATCCATGACCAGCTCCTCTGGCAGTGCATCCCATTGCTGGCCCTCCTTCATGCGGAGGTAGATATGGGCGCTTGAAAGCTTATCAACGTGGAACTGAGAAGCAAGAAACCCCGGAAATCGTCAGCCCTCTGCCCGTCCCATACAGTTGACCATGCGACCTCACCCTATTCTTCCGGTCAGCTGTCGCCGGGTTTCCCAGACGAGAATTCTCACCAGACATCCTCATCCCAGCCAAACTTGATCAAGTCCTCATCTAACACGGTTCAGCTGACGAGACAAGGCTCAGGTGCGGGGAGAGCATACTCTCAAACTTGTCCTTGCCGACGTAAATGAACCCCGGCGGGTCAACGACGCTGGAAGTAAAGTAGTACACCATCCTCAGGTACGAATCCTCTACCAAAGAAACGAGGGGGTGTGAGATCTCAGGGGGTACGAGTCTGACTTCTGACGTTGATATTTCCTTTGGAGATATCTCGTGAGAGCTGAGGGGAGGGGAGGGGGGGAGAAATTTCCTGCTTTGGTGTGGGTACCTTGGCACTAACAATAAGGCCCGAGCACCCTGCTGTAACCCCCCCTACGGGGCGCCCTACTCAGCCCTATGCGATGTCGTCGGAGTACCTCCCGGCTCCGGTAATAAATGCCGGGGATGATGGAACACGTGATATCGCGATCATCTCGTGAAACTTCCAACGTCAGTTGATGGGATGAGCCATGCGAGAAGATGTTGTTTCGAGCTTCTGGTTGATAGGGAAGTTAACGAGTATCTCACTACTCCCCGGTTCATGTGCCGCACGCTATGAGAGTACGCCCTGGTTAGGGCAAGCCTTCGTGGGCATGTCCGCGGACCAACGGTTCCGAGTCGCATTTAAGTCGCGCTCTGCGGTTCAAAGTCAACTCGGGTTCTTCAGAGTATGAAACACGGCTCTAGTGCCAACCGAGTCTTGCGAGACTCTCCGGATTAGGGGACACAGGTCGTCCGTTCAAAACCGGACCCGGAGGACATGAACAGGTCTCTCCGAGTTACATCGTTCGGACATCATCAACTGGCTAACATTGACGAATCATGGTTTTGGTATTATAAATGAAAACCTCGTGGTTTCGACTGCAACTTAGCGTACAGTTAGTGAGTTGCTGATCCTAGCTCCGTCGTGTGGTCTAAAAACTTGGTGCAGCCTTGATTGTCGCTCAAGTCCTTGGAGTTGGAGTTGTCGACCAGAAAAAAAGACGTCGTTCCAACGTCTGCCAAGGACTCTGCCTGCCCGTATCCGCAGTTTCCGCCTCTGGACTGTGTCCAAACCAACAGAGCAGATTTCAGACAAGGCTCCTTTGTGGTGGGCGGAGAAGAAACAGGGCTGGGGAACGAGGCGTGGGCGTAGCGTCAAGCCAGGTTTCGCAGAGCCTCTCTAGACCGCTTGCTCAGAGAAAGTGGGCTCCCGTGTCTTGGAGGCTAGCTTGAAATTGAACACACCCTTGAGAATGGCTTCATTTGTGCATCAATATCATGTGGGCTTTTCGGCGATCAACATGAATACAGTAAACGCTGGCCGACTACGACATCACACATGCGTGCGCGCACGCTGACGCACACATACACTCACACACATTGAGACAAGTTTGTTTGTTGCTGCAATCTCCTGCAATACTAGTGTCTTCACGCCAGTCAGCTATGACTGGTCCCTAGTGTTCCAGATCCCCAGGGCTATGTCTGCGTGTCGTGATCGGGGGCATCTGAGTCGTCAGATCCCCCAAGCTAGGCTTTCTCTCTTTACACAACATAGGTTGCGCACATTGTAAGAATGCACTTTTTTTGCGACTTGTTTCATAAGCCAAGAGGTGCACTTTCGGAGTGATGTCTCCGAAAGATATGATATCTTAAGTTTCCTCTTTACTCACTCACTCCGGCTTCTTGCTGATCCGGCGCCTTCAACACTTGGCATCCCGTCTTTGAAGGAACACTTGTCTCCACCTGAGATCGATCGTCGCTCAGCCCCCCCCCCACCCACCCACCCTAGATTTTGAGCCCCGGATTTCGATACTGTAGTCAGCCCGGTTGTCATGCGTGTACCCATGGTTCAAAGGAGACAACGCGGAGACTCCGGCCGCTTGGCGTGGTCAGAAGATGCCAGAGAGATATGATAGAGCTCTGAAAGTGAAGTTACGTAAACAGGGATCTTGCAAGTACTCCGAAAATTTTCGGGGCTTTCTGCTGGCGGTGCTTAGTTCGAGTTGAAGTTCTGTACCTATCGTGGGTTGTCTAAACCGGCATCAAGGCACGCGCAGTGTTGAGTCCAGTGCAACGTGACATTTGATTTGACAAAGTGCAAGCTTCGCAAAGCTGCTTGGATTGGGACATTGTGTTTCTAATTAGCTGCTGGGTCAAAATCAACTATTGTTTGATACTAATAAATCGTAGTGACTGAGCTCGTTCAATTAGAGGTCTAGATGGCGTCTAGAAAGATCCATTGGCCAGGTATTTTGCCCCATGTATTGGGCCTATCTCACCAAAATAGTCTGATAGAGCTAAAGAAAAGTCAAGATAAAGCTATGCCCAACTTGTAAGTTTACGAGTTACGGGAAAGCAATGTTCGCCCAAGCGCAAGCCATGGCTCAAGCCTCGACTGGCTTGGGCGCGGACGCTAACGAAGGCCCTCGAGGCAAATGGCAATGGCGCTTCGGGAAGAAGCCATCCGGAACAAGAAAAACGTCGAGAGCAAAAGCCTTGTTCATTGGACTAGCTAACGCGGTGGGTGGCCGAGAGAGCTCAGACCAGGGTCCCGTAGATAACCACCAACAGGCATGCCCGCGACCCTGCGTGATATAGCTCACGATGCGGGAGACCGGGGGCCGCCCGGGGGGGTCCAGTCCAGTGGGGAGACAAAGGGGCAGAGGTAGTACACCCCCGGCGATGGAGGCCTGTGAGGCTTTGACAGGACACACGCACGCACCGAGGGGCTTGGGCGGGCTCCGCTCTCTGCCAGACGCTGCTGTCAGATCAATGAATGGACTGAAGCAACCTGTCAGCTGCCGGGGGAGGCTTGCAGATGTGCAGAAGCCATGTCTCAGAATCGCACGCTCACTCCCGGACGAATCGGCGGGCCTCTTACTGAATTGGGAACGGGGTCATTGGAGAAGCTATTGTAGAGGTGAGTTTTCTTTGTGTTGTTCTTTGTTTTCTTGTCATTCACTTTGCACAGTCATTCCCTCACCATGAGTGGCTGCTGTATACAGCCCACACGCCAAGACAAGAAATGTCTTCAGCCAACACCCCGGGTTACCACATCCAGTACATACACTTCTGCCTGGGACTTGTGCGACCTGGAAGCCGTTTTCATCCTAGTTTCCTTCTTCTTTTTTTTCATTTCATTGCCCCTTTTGCCAAGAAACTCACCGACTGATCTCGTAACCTAATCAGGACGTTTTGCCCCTCGGGCCCTCTTCCAGCCCTTGATGAGATCTCCCCCCTCTTGTATACCCATGATTATAGCCTCATGATGCCATCCATGGTGCACAGATCCCCTCCGCATCGAGTTTAGGCTTTTAAACATGCCGGGTGGCGTCATAAGGGTCCCCGGCTCAGGCAAGCTTCAAGGAACCGTCACAGGTCCTGCTGCACGTATGAGCAGCGGTGCGCTCCCCTGTCTGCCCATCACGCAACTGGCCTACGGATTGGCCAGTCGGGCCCATCGGCATCGAGACCCGGTTATGCGGAATTATTTGCGTCTTCTATTTCCCTTAGCCGAGTCCCACGGTGCCATCCAGCGCCTAACGGCAACGGGAGACCTTCTCCGGGCTTGAGGACAGTAGAGGGCGGCTTTATGATTTTTTCGACCTCTGAGGCGTGATTATCATGGCCAAGAGGCGAGTATCTTTGCCTGGAGCGGTTGCTGAGACTGAACGATCTGCTCAAAACGGCACTTGGAGATGCCTTCGCTGCCCTTTACTCTACTGTAAATCCATGAAAGATATGATGCCCGAGGTTTTCCACTCATAACTTGACAGCAAAACCCTCAAGTTTCCCTTTCCATGCGCCGCCGCTAGAAATAGAATGCCAGTCTACCCCGAGACCCTTTTCCCCGTCCCAGAAATCCTCGTGTATTCACATGTATCCTCTCGACTTCTTGCCTGTATCAGCGAGAGGGGGTGGCCGGTGTCAAAGCACGTTGCATCATCTCCTCGGACAGTTCCCGCTGCATGATATGATGATGCAAGTGCTACTGCTGCTGCGCCAGAGTGGAGAGAGAAGCAAGATGTTTTGAACACCGACAGCCTGCAGGCGGCTGTATCACACAATACTCTGAGTGGCTGCCGCGGATGTCAGTTAGGCTATCAATCTTTTGAATCTTGCTAGGCTCTCCCACTTACAAGGACACCCTAAGAGATTCAGCCTTCGGTAACAACGATACCATTGCTGTTGACCTCGGCGCTGAGTGTAGCCGCGTTGTAGTCCTGCCCGGGGGCCTTGTAGACGTCCACCCTGATATAGTATGTCCCCGCATAGGCGATATAGAGGTCGGCGAAGTGGAAGGAGAGATCAGTCCCCGAGCTCCCGCCGGCCTCGACACCCGTGACAGTGGTGTTGCCGAAGAGGGCCCCTTCGACCATGGCCCCGTCGCTCCCCATCAGGATGGCCATGGCGAAGTAGCCCGACCTTGAGGACCTTGACTTGGACGTGAACCGGGCAACCAGGGGCGGGTACAGTATCGTCGAAACTGCGGTCCACGGGGGAGGTTGAGATGTGATGCTGAGGTTCGGCATGCCGTGAGACTTGATGATGCGCTGCTGCTGCTGCTTTTCGGATCAGGCGTGATAGACATTGCACTGATATGGCGGATCAACAACAGTCGTCGGCCGCGAGCATATTCGGGTGAAAAGGGTCGATATATACCCCATCGAGGTGTGCGAGCCGTCCACACGGTTTGCTCCCGAGTGAGCAAGAGAGATACCCGCGGACCGGGAGGAGAGGTGCCTTTACAGATGGATTGACTTGAAGATGGTCCAACTAGGCGAACGATTTGTCCAAACCCCCCGACCAGAGCCGGCGTCTCACCTGTCAGGGATAGGGGAACGGACAGGAAGCGCGGAGGGACGAGACGAACGGGACGACATACACCGGGGGGGGGGGGGGGGGGGGGGGGGGGGTACCTGTTCAGCAGGATCGGGAGAAGCCACGCGGCTAAGATCTGCCCAAGGGTCTGGGGAGGGGGGAGAGGTTTCGGAGTTGGAAAGAAAGACAAGACTTGGTTCGGCAGTCAAAGTAGAAAAAGAAAAGAAAGGGACAAGAGATCTCTAGAGCCAACGGCTGACGGGGTGGTTCAGGCAGCGAGACAGAGAGATTGTTGTTGCAACGGGCGTTGACAGCCTCGCCCGGTGGAAGCT